TGTTCTTGGCCCTTTTCCTATCGGAGACTTCATCTGCTCCGTCACCGTCGATCAATGCTGCTTATCGCGCCAACAATGCCGATAGCCGGGGCAAAAGGGCGCTTTCGTCATCCACCCCACGCTTTCATCTTTTTTTCCCTCGTGCCCTGGCCAATGAGCCGATGACCCTGAATGGTTTGAAAAACGTTTTTCAGTCTGATCGGTTCTCGCATCCCCAGGGCGGCCAGGATAGGGCTCCACTTTCTCGGAACTTTAGTTCCTGCCAAGAATGATGCGGAAATGAGATGCGGGGCGCCTGGCTGCTCACGAGGACGAAGCGGCCCCAACGGTTCAAAAAAAGAAGACAAAGGAACCTCCACCGACTTTGCTGCTGCCTTTTGCCTTGTCGGGGCTCACTCAAACGCCGATCCCTTCCACCCCAGGTTTTTTTTTTCAGCTCTGGACACACGAAACAGCGGGTCTCCCACTTTGGCTCTCGGGCCCAAGCCTCTTCATCCCGTGTTCTGACCAATCAAAATCCTACGATGTCCAACTTTCAAAGCCGAGGCCACGGCGTAAGCCTACGTAACGTATGTATCAATGTAAAACGTATCTTACTCCGTCCTAAGTACTTTACACGGGCAGCCCGGGCCAACAAAACCCAGCTGAGCAGAGCCCTACGCTAACCTCTTCTGGGAGAACATTCCCTGCAGCAGCCACGTGGGAAATCTGGCTAGCGCTGCGATGACGCAGGGTCTGCGGGAGAGAGAGTCCCGATCGCCACCCATTGCCATGCGCCGCGTACGCACGAGCCAAGGGCAGGAAACACGCGCACAATGGACAAATGAAGCGCACTCCTGACGACCTGATGAGATCGTAATGCAGTTCCCCTGCGTTGAAACACTGAGGATGCGTTTGATGACGCTGAGTGTGTTAAGAGCAAGGAAAGTCCCAAATGTTTTCTTCTAGTGTTTTAAATGACCCAACTGCTTGGAGTCGACGCTGCAAGAACTCGATGAGTTGCCGTCGCAGCTACCTCCTCGAGTTCTGACGCAATCGGCCTACCACGCAGTTCACATGCATGGCCGCGACGTAGATAGGCAAGCTGATAAGCCAGAAGAGGGAATTCAGGGAGGACAAGGTGTGCGAACCTTGGGTGACCGTTTTGTGGATCGCCTCAAAATCCTGGAACCTTAGGACGCTGTTATCGATACGGATTAACCCCTGGAGGTTGCTAACTTGGGGCGCGACATTCCCCCAAGCAGCACGGGAACGCTTCCCGTGGGTGAGGGGGATGTCAAAGTACCTTGAAATGGGTGTGCTGTGAGCGCGAAAAGGACTACGATGGCATCAGCATCATGAACAAGAAACTGTTCAGCTTCGCATGGGCTCAATAATGCCATCCGATGCCGTCTCTCCTGCCGCACTGACATCTCAAATTCTCTCTCACGCATCCACTTCCCAGCCTCCGACATCATAGTATCCTGACAAGCTCCGGGAAACTTGCAAACAACCGAGAGAGCAAAATCCTCACAACCGGGCAAGTGTGGTCTCAAAAACAAGATCAGGCGTTGCCCGGCCGGCCGATCACTACTCCGTAAACATCACACAAAGACCGAGCCCGAGCCCACACGCACACCCACTCAACCCCGGAACTCCGTACCTTGCATACAAACCCCACTAAACTATAACCTCACAAGCCCTACACTACCGTTCGAACCAACAAGGGGCGGCACGCGCAGGCTCCTAGCGCCGCGCACTATTTCGGGGCCATTGCGGGCATCCTCGCAAGCTCGCAGCGGCGAAGGTCAAACCATTGCTGCGCTGTTTGCGCGCATCAGACGATTCTGCACGTAACATTTAACATAGGTACGCACGGAAGAGGCGTCCTCCGGCGTCATCGCGGCCGAACATGTCGGCACCATCGAAAAAAGGGCGGACACACGGCACATACGGCAAGTCGTGGTGGTTGGCCTGCCTTTCGTCGTTCCAATTGTCGCGCCGGAGTTCGTTCGTCGTGGGGTGGATGGAGATGTAAACGAGCCCTTCCCGATGTGGAAAATCGAGATCCCGCTTCACGTCGTGCGTTGCGTCATGGGAAAGCCAAATTGGGAAATCCGAACCGATTTGAGTCGCTTGGCATTTTAGGACGCTCGGCGTGTTCAGTAGCAAACAAGCCAGCATCGCACTACGCTACGGGCATAGGGTTACGATGCTGACAACTCTGGGGCTGCGGAGGGCTTTACACTAGGACTTACAACGCTATTGTGGGATTGGCCTATGGAGGATCTTCAGGCATCGATGTCTGATGTCGGAGTTTTGGTTCGATAGTGTAGGACTTGTCGTAGTCGCATTTACCCGACCAAAGGCGAGGTTTCAAGAGAGTCGACCCTTAGAGGCTTGGGGATTGTAACCGTGACCATGACATGACGACCGTAATGCGGGGTGGCTGGAATAGCAAAGGGGCAGCATTTCTGCGCGCAATGGAGGATCAGCTCTCAGAAGAAGATGGGAGAAAATACAGGCACCGATATTGTCTGTATGTCAGCTGCTCTGCATACAGCATGGACATACATACATCAATATTTACGGCAGACGAGCAGGTAAGGTTGCAACATCCCAACGCGATGGCAACCAATCTTGCGCAGGCGAATTACTATTCCTGTCCGCCAATTGTCATCCCATTCTGCATGATGAATGCGCGGCTCGACATATTGGGCGGCCGCACACGCGCGGCTGTCGGGCGCTGCATGAGTGTGCAGTAGCGCCCTTGTCTAGCGATGCGTGTCCCGAAGGCGGCCGTTCAGCATATTTGATTAACTTAAGAAGCTGAATCAAATTATTGACAGCTGACATATCGATTGTTTTTGTCCGCTTCGATATTTTTTTTTATAAACCATGTGATATAGGGCTGAACTATGTCCGCTCAGCGTGGCTTGAAGAGCGCAAACGATGTCGCCTGCTGAAACAATTTTTTTTGAGCCGCCTCGCAAGATATAACCAATCTGGTACTGGGGTTTTTCTTGGTCTGCTACGCTACGTCCGAGCTTAGACCTGGATCCTTTCCGTTTTCCGCTGTCCCAAACAACGTATCCGGAGATCTCATACAGACCTTCAAGACAGGCCGTAACACGTCGTAGCATGGCGTGACGCAGCACGATGTATCGTGCTGCCAAGATTACCTACATTAACCCCAGCCTTGCTCTGAAAAGGGACGCGGCTCTCTGTCTGTCGCTTACTCTGATGCGAAAACGGGAGGTAGACAGGCTCTCATTCTCTCAGGTAACATCAGGACCTGCCTACCTAGCACACATCCTACCCACATCTTTGCCAGAAACAGATGCTCCGTTTCTGCGCGCGTGTCCGTGTCCGGTTGCGGTCCGAGTTCGAACGGAATTCCGGATGCCAGGTTATGTTATCTTTGTTTGGCAGCAAAGGAGATTTTTGGATGGAGATGGTTTGTATTGCAGTGGTTTGGCCAAGGGCTCGAATGGGATGATTCAGGAAGACGGCACTGAAGAATGCGGGAATTGGAAATTGGAACCTGGGGTGATGCTCCCCGACATCAATTTAGGGAGAGTTGCGATATCTGCAATGGAGAGACATGTTTGCTGCAGTATTTTCTCAAAATGTTAATTCTGACAGAAAACCGTAGCACCAGGATCTCGATACTGTGTAAGATGATGTTCTTGTGGCAGGTCATGTGCTAACCCCACGGTTACACTTGTAGATTGTGCTGCGACGTATGATATCACCACGGATGGTTACATGCTTTTTTTTTTTTCGATCTTGATGCAGACAATGATCCTTCGCACATATGTCTGCAGTATCATCATATTTATTGTAAGACGATGGGCTTGTTGCACTGATCAACTCAAAGCAAAACATCTTTCCTAGCCTTTACCCATGTCACCAGCCTGGCTTGGCAGCGATCTACGACTAAGTGTCGCCATGCATGCGCGGAGCACCGAAATCGTGTCATGTCCGGCAGTTAGTAAGGACAGATGGAAGTGACAATGCCGACATCGTACAATTTGAAGTTTATACAAGGTTAGAGTGCATGGAGCTAATGCACCGGCTTCAATCCGCAGACGGCAGCAAACCTCTCAAAGTTGAAAATTTTCCTTCCAGTGCAGGTTGAGATTAGTGGTGAATTGAGGATCTTTTGATGGGGTCATGCTATTTTTCATGTCATTGTCGATGTCGACATGAGCGTTCATCTAACCGCCTGCATAAAGGTGAGAGAGGAGGAGTAACAGGACGTTAGCACACCTACAAGGCTATAACAGCTACATTAATCCCACATCACCGTGACATCGGTGCACTAGACCGCAACAGACTACGCTGCATAGGGATATTACTGCGGGGAAACCAGGGGAATCGGCATGTAATAAGGTGGTTTTAAGATCTAACATAGCGTACCAGGTATGATCAACTGTTGGATCGCTTACCCCGCGTTTGTGCCAGTCGATCTTGAACACAAATGCTCAACTCGGTGGGGGACGAAGGTACGGTTAATGGTGCATGTCTGGATTGAACAAGTGTAAAACATTGGAACCGAAGAGGATGTTGTGGTCTGGTGAATGGTAGCATTGCCACGGTGGTAACAGTGACCATAGGATAAAGTGTATCATCGGGCTGATGTCGCATTACGAATGTTTAGCTTGGAATGGCCTCAACCCAAGCCAAATCTAGAGTATCAAATCAAGAAGTCAAAATTGAGGACAATTAGTGTGGTGATGGACATTGCACTCTAGGGACATTTGGTAAATGTGCATATGGCGTTCGTAGACAAGCAAGGTAGGACCCGGTTGAGCAGAAGAAACCAACACCTTGATGATCCTACGAATCTCCCATATGTCCTTTAACACCATGATTATACTCTTAGTGATTACAGACTTGAGCTCATATCCCTAAAACATTATCAATCATCATCATCATCATCATCATCATCATCATACCCATTACCTGACCAACCCGATCCCCATGGTATTTCAGGGCGGATTGTAAACACCCCAACCTCACTCCTCTATCTCCCCCTCCTCGCCCTCAACCACCTGCTGGACCTGTGTAGAAGCAATCCAATTCTCCATCGTAGCCTGCCCGGCGGCCTTGGCAGCAGCACCCGTCTGCTGTCTTCCAGCACCAGCACCTCCAGTCGAAGCAGACGCAATCCCTGCCCCTGCAATGCCTCGTCCAGCAAACCCGCCTGCTCCATCCCTCCTCTTGACCACGAGACACAAGACCCGGCCATAGATTGCAAAGCCTTCGTAGGTGATGTGCATATGTAGCTTTTTCTTCGCCTCCGAATCACCGGTGTCGTCGTCACCAGGAGGGGGTTGGGCGCGGTGGCGTTTTGATGGCCTTGCTGGGAGGACAGAAGAACCGCTGTCGGAGGCGTCGTCAGGGTTTTCGTAGTCCGACTGGTTTGTGTCGTCTCCTTCGTCAGAGGGAAGATTGATCGCATCGTCTGCCGAGTCACCTCGTCGCGGACGGCGCGGCCTCTTCTCCCCTCTTACCTTACTATCTGCACCCTCATCAGGCTGATCAATCATGGGTATATCCTCCAATCTTACATCTTCATCCTCCTCTCTGCGAACCGGCACCGGTGAGTCCTCATCGTGGGGTACATCTCCAGCATCAACATCCACCGGTTCATCTGCAGTCCCCGCGCCTAACAGCTTCGTTGAGTTGGACGTGATCTTAGTCTGGACCTTGTCCCGAAAGATCTTTTGCCTGTGTAGCAATGAGTGTCGTGTATCTGTCTCAAGCAGGAAAATCGTCACCTCAAAGTCATCTACTCAGCCACATCAGCCCCTAACCCCGTTGCCAGAACCGAATGAGTGATTGTACACACCCTGCACAACAACATCCTTAACTGCCTTCAGTTTCTTCCCTTTCTTTTTGGCTGCCAAGTACTCCCTCTCGCGCTCCTTCTCTTCGCGCAACTTGGGAAGTACAAGAGGCCGTACAGCCTCAATAATTCGAGGCAGGACCGGGTCGCGCGGGTTAAGAAGCCAGGTTTGAGAGAGAGCCGGGTTCTCGAGATAGATGCGGACCTCGAGGACGGAATACTTTGTTATGCGGAGGTAGCGGCGGATGGGAGCCATCAGGGATGTGGGGTTGTGAGATGAGCTGTAGTGAATTAAGTTTTTTTTTTGTTTGTTTGTCGATGTGGCAGGTTATGGAATCGCAAGGTAGATATTGAAGTTGAAAAATGAGATGAGACGAGATGAAAGGTGAGAGTTGGTGAGAGTTGAGATGGCGTTGAGATGAGTGGGGCTCCGCCTTGTAAAAAACACACGAGACAAAAAGAAGGGGATGACGTCGCTGCCTGCAGCAACGACAACACCAGAAGACACGTATCCAGCTCTGGAGCCAAAAAAAATTGTCGAGATGCAATATTTTGAGCACGCCTACGTATAAACCTAGCAACAGTACCAAAATCAAGTCTACCTACACCACCACATGGTATCTCATTACTTCTTCCGACATTTTATCTATTCCCCTATAAATAAGGTCGTGTCCTAAGCCTTCTTCGCTGCCATTTCCTTCTCAATCCTCCTTCTCTTTGCACGGAGTTTGGCATCCTCCGCGTTCTTCTTCGCATTACTGTACTGCATCTGCTCGAACAGCTTGCGTTTCTTCTTGCTGAGCATGCCCTTGGCGCGCTCCAGCTCCTCGGCCTCCTGCTTCTTCTTGCGCTCTAGCGCTTTCTTCGCCTCCAGCTTCGCCTTAACCTTGGGGTCCAAAGGCTTGCCCTTGCTGACCGCCTTGCCGGCCAGCTCGGCCTCTAGCTCACGCTGGCGCTCGAGGGTCGCTTCTTCTTCTTCGTCGTCATCCTCTTCTTCATCACCTTCTTCGGAGCCTTCGTCCGATTGCTCCTCATCCTCGTCGCTAAAGCCACCAAAGTCATCCTCCTGCTCATCCTCCTCATCCGACGCAACAGACATATCATTCTCGACCTCCGACCCACTCTCTTCGTCACTACCCTCCTGCTGGGCCTGGGCATCCTCCAGCTCAGCCTCCAAAGCCTCAGCCTCCGTCTGCTGCTCCTCAAGTGGCTTAGTCGGATCATACTGGCCCTGGGTAGGCTTAACAAACGGACTCAAGTGAGGCGGCAGCTGCGCGCCAGGGGCATACAGCTCCGGCGGCTTGAGCTCCTCGTCGTTGATGCTGTCCCACACCCACTGCGGCTGTACGTAGATACGGCCGGGATACCGCCCGTTGGGGGCCAGCTTCTGAGAGGTCTGGTTGTCCTCGCCGTCACCGTCCTCGCTGACTGCTGCGCGGATGACGGGGCGGTCGATGATCTGGTGAGTGATCCGCGGGTCGGACTCGTCGGTCGTGAAGGCGCCCTCGCCGAGAACGGCGTCCCAGCCTATTCTCTTGCAGCCGAAGGCGCGCAGGATGAATTCGAGAGGCTGGCGTGGGGTCTCGCGCGAGAGGAAGAAGGTAAAGTTGGCAAATAGTTGCGACGGGTCGCTGCTGCTGTAGGAGGGTTGAGGGAGTACGTCGCCGCCGGGCGCGACTGGCTCGAACTTGTCGATGGCGTCGCTCGGCTTGTCATCGCCTTCGTTTTCCTCTCCCTTCTCATCTGTTTTGTCGCCATTGGCTTGCTGCTCCTCCTCGCGCAGTTTCGCCACAAGCTTGTCGACCTCGGCCTGCACTTTCGGGTCCGGGCCGTGCTCCTCGCCGTTGGTGATGGCCTTTTGCTCACCGTTCTGTGAAGCCAGGTTGAGACCCTCGAGCGAGAAGGCAGCCAGCTCAGCGCCTTGGTCGTCCTTGACCTGGTCGAACTTGGGCGGGTACTTAAGACCAATCGAGGTGTAGAGACGATAGTTGACGAAGCCCAGCAGGGTCATGTAGAACTCGACAAAAGTACCCATGATGCGGAAGTCCACGTCGCCCACAATCCTCTGGTTGAACTTGTAGGGAACCAGCCAGAGGATGTCCTCGCCCTGGATGTTGGCCTGGTAGTAGATGCCCTTGATGGACAGGAACGACTTGCGCAGGCTGTGTGTGACGATGAGGTAGTGCTGGAACTCGTGGCATAGGCGCTCGCACCGCGCGATCATCTTGGCGGGCACGGCGGTGGTGGAGGGGAGGTTTGCGAAGAGGAAGAGCATGGATAGGCAGTCGTCGAGGTCGCGCAGGGCATCCTGGAAGGTCGGGTAGCGCTCGCGGATGATGTGATTGAGCGTGTAGCGCGGCTTGCCCGTCTTCTCGGGCAGATTGGCATTGCGCTCGAGACGAGCCGCATTGGAGACGTCGCCGCGGCCGAGAGCGCGCGAGATCTTCTTCTCGAGGGCCTTTTGCTCACGGAACTTTTGCAGCAGGGGCTCGTGTAACAGGTACTGGATGTCCTTGGTGTAGTAGAAAGTGGTAGAGGCCGTAGCAGACTTGTTAACCTTCCTGCGATCACGGGGCTCACGAGGATAGATGCCCTTCCAGATGCACAACTTGCGGAAGTCGGGAAGGCTCAGCTGCAGCTTCTTGACGGCCTGGGTGCGCGTCATGTAATTTCTGGCCGCGCCAGACTTTCCCTTCTTCTTGGCCTTGCCCATGATGGCGGTGTGTGTTGACAATTAAGCAGTGTAGCTATCGTCAACAGAAAGTTGGTGATGTTCGGTCTCAGACTTCGGCGGGGGTGAGAGCCGCCCTCGAACTTTTGGCTTTTTTTTTTTTGTCGAATTGCTTTTCTGCCGCTCCTCACCGCTATCGATAAGATTTTGGGGCCCATCAGGCGGGTCCGGATTTGCTGGGCGGCGCAAACCCCCTGCATGCTAAGAGCCAAGCTCCACTGAATCCTCCAATCGTAGGCCCACTGTCCACGTTCAACCACGGCTGCTGGCTGGCGCGGTCCCAGCTTCACCTCTGTCCCTTGACACTGACAGTTTTGACGTCAACTTCGAGGCCATCCCACAGCACTTTACATTACCGTCATGGCGCTCTGAGCGATGGATGGCGGCAAGGTAACCCTCGGTCGGGCGGCAGGGCTGTACGCCGGCGCTGCCGTCCTGCGGCTTGCCATCTTCAGCCTGCTGCCCGCCCTGCCCGACCTGCTCACCGGTCGCGTCGAGATCTCAACCCCGGTGACCAGCTTCAAGCGATGTATGCCACTTCTTAAATATGTTTTAATTTCTGAGAATCCAGCTGACCTTTTCCAGTGCAGGAGGGCCTCTTCCTTTACAACCACAACGTGTCCCCGTACGACGGCGGCGTCTACCACCAGGCACCCCTATTCCTGCCGCTCTTCTCGCTGCTCCCGAGCTACGCGACCTTCCCGTTTCTGACGAACTTCCTTTATGTGATCGTCGACCTGCTGAGCGCCAATGCGCTGTGGAAGATTGCCGAGTCGGGAGAGGCGGGCGCGTCTGCCCACTTTACCTCTCCGCGCCGTGAAAAGCGCTGGAGTGGATTCGTCATTGCGGCCACGTACGTCCTATGGACCCCCCCCCCTCCCTCTTCCCCCTCTCAGAGGCTGCGAAACGAGAGAAAAATAATGCTGACAAACACAGCTTCCTCTTCAACCCCTTCACCGTAGCAACATGCATCGGCCGGTCCACAAGTGTCTTCACTACCTGTGCGATCCTCCACGCCGTCGCAAAGGCCGTTTCTGGCGCTCCCTTCGGCGCCATGGCCGCCCTTGCCTTCGCCAGTTACCTCTCCATGTACCCTCTTCTTCTGCTCCCTCCGATCATGCTCCTCGCCTATGACCGGCAGAACCCCACGCGTGCGATCCGTTCGCCACTTAAATTCTCCCTTGCCTGCACAACCACCGTGGCGCTCATTTCAGCCGCCCTCCTCGGCATGTCTTACCTCCTTACCGGCTCCTGGGAGTTCCTGGCCGCGACCTACGGCGTCCAACTCACCCTCTCCGACCTAACTCCCAACGTCGGCCTTTGGTGGTACTTCTTCATCGAGATGTTCGACTCCTTCCGCTCCTTCTTCCTCGCCGTCTTTTGGCTACACCTCTCATGCTACGTAGGCGGGTTGTGCGTGCGCATCCGTAGCCAGCCGCTTGCCGTCATCACGCTATTGCTCGGCATTTTCGCCATCTTCAAGCCCTACCCCAGTATCAGCGATACATCGCTGTTTTTGGCGTTGGTCCCGCTATACAGACACGTGCTACCGCTGATGAGGTACTCATTCGTCATTGCGGCCGTGATTCTGTATTGTGTGCTCCTAGGGCCGGCGTTCTACCATCTGTGGATTTATGCTGGCAGTGGGAATGCGAACTTCTTTTATGCGATTACTCTGGTATGGGGCCTCGGCCAGAGCCTGCTCGTGTGCGACCTTATGTTCGCTGTGTTGCGTGACGAGTGGGAGGTGGAGAGGCCGGAGATGGTGGGTAAGGAGATTAGGCAGATATGAATAGACTTTTGTGTGTGTGTTCGCGTGTTGGAGGATTGACATTTGCATTAAGGGGTTGTAATCCGTAGTTAGGGCTGGGCATCACTAAACATGCCATTGGCTTTATAAACCGATTTTGCTCTGCAATTCTAGAATATGTTTTTAAGTGACAACCACATGGCCAAGTCCTCATTGGAACCAGTGCTGTCCAGCCCTCAAAGCTTGAAGCTCCCCCGACATCAAGTTTACGGTACGCAGTTTTTCTATCTATTTTCCCATTTAGATGCCAAATTAGTCTCCATAGATAGTTATTTTTGGCATAATTGTGACCTTTCTAACTCTATTGCTTCGTAGTGCTTTTGTTCAATCTGATGGTTTTCAAGGGTTGTGCTGCTGTTCGCTACTTGTGCGGCTAAAGCGAGGGTTAGGGTTAGCTTGGACCACTGCCTTGGCTTCATTTCCAAAGTTCTGTTCGCCCACTCTTCGGCTCATAACCTGAAACTTACATGTTCGCATCAACGTAGCTGTCAATTGTTTCGATAACTCAAATGAAGATTATCTTCTAATTTTATTAGGAGTAAGCTTCACAATGTATCGGGTATTTCAACATTTACTGACACATTCCGGACCTTTTAACCATCATCACTTCAAAGTCGTCCTTAATATTTCATTTGAGGCGATGGCTTTCCTTGACTTGTCGCCATAGCAACTTTCATCCAACAAACTTTTGCCATTTCCATCCCTTACACAAAGATTAACAGGGCACTTCATTCCCGACAGCCTTCACCAAAGATGGACCTCGACGACGACTCCCAACCCTCAGCCTCAGTCATTTCCCATCTTCCTCCCCCCTCCCATCAACCCCAACAAAGTCATTACCCCCCCTACCCATCCGATGACGTTGCCCACCCGCCCCGGCAAGCTACGTACTACTATCCCCCCCGCCCCAACCGCTGGACCGGCCCCCCCTCAACCTGGCTCACTCACACAGCCGCCGACCGCGCAGTCTGGACTTCTCTGTCTAACTCCCGCGCTCAAGACCTTTCCATCCACCTTTACAATGCATACGGCTTACGCAAACGCCTTCGTAAGCCGCCCAAAGTTCCCGGAGAAGACGAGGATTTCAACACTGAGGAGGGGCGGTGGGAAAGGAAGAGACAGAAACAGACGGAGTGGGCCCCCCCCGCGAGGTGGACGGCGTGGCCGGTCAGGGCGGGGGATGTACCCGGAGATGGGTTGTTGCCGGAGGTGAGGGATGGGAGTGAAGAGTTTGGGGTGAGGAGGAGGAGGAGAGAATTGGGGTTGGAAGGGGATGGGTTCGCGGGCGGGGAGTTGGAAGAGGAGATAAGTGCGGCTGTGTTGAGGGCTGCGGGGGTGAGGTTTAGGAAGAGGGGTTTGGAACAGCAAGAGGCAAAAGAGGGGGGGCAAGTAATGGAGTCGGCTGAGCAAAGGAATGCTACGGAAGCAGAGACGGATGGATGGGTGACGGGGGATGAGGGGTATGTGAGAATGGGAAAGGAGAAAAAACCGATTGGGAGACCGAGGAAGAAGAGAGGGTCGTCGCCGGATTATGTGCCTACGCTCTGTGCGGACGATGACAGGAATTATGCGCTGGTGAGGCCGGCTGTGAGGAGGATTATGGCCAAGCTGGATGATACGCTCATGATCCTGCATAATGCGCGCGTCGCGGGCCTGAGGAATATGTCCGAGTCGGATAGTGATGGCGAGGATGAGGACGACGACGAGAGTACAAAGCAGGAAGCGGAGAGTGAAGGGGAGAAGCTGGCGACCGAGGCAGAGAGCAACGAAGATAACGACGACGACGACAACGACGACGACGACGACGACGAGGAGGAGGAGGAGGAGGAGGAGAAGGAGGAGAAGCCATCTGTTCCGGCATCGCTACGACCGAGGAACAGGGGCGGCAGGCCGAGGAAGAAACATGTCCCGCTAGAGGGAGAAACAGAAGAGGAAATGCTCATCCGAATCGCAAGGCAAAACCACAGGAAAGTACCTACCTTTAACAACAACGAAGCCTCTACAAGTCGCTGCCGCTCAACAACCCGCAAACCCCGTAACACACACACCAAATCCGAGCCCGAGAGCGAAACCGACACCCGCCGCGGCCGCTCCCGAAGCAGAAAACCTGTAAAGTCTATATCCCAATCCCGCTCAAAGTCAACTACTCGCTTCCCCAGCAAACGCCCCGCCTCCTCTCGTTCAACCTCCCGCTCAACCTCCCACTCCCGCAGCTCCAGCGCCTCTGATTACGGTGAGAAACGCCTCGGCCGCTGGGGCCTGCGCGACTGGCGTGACGTGCTGGGTGCTGCTGCGCTGGCTGGGTTTGAGCCAGCGGTGTTGGCACGCGCGGCGCAGAGATGTGCGAATCTTTTTGGGGAGGAGATGGTGCTTCATACGTTGAGGGAACAGCCCGTCAATGATGGTGAAGGTACGGGGGTAGTGGGGGGGAGTGGCATTGAGACGGTGAGGTACGTACCAGGGGGAAGGGTTGGTTTGGATGAGGACTGGGAGGAAAGTGAAGAGGATTTTGAAGAAGTACTTGCTCAGCGCAGAACGGTTGCTCGACAGCCGAGTCTGTCCGTGGAGCCCGGGAATACGAGCGAGGGGTCAAGAGGGAGGAGTCGGAGTCAGAGTCGGCCGAGGGGGAGGTCGCAGACTCCTGCTCTGCAGTCGTTGGTCTGCCCGCATGAAACGTGTTATCGGTCGAGGCATCCCTTTACCAGGCGTGACCACTTACTACGACATCTACGAATGACACATGGCGAACAGCCCGAACGAAGCCGTACCCGCAGCCGGTCACGCACGCCTGGACCAGGACATCGCTGTCCGCATGCGGATTGTGATCGGGCTGTGGATGGATTCTCGAGGAGGACGAATTTGGTGAGGCATCTGAGGCTAGTACATGGGGACTCTGGTCAGAATATGGGGCAGGGGATGGGAATGGTTACGGGGGATGAGGAGGAGGAGGAGGATAGTGCAGATGAGGTTGAGGGGGGTGTGCATGTCGATCGATTTTTGAAGCCTATCAAGCCTAGGAAGGGCTGGAGAGCTGAGGATAAGGGCCCAAAGAGGGTTGTTAAGAGGAGGAGGGGAGGAAAAAAGAGGAGGTGTGACGAGGAGAGCGAGGAGCTTGATACGTTTCTGTCGGATTAACAACCTCATAGACTTAATATCCACTCTACTGATCTCCCTTCTCAGCGAACTGCCTCTCTACCTCCTCCGCAAACTCGCCCAGCGTTTGAAAAATCCTCTCAAACCCCAATTTCCCCTCCGCATTCAACTTTTCATAATCCCCTCCCGTGCCATACCCCTCCGGTTTGTCCCCTCCCCTCGCAATCCACACACTCCTCAACCCTATCTCCTTCGCCGGGATCTGATCAGCCGTCAAGCTCCTCGCCACATGCAACAGCTCCCCTCCAAGGGCATCAACCCCAAACTCCTCTTTCACCTTCTCAACCAAGTACCTAAAATTATTCAGCGATGGCTTATAGCTCCCAATCGCTTCAGCCGTATACACCGCATCGAACCCCCCAAATCCGGCCAGGGGACCAGATTGAGCACGCGAGATGTTGGCCTCGTCCACATTGCTCAACACCACGAGCTTGTAATGCTTCTTTAGCTTCCCCAGCGCAGCGATGGTATCATCAAACGCCTGCCATCTTCCAGGTCCAGATCCGATCTCTTCGGCCGCTTTTTCTAGCTCTGCATCACCCTCAACGGGAATACTCAGCTCTCCGGCCAACATGCGGAAGGATTCGGAGAGATTGCGGTTGTATGAGAGGGTCGGCTGGGTGGCCCAGAGGTATTCGGAGTGGTCGTTGAAACGGATCACGGCGGCCAGGGGGGAGGAGCGGAAGGGATGGGAGGGGGGCAGGCGAGAGACGATAGGGAAGAGGTCGGATGCTAGACCGGCTTCCCAGTCTATGAGAGTACCATAGCAGTCGAAGGAGAGAAGTTTTACGTTTGTGAGGTCGGACATGTTGGGATTTGGGGTGGGAGGAGGAGAGAGAGGGAAGGAAGGCAGAGGCTACCGGTAGGACGTATCGTTCAGTGTAGAGTCAATGGAGTGAAGGACTGATGATAGGAGCTGTCAATGTAGGACTGAGCAAGTTCGCAGTTCAAGACAATCCGGACAACTTGTGATGCAAACAGATCCTACAGACGAATTGACGTCCTTTTATCATTAACCCTCCGTCCAAGACTAAGAGATCCGAAGGCTCGCAATTCATTCCTCGACCCCTCGATAGTGCCCCGCTTGATGTGACATCCTTCGGGCCGGTCCACGCTAGCACAAGAAAGTCGGCATTTAACCATTCTATCACCTCCCGAATCGGTATCGGCGAGCTAACAGACCGGATTGGTATCGCCGAAGAGTCACTCAACAGATGCTTGAACAGAGGGCCTGCTCACCATCTCACTATTTTGCCTCTTCGAGTTTCCTGACTCCCGGTCCAGTTTGAGGAACGGTTGACAGGGCTATTGCTCGGGTCAGCGTGCTTTTGAACAGAGTTACCTTTACCACTTGGCCATTATGCAATTTGGTTCATTGGCTTTTTTACTCTGGCCAACACCTGTTGTCCAAGCTTCGAGTTCCGACAAGACAACTCTCACACCCCTCCCTCACCAACCCCACATTTTCCCCACAACCCCACCAAACCCCAAACAACCCGAACCCTGCACCCACAAAAAAGTTTTCTCATCCAAGACCCCATCATTCTCTTGCAATATTAAGGGAAAACCACTCACTGAAACGCCAAGCAGCAAGGCAAGGTGGCCGAGCGGTCCAAGGCGCCACGTTAAGGTATATCCTTAATCTCAACTCCTCTCATCAGGAGGCAGTTCCGTGGTCTCGAAAGGGGCGTGAGTTCGAATCTCACCCTTGTCAAGTGCTTTCTTTTTCCGATCTTTGTTGATTTTATCTATTTTTTCTTTTCCTTTTTTGTGCTTTAGTGGTTGGTGTTGTCTCGGACTTTCATTTTTTTTTTTTTTTGCTGAGGTTGTTATTGTTGATGTCGTTCCAAGGTTGGGAGGGTCCAACCTCAACAAAAGTTGGCTCAACACCACACCTATCATGCCGAACATCGAAAAAGAGTTGACCACATATCAATTCAAAACACTAAAACCCCAGCCCAGCCGCCATGGGTATCGTATCAGTGCTCACTAACAAAGTACAGCGTACAGCCTAAGACTGAATACTTTGAAAGAAACAAAAAAAAAATTCCGTTCCCTTCCCCTTTAACTCTCTCTGGCCCCCAACCCATAATAAAATACCAATAATTACCTACACTCCGTTTGACCTATGCCGACCAACCCATCATACCCTAACACATCACCCGTACGTTTTGCACAACATCCATACATCCGTCCCGTCCTGCCGGTATACTTGGTAGTGAGAGAATGACCGTGACCCATGGGACCCAACCGTACAACCAAACCATACAAAAACCAAACAATGCAATGTAAAGCTGAGGCGAAGAAAAGAAACGGCCGAACGAATGACGAACCCTAATCCAATACCCAGGACTCTTCATCTCAACCTAGGACTCTTCCTCCTCCCGCCCGTCCTCACCGGGGGTGGTACATTTTCCACCCCCTCGGATATTCCCACCAACCCTGCTTTCCTCCCCTTACTACTCACACCAGCCGTACCCATCCTCTTCCCCACCGCCCCCCTCGCAGCAGCAGCAGCCGCTACCTTGACAGGTGCATCACCTCCGGGAGGTAAAGCAAGCACACTCGCTATCGAACTGCCGTCCTTTTCGGCAGTGCTGGCTGTGTTATTCGAGGAGGACTTGACCGCTGTGGGCGAGGCCAAGTTAGGGTTCACCTCGCGCAAGGAGGCGGGCGCGGCAGTGGCACTGCCCATGCTCATAGGGATGCGGCTTGCACTTGCGCTTGCGGGAGGCTTGCTTGCGGAGGGTTGGTGAGGGGCAGGGGACTTAGCAGCAGGCAGGGGAGTTGGTACGGCGTCGGGAAGAACAGCCGGCTTTTGTTTGGAGGGGGTTGCTTGGGGAACTTTCTTCTTGGTCACCTGGGGAGTTGGGACCGGGACGGGGGTAGGGGAGGAGGGGTCTGCAGAAGATAGAGGAGGAAGAGGAGGAAGGTCTTGTTCTTGTTCTTGTTCTTGTTCTTGTTCTTGTTCTTCGGGTCCAAGGTCGAGTTCCGGAATAGGTTCGCCGCGCATGCTGGCGAGGAGGATCTCGTGGGGTGCGGTGCGCGGGAGGTTGGTTGGGATAGGGTAGGACGTTTTCTCGGGCGTCTTGCCGGTCGGTTCATACTCCTTCATCTTGATCTTGACAACCTCCTCTCTTAGACCAGCAAGGGGCCGAACGACGCTCTGTTCAAGCTGGTCCATCCCCTCTTCGACCACCTCCACATCCCCCTCAACCGCATCCCCTAACCTCTGCATCCTCTCCCCCACCTCTCCAAACCGCTCCGCCAACCGTCCAAGCCCCCCCTCGACCGCGCTACTAACCCCTCTAACCGCCTCAGCACACTTCCCACTTCCGCTCGCATTCTGCTGCCTCGCGCGCGCAACAAACGCATCCAAATCCCCCATCTGCACGTCCAGATCCTCGACCTGCCCCTCGACAACCCTGACCGTCTCGGCATGCACCGCCTTGGTAGCCGTCTGAATCGCGGTGCTGTACCTTTCAGCCGCAGCCCAATCACTCTGCAGCTGCGTCCTAAGCGCATCGCGCGAGCGGGACACTTCGGCGAGGACGACATCGTCCTTCTCGCTCCAGGCGCGCATGCCGGAGGTGTATTCGTCTACGGAGGATGCGAAAGCGGTGCTTGCATCCTCCATCGACGACTGGATCTGCAGGGCGCGGTTGGTGAGCCGGGAGTCTTGCAGGTCGGCTTGAGTGGTGATGAGCTTGGCGATTTGGGCGAGGAGGGCCTGACGTTCCTGGGCAGCTTGCGTGCGCTCCTCTTCGAGCACCTCCTTCATGCGGGCTGCGTGGGAAGCATTCGCTTCGATCATGGCCTGGGTAGCGGCCTCGAGCTCGCGGCGGAGGCGATCAGACTCGGCCTTTTGCGCACGCATGTGCTTAAGTAGATCATCGAAGAGGGACTTGACGTCGCGGCCGAGAGAGGCGTACGAGTCGTGCAGGTGGGTGTGGAGGGCAGAAAGCTCGCCGAGCACGTCGGCGGCGATGCGCTCCGCCGCCGTGGAAATAGCTTGGAGGCTGGAGCCGACGCGCTGCTTGACCTTGTCGCGGACGAGCTTGATGTCTTCGAGGACGGTGTCGAGCTCTTCTTTGGAGCGCTCTTGCTGGGCGAGGAGACGGGCTCTGGCGGAGGAGAAGTCGGCGAGGGAGGTGTCGAGGAGGGTTTGGGTCTCGGCTAGCTGGTCCAGCTCTTCTTTGACGAATGCCTGGATGCGCCGGGAGACACTGGAGATGTGTCGTTCTTGGTCCTGCCGGAAGGCGTCGAGCCGGTCCTCGACCAGCTCCGTCACCTCGGCCACACGAGCCTGGGACTTCTCCCATGTGTTCCGGTTCAGGGAATGCAGCTCAGCCCGCCGCTTGTTCTTGGCCCGCAGCCCGTCGATGTCGCTGACGGTGCGCTTTAGTGTGCCGACGAGCTGGCCGCCTAGCGAAGCAAGCTTCTGCTCGGTCTCTTGGTGCGCCTTGCGCAGCATCGTCTCTTCCTCGAGGGACTTCTTGGTAGCCGCCAGGATGAGCTCCGTCTGCTCAAGGGCGTCCTTGGAGCGGCCCAGTTCGTCCGACAGCTCCTCATTCTCCTTCTTGAGACCCAGGAAATTAGAACGCAGAGCCAGGAATTCCTGCAGCTTATTCTTGAGGTTTGCCTCGAGCGTTTCGATCTTTGCTGCCTGCTCCTCGGTGAGAATACGTCGCGACTCGTTTTGCACGGTCAATTCCTCGTATGCCTCGTTTGACAGGTAGACACCGTTCCGCTGCCTCGTGGCGATAAGCTCGGCCTTCAACCTCTCGATCTCCACGATAAACTCGCGCAGGAGGGCCTTTTTGTTGGTCAGCGCGTTGAGCTGGGGTTTGTTGCGAATGTTTTTGCCCGGAAGGCATAGTCGAGCGTCGAGATGGTCTCCTCGAGGTTGCTGCGCGCGGGCGAGATCGTAGCAATGATGCACGTCTTGGTGCGTCCACCCAGCGAGTCTTGCAGCAGCCGAGTCAGCTTCGACTCGCGGTACGGGATGTGCGGGCTCTTGTCGACCAGCGCGTTAATCACACGGCCGAGCGTTAGCAAGCTCTTGTTGATCAGGCCGGCTTCGGCTGCCCGCTTGTCGGAGGCGCCGGACCGTTGGATATTCTCGCTGCCGGCCAGATCGACGAGGTTCAGCTTGCCCAGCATGAACATATCCTCGCCATTGCTGTCAGTCTCGTGCTTCTGATAAACGGTAATAGTAAAGACGGTGTGACTGCGAGACGATAGATCGTTGCATTTCGTGGCAGCCACCTGGCGCTTGACGCTGCCCTCCTGGAGACAGCGCAGGCCTTCGGCGGCATTGAGGATGTAGCGCTCCTCGGCGCCCTGGACGATGGTCGTAGTGTGTCCTTTCCGCGAAGTGTCGTCGAAGATCTTGAGCTGCTTGTTTTCGTCGGACGACAAGAGGTCACGCAGCTCCTCGTTGTACAGCTCGATAAAGGACACGCGCACCGAGTACTCCTTCTCGTCCATGTCCAATTTCTTGAACAGCGACTGCAGGACACGCGGGATGATGCCGGCATTATCAGACAACATGCCCATCGTCTCTGTCAGATCACCCGACATGGTATACGTCTTGCCGGTGCCGGTCTGGCCGTACGCGAAAATGGTACAGTTGTAGCCGGCCAGCATCTCGTCCAGCACAGGGCGCACGACATCCTCAAAGATCATAGCCTGATCAGCAGCCTGCGAGAAGACGCGGTCGAACTCGTACGACTTGTTGCTAACAGCGTTGGGGCCCATGGCGAGCTCGAGCAGCCTGCCCTTGGTGCCCTCGGTTCGCACGACCACATGGCTGTTCTCGCGCACCTCGCGCTCGTTGCGTCCCCGGCATCGCACCACGACATTGATGTTGGTAGCCTCCATGTCGTCCAGGTCGAAGTCGCGCTCCTTACGCTTGGCGCCTGTTGTTGTCGCTGTCGACATCGACGCCACCGACTCGGCTGGCGACGCTGCGCGCTGCAATCGGGAGATGGACGCGTGCCTAGGGGCGTTCTGCGAGGATTGCTGCTGTCGTGTCGTAGCCTGTCTTGTTGGCGGCCTGATGCCGCTGGCGCGCCCAGCCGTCGGTCGCGGGGGCGGGCCCATGTTGGTGGTTTTGCGCTCCATATGGAGCGGAGGTTTCGCGTCGTTGTCGTTTCGGATGCTCTCTCGATGGTCGTGACGGGATAGTTGCGGGCGAGGGCTGCGTTGTTTTGGTTTGGTTTTTTTTTCTTTTTTCTTTTTTTTTTTGGTTGAACGCGACGCGGGTAAACAAAAACAAGCAGCAAATGACCTCGCGTCGATTGATTACGCGTGTAGTCGTTTATTTAGAGATTATAAAACTGTAGAAGACGAAAGCAATTCTGGCTCCTTCTGCCAGACGACGTTTGTTGGATGAGGGGGAAGCGTGCTGCGGGTGCGATATCAAAAATGGCATGAGCAGTGCGTGCCGTGGCATGGGTCCCTGAGTTCGTGTGGGCTGCGCGTGGATTGGCTTGTACGGGATGCAAGGGTCGGGAACAATACAAACATCAACACTGCAACTCTGTTGCTGTGGTGATTTGAGGACCCACATGACGAGCTTGGCTTCTTGGCATTCATCGCAGCACATCCCCACTTGCCCCTCTATTATCTCTTATCTCTTATCTCTTATCGGCTTGACGCCAGTGCCTCGCGGTGTCTGCGCGCCGCGCGCCCCCCCTCCCTCCCCCCCCCCCCGGTAGATGACGTCCACCTGTCGCAGATCACGAGGGCGGGCGACCCTGACCACGAGGGTTGCTTGCCTGCTCGTCCATACGGAGGAGTATCTCCCTATCCGTATCGCGCTCCTTATCTATCCGCGGGTTTCCGCTTCATCTCCTCCTCCATCCGTGCATCAATCACACATTCTGCAATTTACGTTCTGCATTTTGGGTCCTGCTGCCTTGTATTCTTGCCATTCCATCTGGTCTACGTCTTGGATCGTTGTGTGTTGGCTTCTTCCATCTTTATTTTAGCTCCCCTGTCTCACCGCCTGCCACAGCGCGGGCCATCATCCATGTAACCAACGCTCCTTTGCCTAGCTACCTTTTACCATTTTTCTTTCTCCCTCTTCCTTTCGCGAACACTCGGTTGCATCCTCTGCTGGCGCTCGCTGCCACTCCTTGCGCCAGCTGTGAGCGGATGGAACTCGTGCATCCTCGCATTTCCAGCCCTTACTAGACTGGTAGCCGTCCGAGCGATTACCCCCCCCCTCCCTTTCTTTTCTTTTCTTTTCTTTTCTTTTCTTTTTTTTTCTTCTAGCGACTTACAACTCCATCTCGGTAGTACGACGACCTGCAAGCTCCCATCATGTCGCTCTTCTCAGCCCAGCTGCATCCAGGCCGGGCGCTAGGCTTCCTCGTGCTCGGCGCCTCGCTCCACGACGTGTTGACCCGGCTTAAGGCCGAGCCACAGCGCTTCCCCAAGATGGAGCTGATGTACCCGCCCGATGACCCTATCCATGGCCAGATCGTTGTCGTCCTGCCCACAAACGGCATACGCCTGCGCTTCGATGGCCCCGAGCAGCGGCTGCGCCTGATCGAGGTGCTCAACTTCACAAAGAACCACATCTTCCTCAAGCCGGCCAACGACAAGGAGCGCGACCTGGTGCGCCCGTCCAGCACAACCTCCTATGACGGTGACGCATCGGCCGGTCCCACGTTCCGCCACATCTATCAGCGCTTCTTGGGGCCGACGTACGACGGCGAGTACCTGCCCGACTCCGAGACATACGTGCTGTCGTACCCGGGGGTGGCATTTAGTTTCCCCATGCGCCGGCAGGACTACTCGCCTACGAAGGACGTCGTGTCGCTTCTGTCTGCGAATGCTGTGCCGACGTCCATGGCTGTCTTTAGCGGCGACTCATGGGCGCACGCGCGCGAGACGATGTGGACGGAGGTCTTGCCTAGCGTCAAGGCTTTTGCGCCGATGGCCAAGGGCAAGGACTTGTGTCCTGACGAAGTGTCCCTCGTCAAGATTCATGGCGGCGGCAAGCTGCAACTGTTCCGCAAGTGGACCAACAACTCTTTCTGGATCACGCTCGGCGAGACGACGCCTCAACAACTGGTGGCAGAGCTGGGCCCTCCAGATGCGATCTACCGTAAGAACGACCAGCGCATGTATATCCACAAGCTGCGCGCGCACAGCAACACTACGAACAACCGCCCGAACCTAAACGACCTCAAGCGCGGGGACGACTTGACCGATACGGACCTGTCATCTCACCCGCCCTCTGACGAGTACGACGATTCCTCCTCCAACGACGGCTCCAACTCGGAAGCCATCGAGGACGACCCGGACGGCCCTTCCGAAGAGTGCTTCTACAATTACTTCTACCTCGGCTTCGACGTGCTCGTCTCGACGCCCACTCTCCCCTCGCCTCCCCCGCCGGGGCAGGAATCGCATACCCCCGACAGCAGCAGCAACCCTTCTTCTCCCGTTAAGTTAACATCTCCCGACCGCCTGGTCGCCACAAAAGTCATCCTCCACGGCAACGTCCCCGGCTCCTACCCCTTCAACCGGCATCGCCGCATCCGCTGGGAAATCAGCTACCTGCCCGGCCCGACCCCGGCCAACTCGGAGACGCCCTTCCCCCAGATCGAAGAGCGCTTGCGCGAGCGTTGGAAGTCGGCGTACCCTTCTGACGGGGAGCTGAAGCAGCAGCGGGGGATGGTGCTCAACCGAGGATGGGGGGATAGTCCGGGGAGTAGTTGTGAGTTTCTTGGAGGGTGGGAGGAGAGTGTAGGGGGCGTGAGGAATGGGGATGATGTCGGGGTGAATGGGGGGAGGTTGACGGGTATGATGACGACGACCTTGTTTGGGTTTCCCGGGTTGGTGTTTGAGGTTATGAGGGGTGGGTGGGTTAGTGCTGTTACGGTGTTTTAGCCTTAAGCTTGGATGTGTGATGGATGATAAAGATGCTGCTGCTGCTGCTGCTGCTGCTGATGATGATGATGATGATGGGATCAATTGGTTTTGATACGGCGTCTTATGGCTGGGTTTATTGAGCTGGGATTGTTGCAGATGGCATACATAGCAATGGAGTATCTTGGGGGGGGGGGCGGTGTCTGAGTATGGGCTTTGTTTGGTGTATGTAGTGCATTTATCTGTTGCTATATATATATATATGTCTGGGTTATGTTAGCAAATATGTATGCCTGTGTTCAAGGTATTTCTGTGTAGGTCAGAGCCTCCTTGCATATGAGTGACATGGAAATAGCAAACATGCACAATCTGGCGGGTGGTTGGCGAGGTTGTGTTGAGACTTTTGAGTGAAAGGAGAGGAGGACAAAGGAGACGCGGAAGCCTTGTCCTAAAGTTCCAACTGCCTATGATAGCAACCGACTACCCTCCGAGTTTCAATTTCATTTTTTTAAATATAATATCTAAAGCTCATTATCAAGTTTGTAGTGACTCTACTTCCAACAAAAAAGCATCTTTTTGTTAATAGTCAATTTGTTTTTTTTTTTTGTCGGAGCTCCTGAAAGATAAAAGAGTTTTCATCCTTTCATTCAAGAGGCTGTAATTTCGTTACATCTCCTCTCCGTATTTTACGCCCCAACACCCCGTCACATGAGCCCCACAGAGGGGCAAACACGTTGAATGCAACACGATGCTGCAGCCAATCGTCGGTGGGGTTCTTCATTTCTTGGCACAAGGTCCACCAGCTCCTTTCCCGCGAGCCGTGATGCAAGGGTCGCAGAAGGCGCGCTATCCAGCGACGACTTTCACATGAACCTGAACCCTGAACTTTTACTCCTCCAGGTCGGAGGTCAACTGACACTTAACAATTATCGTGAAAAGACCCATCCTAAGGCAACAACACCCTCGATTCCTCTCGATTCGACTCGACATCTCCGGAATTTTCACTCGATCCATACACTGCTGATTGATAGATTTTTTTTCTTTTGGAGGAAGGGAAATTATCTAGCCATGCGCATAGTTAGCTGTTTTTGAGCGCGACGACGTTACTTAGACGCCCTGACACCGACATCGACAGCGGCGTCGACGACATCGACGACAGAGAGTTGACATCGCCGTCGACAACGATTAGAGTCAAAAAGCGCGGCATGTGGGAAGTTGTATGGCATGCGGATGCCACCGCGCCGAATTATTTCAGCGGGAGAGTGCGGACGGCACGTTTGTTGACGCTTCTCCAGTCGTCGAGTCTTGACTCCCATCTCCTGTCGCTGTCGGGTTGTTCGTTCGATACTCTTCAATCGCAATGACGGACCATCGCAACGCCAGCTTCTCGACTTCCAGCCCCGTTGCAGCTGGACAGTCGTCTCGAGGATCAACACCCGTGTCATCGACCGGTGCTGAAGCTCCGACCCGCCATGGCGACAAACGTGGTTCGCTCACGGGCAGGACACACAAGCATCGGTCCAGCAGCGGCTTCTTGCTGGCCGATTCGCTACTAAACCGCCACAGACGGTCGAGACATCGCAGCTCGGAGCCAGATTCCCAACATCATCTTCATCGTCATCATCATTATCAGCAGCAGCAGCAGCAGCAACAGGAGCTCTCACAGTCGCAAGACGTGAACGCACAACCGGAGACCCCCACCAGACCATCATGGAGCAGCACCGCCAGCCCGCAAACTCCCTCCTCCACGACGGAGACCCAGCGTACTTCCTTCGCTACCGAGTCTACCGCCGTGTCGTCCCCCTCCCCCTCGCGATCAACCGTCTCCCAGCTGGATCTGGAGTCCGCCCAGATCGTCAACATGGCCCTGACGCTGAGCGAGTCGAGGAGGCTTGCTGCATCGAGAAGGACCGTCTCCCAGCCTGTCAGTAGCGGTGCCGCGCCACCGAGGCTGTCACCTCTACCGGATGCTGGGGCTCCGGGGTCAAGTTTAAGATATCACCTCCAGCAGCAGCGACGGGCTGTCGGACAGCCGCGGACGGGATCCCCTAAGCCAGATCGTTCCCCGAAGATGGTACCTACGGGGACGAACACCCTCACACCGATGCACTCTTCGTTCGAGCATACCACGCCACAGCCGTATCGGTATCATTTCTCGCAGTCGACACTGGCGCGCGCGCAAAAGGCGAGGGAGTACCTCGAGCTGATGGCCCAATACCGGCGGTTATTGGAGCTCGTGCCCCCGTTGGAGCCACCTCGGGAAAAGACGGCCAAGTCCCGGAATGCCAGTCCGCCTGGTACACCGAGAGATTCGGCTCCTGCATCGAGAGTGTCGAGCTCCGAGCTGGAGACCAAGCTTGGACGGCCGTACAATCCCCTGCAGTACATCCGGAACCGCAAGGTGCGCGCGCGAGAGAGGAAGGCGATTGACGGTGAAGCGCAGGGATTCAATGACGTGAAGAAGGTGTCGGACTGGATTGATGAGGTCGCCAAGTGGGTTGCCACGGGGCAACATCGCATACCCGGGAACCCTGCGCTGCCGCCGTTTCCCGGGGCGCAGCATGCTGCTCTGCAGGCGTCATCGTCGTCGTCGCCGGCGCTGTCCAGCGTGCGGAATCCGGCTGCTGCACGCCCGAAGCGGCCGCGCGTGGACTGGGTCATTGAGCCGGCGGATATGTTAGCAGATGTGTACTGGCTGGAGCAGGATGATAATAAGAAGTTGGTCGAGGACCGGCAATGGAGGAGGGTGTTTCCGCAGCGGTCGGATCTGGGCAAGCAGCTCGCACACGATGATCGGCTTGCTGCGACGCCGGGGTCGGCGAGGGACTCGTCGGATGCGCATACGCCGGGGGACAAGTCCACGCCGGATCTGCCTACCTCTTCGCATGAGCATGTCCTGACTGCGGCAAGGGATCGGGCGCAGCAGAAACTGCGCGCGCTTAAGGCTTCCCATCATCGTCAGGCGAGTGTTATTACTAATAGGGATTTGTTAAGGCTGCATCGGAGTTCCATGTCGGAGTCGTCGGATACGGATGGGACGGATCGGAGAAGATGGAGGGTGCGTCCGCCGGGAGGGAAATCCGTACTCGAGCTCAAGGTGGAGGAGATGTATGCCAAAGAGCTGAGGGATGCTGAGTCGCATCCGCTGTATGACCCCGAAACGAAACAGCTGAAGCAAAGTGAACCAATGACGCCCGAACAAGGTGGTCCAACAGCCTCTTCAATCCGGGCCCATCGCCGCGCAAGCTCGAGGATGGATTACTCCGACAGTCGCACCTCCGCATCCGTTATCGGTCTCGGCCTCAAGCCTCTGCCCCTCCCCCACGGCGGATCGAGCCCCCAGCCCGGGGCACGCGCAAGCCTGGAAGTGCCCTCCCGCGTAGGGAGGTTCTCTATGGAGGAGGAATCCTCGCAGCCTACGACACCCGAGCTCCGTCCCGCAAGAGAGATTGGGTTGATCCCGCCTATTGGAATGGACTTGTCGCCACTTTCGCCTAGCAGGCCTAGTTCGCCACCACGTGTCAGCGGGAGTAGTAGTAACCCGCTAACGAAGGTGCGGAGTATTTTTCATGATCGGAGTAAGGAGCGGCATGCTGCTTCTGCTACTGCTTCTGCCTCTGCCTCTGCCTCTGCCTCTGCCTCTGCTGCTGCTGCTGCTGCTGCTGCTGCTGTGGAGACACAGACACAGGAGAGGTTGCAGGTTGGGGCTGGGGAGGATGGTTTGAATCCGGCTGTGCTGTCTGATGCAGCGACGGCGTCGCCCGAGACCGGCCCGAGTAACGTTCCTTCGCCTCAAAGGGGGTTGTCTAGGAGTCCGGGGGAAAGGGCTACCGCTTCTGGGGGTGCGGAGGGGGCGAAGTTGGGTCATCGGCCGAGTAAGAGTGTTAGCAGTGGGAAGTTGCGCGGGGAAGATGGCTCGTTGAGTTTCAGGTCGCTGTTCCGCGGGCCGAGGATTGATAGTGTCTTGAAGAGTGGCGTGTCCAAGGTCAGTGATTTGTTTTGGAGGGGAGGGAGAGACGGCGTGGAAGATAGGTTGTCTGGGTCGTCGGATGAGGGTGAGGGGGATGAGGATGCGACCGCGAGGGTGAGAAAGGCGAAGAAGGAGGAGAAGACGCCGCCAAGGGATAAGGAGAAGGGGCTTGAGGCGTCACCACATTCGATTCCGGGGTTGACGGTCTCGTCGGCGGAGCAGGGCAACCAACAGCAGACTATCATGCTGCAGCATCCTCCTGCCCAACCCCTCAGTCGGAGGTCGTCCCGTTTCGAGATGCTCAAGCCCCCCAGGATCGACATCCAGTCCGCATCCGCGTCATCATCATCCCCAATCCCCCAGCTAGTCGTCCCCGAGAGCGTCGCTTCCGACGCAGAATCAACCACTGCCGCACAAGACAGAGCCCGTCTCGCCGGCTCACGCCTCGACGCCGTCGTGACCGGCCTCGCGCCAACAACATCACGCCCCTCTCATCACGCCTGGCCCGTCCCAGGGGGCGGTATGGCCCCCGTCCCCATCCTATCCCGCCGGGACGTGGCCCGTGTGCGCGCCATGCTCCTCAGCACAGGCATCCACGCCAGGGAATTATCTCGTCGAGCACATACCTCTCCTCTGCTACCTCCGGCCGATATTATCCCTTTCTTCTTCTTCTTCTTCTCTTTTCTTCTTCGAACCAACAACAAATGACAGTCTACACCCGCGTAACTATTCACCCTGCGCTTGCGACGTCGTTGACGGGCCAGATCCAGTCTACAACCTCCCACCTCCACGCCCAAACCTCTTCCTTAACAACATCGACGATCCCTGCCTTGTTAGAAAGGGTCGACACCCTCCGTCACACGACCACCCGCCTCCTCGAATCCCAAGTCCATTCCGCCGCGGACATGGCAGACGAAGCGGCGCGGGACTTGGTCGGGCGTGAACGGATGAAGGTGAAGAAGGCGATGGACGAGATCGAGCTGATGCTGCGCAGGAAGAGGCGACGGTTTAGGTGGCTTAGGAGGGCTGGGTGGGTGGCTGTGGAGTGGGCTTTGGTGGGGTGTATGTGGTGGGTTTGGAGTGTGGTGGTGTTGGTGAGGATATTGGTCGGGATGGTTAGAGGGGTTGGGAGGGGGGTTAGGTGGTTGCTGTGGTTGTAAATGAAATAGGGTATTATTGAGCTAGGTTCTTTTAAGGTGTGTTTTTTTTTTTGGATCCCGGTAGGAAAGGGGAGTTTGGAAGATTGGTGTAAATTGAGATTCGGAGAAGAGCTGCGTCAAGGTTGTTGTCCTGGAGATACCCCGAGCCTCTTTTTTTTTCTTCTTCATTCTTGTTATTAGTTATGATTTATATACATAGTGGTCCAGGGTTGAGGCCCTTTTTTTTTTTCTTTTTGGGAAGGGGGGAGGGGGTATTGGACTGTCTACAATGACAACCTTTACATGGGTTTCCTTTGTCATCATATCTATCTATCCTCATGGTTTCCAATTATGGTGAGATGGGAGAGGCTGACCAAGAGCTAAAAAGATGAACAAAGACGGGATTAGGGATGTTCTTCTGTCCAACCGTTCAGCTACCAGTTGCCAAATTCAACCTAACAATCTACGACCTGATGGATGATGTCCATAACGGGCCTCAACCGAACTACTAGTATGCCAGGGAAAATAAGACAAAAATTGAAAATTTCAGTATTCCCTCAAGTCTATAATAGATGATGCATGCCAGAAAAGTAAGTAGGCAGGGAGGGAGGAAGGTAGGTCGGTAGAGGTAATAAAAAAAATAAAAATAAAAAAAAAACAAAGGTGAACCCAGGGCAACTTTCCCCTGCTTACTACAAGAGTTTTTAAAACTCCCTGCCTAGATAATCTAACCAAATATTGACCCAACACAAGACTAATACGTAAGTAACCCGAACAAGACCACAAGACAAAAAGACCCAAGACAAAATGCCCAAAGTCCTGACCACTGTAGAGACGCAAGCCCGAAAGAGTGTGGCTGTCTGTTGTACAGCTGCTGCCTACTCAATCCTTTTCTTCCCTTCCTCAGCATTGACATAGCGCGCGGTGCTCAATCCCCTCTCGTGTCTTGCCACCAAGGGACCCAGGATACGATCCTTCCGCACTCGCCGGATCGTTTCATGATACCCTTCTGTTGCCCAGGGACGGGGATTAAGTTTTGGCCAGTTGACCTATCTGCTGTTAGCAGCCATCCCAGCAGGCTTATGAACTGGGGAGAGGGGGAAAAAAAACCGAAAAAAAAGAGGGTAGGATGGAGAGAGGAAGGGAGGAAGGGAGAAGGGATAAAGAAGGGAAAAAAAAAAAAAAGGGGGGGGGGCCGGGGGGGGAGGGAAAGGAGGAAACTTACATATAACATTCCATTACTCATCACAAACCAGAACCCCCAAACCGCCACCAGCGCCCAGAAAATTGTCGCCAACCTAAGCGGCCAAATAGCTTTGTCCGACACCCTGGGGGTATACAGCGCCACCATGACAAAGAACGCCCCAAACGCAGCAATGTACGGTACAGCCTGGATCCAGACCGGCCTGCGATCCGCAAAGACATCGTACCCACCGATGCCACCGCCGCCCATGACACTAATCGACGGCGTGCCCGCTGCCACGGGGACGTATTCGCCAAGGAAGAGATCGAACGCGTCTTGGCGGGGGCCGTCGGTGAAGTTATTCTTGCAGTAGCGTGTCAACGCGACGCGCAAGTCTTGCAGCGCGCCGGCCTTGGTGCGCTTGCCCGTGCGCGTAAGATCTGTCTTCATCGCGCCGGTGCCGGAGTAGGCTTTGCTCACGACGTCGGCGTTGTCGGCCCAGATGTTGCGGAATAAATTCTCAAAGGCTGGATCGGCGTCCGCGAAGCGGGCTCCGCGCGGGAGCAGGCCTAGGTCGGACAGCATACGGTCCAGGGTCCAGCGCGCCAGGAGGGATTGGACCACGTTCGTGCGGTCGAGGCAGTCCATGCAGTTAGTGCGGACGACGGATGTTTGGAGGGAGCGGATCTCCAGACGGGGGAGGCCAGGGGCTGCGGAGAGTTGGCGTGAGCCGGGCATGTCGACGGCGCGGAAATATTGTTGGGCGAGGAGGGCGTCGCGCATGCGGTCAATTAGGAGCTGGGCGCGGTGCATTTGGAGACCCTTGGTTTCGGCGTGGAAGTCGAAGTAGATGTAGTGCAGGCGATTGGCGATGGAGGAGCGGGAGTTGCCTGCGGTCTCGATGGTGCGGAACTTCTCATCCGTGTGCTGATCGGCCTGGATGTGCTCGACGCCGGTATTGTTGGTGAGCATTTGCACCATCTTTTCGTAGGCGTGCTTCACGGGCATCTCGCGGCCCTTTTGATTGACCAGGTTCACGAGGTAGTTGTCGCCATAGAGACGGACCTGCTCCTCGAAGTGGGCGCGCGCAGCCGGGTAGGCAGCCTCGATCGCGCGGATTTGCAGCTTGGGCGTGTACTTGAGTGTGTTGATTTCCGCCCAGAAGGCCGGCACACTGCCGCGGGTCTGGACATACGACAGGATCTGCATCTCCTTGTGCTCGCCAGCCTTGCTGGTCCCGGCGCCGCTAGCATAGCCGCTGGCGTTGTTGTCGTTCAACACCAGGATCTGCTCCGTCTCATTGTAGTTTGCCGCGTGGCCTTCCTCGTCCAGACCCCGGGTAAAGTAGCGGGTGCCAGCACGGTAGCGCGAGCGACGGGTAATCAGGGCCAGCGTCAGGGGCGTGCCGGAGAAGGTGGTCGGATGGATCTCGAGCATGCCGAAGATCACGGGGAGGATATAAGGGTCGATACCGGGTTGAGGGGCGGGGAAACCGCGGGCACCCTGGTTGCGGAAGTTGATCAAGTCGGACTGGAGGAAGCGGTTCCAGAAGAAGCGGTCGTCGGCGCGCTTCCAGAGGGGCACAGCAGCGTCCTGCTGGGCTTGCCGCTGGAAGCTGTTGGTGAGGTCGAGCGTGTACGAGAAGTACATGGGCCCGTCCCGGATGAATCCGCGCAGCAGGGCCAGGAAACGGTCCTCGTCGGGGTCGCTGATCTGTCGCTCGCGAAGGGGAAGAAGCTCTGTGGCGACAACCTTGTAGACGGTGTGGCCACAGAGCTTGCCGACGGGCTTCGCTTTCGTGATGAGGACGACATACTTGTCTGCGAGAGAGTCATGGTTAGCCCCGAGGAAGAGAGAGAAAGGGGCAAGAGTCGGGAGTCAGGGGCAGCCTACCTAAGCGCAGACGGATTACGCCCAAGATGCCGGCGATGCTGGTGACGCGCGACACGCGCTTCCCTGCGAGCAGAGAGGCATCGCTGAGTCTGATGTCGCCGGTAGGACGGTCGATCAGCAGGGCCGGAGCATTGGGGCTCGAGGGCGACGAGAAGATGTACGAGTCGGAGGCGTGCTGGACGTTGACGTCGCGGAAGGGGAGCGCCATGATAGCGACTAGCGAGCGAACGGAAGGGAGGAAGAGTCTGGTATTAAATTACGTAGCTTTTCAGAAAGGGCATTGAGCTGAAGAAAGAGAGAAAAGAGGGAGTGGCCAGGCTCCCACACTGGATGGGAGTCGGGAGTTGCGTTCAGGGAGGTTGTGCTGAGGGCTCGAGAATGAGGTTGACGATGTTCCCCGTTGGAGAGATGACGCTGTCTGTCAAATCTCAGCGAAATCACGAATCGGACACTTCCCCAGTAACACAGGGTTACGAAACTCGAAACTTACGAAACAAAACGAAACATAACCCTGGGAAACAGGGGTTTTGACCCTTACGCCCCGGGGAGCGAAACACCTAGTGGGGCAATGGCCAGCCCCACCCCACCCCTTTCCGACTCGAGCCAAGCCCTGCCGGCTGGCAGAGAGAGAGAGAGGAGGGAGAGAACACAAGAGAGAGAACAACAAACTTCTGAATATTGGCACCTGCTCGGCACTGCCATCACGTGGCGATTCAATGGATGTGTGCACGGGCCAAAAACTCACTTATCGCGGGCGGGCGGGCGGGCGGCACAGGGCACCTGATGAATGCACAACAGCCTGGTGCCGCCGCTGGCCGGCCAGTGGCAGTGGTGGCCAGGAGGGCCAAGGCTGCCTATGCCCACAGCAGCACCGTTCACTGTCCACTGTCCTGGCCACTGTCCGCTGTTTCGCTGATGAATGGGCTCTCTTCTCTGCCCGCTGACTGGCAGCAAGGCCGCGAGTGCGTGCGTCAACAAACTCCTTGTTCCGTCCCTCGCCCGTCAATCACCAATTCACACACCGCAGGTAGCGGACGGTTTTATCGCCTAGTCTCTGGTCCCGTGCCTTCCTCTGACCTTGATTGATTAATCGATTGATTGATTGATTGCCTTCCGCCAGCCTGCTTGTCATTTGGTATTTTTGTGCTTTGTGCCTGCGACCGACCCTCAGCTGCACATTTGCATTTGCATTCATCATTTCATCAACTCAGCGAACCGCACCGACCCATCCTGGCCCGGGCTTCTTTGTTTCCCCGCGACTGATTGCGACGACACATCCCTGATTCCTCGGGTTCCCCATAAGAGGAACATCCTACCTGCTCACGACTCACTCGCCTCTAGGCAACCGTTTTTTAGACCAGCCTCGGGCTCATTTCTTGATTGATTTTTTTTTTTTGGGCCGCGCCGCTAGCGCATTATCTACTGGCCGACGGCACTCCGCAAGCGCTCATCTCCTCTGCGCGGAATTCTACTTTGTCTATCGACAGACAGACACAACCACCACACACATCGCCAAATATGGCTACTCGGGGACCGCCCGGCGCCCGTGGGAACACCCGCTTTGCCCAGTTCAAGCTGGTATTGCTGGGCGAGTCGGCCGTGGGGAAGAGCTCGATCGTATTGCGTTTTGTGAAGGTTAGGATAGGATGGCCGAATTTATCAATCAATCTTAAAGAGAAGGGGGGGGGGGAATGATTGCTGACGCCATGCAGGACCAGTTTGACTCGTACCGGGAATCAACGATCGGCGCGGCCTTCCTCACACAGACCATCTCTCTGGACGAGAACACAACAGTCAAGTTCGAAATTTGGGATACGGCCGGCCAGGAACGCTACAAGTCGCTGGCGCCCATGTACTACCGGAATGCCAACTGCGCTGTTGTCGTCTACGACATTACTCAGGCTGTAAGACCTCCTTCCCCCTTTCTCCTATCTTATCACTGAGAGTACGATATCAGCGCTGACACATCCTCCCAGGCTTCCCTCGACAAGGCGAAATCCTGGGTCAAGGAGCTGCAGCGGCAGGCAAACGAGAACATCATCATCGCGCTGGCGGGCAACAAGCTGGACCTGGTGGCCGACAACCCGGACAAGCGAGCAGTGCAGACGGCCGACGCCGAGGCCTACGCGCGCGAGGCCGGCCTGCTCTTCTTCGAGACGTCGGCCAAGACGGCCGAGAACGTCCAGGAGCTCTTCACCGCCATCGCTCGCAAGCTGCCGCTTGATCAGGTCGGCCCGCGCGGCCATGCCCGTCCCGGCCAGCGGCCCGGCGTCAGTCTAGCACCGGAGAGCGCGAATACCCAGGTTGGCGGGCCTTGCGCTTGCTGAGGAGTTGTCAGGGGAAAGGAAAGGGGATGTGTGTTTGGGGAAGGCTGCTTTGCACTCTACGTTTCTTTGGCTTCCTCAGCATGGTTCAACTGGCAGGGCAGCACTGTTTTGTAGGGTATTGAAGCTGGATGGAGGAGGAGGAGGAGGAGGAGGAGAAGGAGGAGGATGATGATGATGATGGCAGATGGACTGACTGCATTGCACGACGGGGAGACGGCCGGATGCATGGTATGATGCCTTTTAATATTTCGTATCTCTGATTGATGGGTTTGTGTCAGCGTGTGAGGGATCGAGGGCGATCCAAGCATGCGCTGTATAATACGAGCTGTGACTGCGAACTGCGACGACGATACGGATAGAGAGAGAGCAACATGCTGGAGATAATCCTAATGGGGCTCGCTGGTGACGGTATTTTGAACATATGGGTTCTTTTTTTTTTAAAACCTTTTTTCTCTTCTTTTTTTTTCTTCTCTTCCTTTTTTCTTCTTTTATTTTTTCTGTTAAGCCAGCGGACTTGAGATATGATCGCCTCCTCTCCCTAATCATGATAGCCAGAGCCATCGATAATGTTTTCCGTGTAACAATGCGTAACGATCTGTGTAGGTATTCAATACAGAAAGACGATCATGTAAGTTACGCAGCTGGCAAGCTCCACGCCAAGGGGGGGGGGGGGTCCCGCCAGGCCTCGCGCGGACCCGGAACTTTGCCGAGCTCTTTTTCGCTTCCGGGCTCCTCGTTGCTCTCTTGGTCGAGTCGGTCCTCGACAACCCACATCCGCCCCCCCAACTGCGCCCTTGCCGGCCCCTCCCCTATCCCTCATGTTGCGGACATCGCTGCCATCCGTGAGGGCGCTGGGCAGCAGGCCTGCCGCAGTCACTGCCGCTGCCGGCCGCCAATGGCAGCTTGCCGCCGCGAGGCGTGCCCAGCTCAATGTCGCCCAGGTACGAACATCCCCGACGCTGACGCTGACATGCCCTTCGTGACATGACCTCATCAGTAGCTCGTCTCGGGAGCCATCATTGTATCATTGTCTGTGAGAGCTAACTCGACCCTCCAGCGCTTCTACACCGACGACGCAAAGCCCGCCTCGCCTGAGACGACTACTAGTACCACTACCACAGCCCCTCCTCCTCCCCCTCCCCCCCCGCCCCAGACGACGCCTCTTCCCCCGCCACCCAAGAAGAAGGCCGGCTTCTTCCGCCGTTTGCGTAACTACATCCTGACGCTGACCTTCCTGAGTGCTCTTGCCTTTGGCGGCGGCGTATGGTACTCGCGTGTCAACGACAACTTTCACGACTTCTTCACCACCTACGTGCCGTACGGCGAGCAGGCCGTGCTATACCTGGAGGAGCTCGACCTCAAGAAGCGCTTCCCCAACATTGCCGACCGCGTGGGATCGTCTAGGAGGTCCGATCTTGGTGACAGTGTCAAGGTTGCTCCCCATAGTGGCGCCTCGTGGCGCGTGGCCGACGGCAGCGAGATCTCAGCCCGCCAGTCCAGCTCGATTCAGGCTGTTGAGTCCGCGAAGAAGGAAGCTAAGGTCACCAGGGCGAAGCCTGCTGTAATTGAGGAGGCTAAGAAGAAGGAGGAGGAGAAGGAGGAGCAGACGCCTAAGGAAGCTGCTGCCTCGGTTGTTCAGGAGAAGAAGACCGTGCCTAAGCCCGAGCCCCCCAAGTCTGAGCCCTCGTCCCCAGCTGCTGCTATTGTTCCCGCTGCTGCTCTTGTCGAGGAGAAGAAGGAGGAGGAGGAGGTAAAGAAAAAGAAATGGAAGGCTCCCGAAGTCGACGAGCCGTCTCGCTGGCCCCCTGCGTCCCCGATTGATCCTATCACCGTTCCCGATGCCGCTGAGCCGGTTGTCCAGGAGCTCGTCCGCATGCTGAACGACATCATCACCGTCATCAACCACGACGGTGCCAACGAGAAGTACGGCGCGACGATCGGCAAGGCCAAGGAGAAGATCGCCAAAGTCGGCCAGAAGATCCGCGACATGAAGGCCGCCGCCGAGCAGGAGGCCGCGCAGCAGGTCAAGCAGAAGATCGACGAGTTCGACAAGACCGCCAACGAGCTTGTCTCGCGCCTCGAGTCGGTCATCGTCGCGCAGGAACAGGCCTTCCGGCGCGAGTTCGAGGAGGAGATGGCGCGCGTCAAGGCCTCCTACGATGCCAAGGTCCAGCTCATCCAGCAGCGCGAGCGCCAGCTCGCCGAGCAGCGCCTGCAGAACCAGCTTCTCGAGCAGGCCGTCGAGCTGCAGCGCCACTTTGCTCGCGAGGTCCAGGAGCAGGTCGAGCGCGAGCGTGACGGCCGCTTGGGTCGTCTCCAGGAGCTCTCCGCCGCCGTCGCCGACCTCGAGCGTCTGACTGCCGACTGGAACAGCGTCATCGATACCAACCTGCGCACGCAGCAGCTGCATGTGGCTGTCGAGGCTGTTCGCGCTTCCCTCGATGACGCACGTCACCCGCGCCCCTTCATCCGCGAGCTGGTTGCGCTGAAGGAGATTGCCGCCGGCGACCCCGTCGTCGACGCTGCAATCGCCAGCATCCCGCCCTCGGCCTACCAGCGCGGTATTTCCACTCGTGCTGAGCTCATCGACCGCTTCAGGCGTGTCGCGAACGAGGTGCGCAAGGCCAGCTTGCTGCCGGAAGACGCGGGCCTGGCTAGCCATGCCTCGAGCTACGTCCTGAGCAAGGTTCTCTTCAAAAAGCCGGTACCGGCGACGACGACGACGACGGCCGGTGCAGTGGGAGATGATGTGGAGAGTATTCTTGCCAGAACGCAGGCTTTCCTAGAGGAGGGCGACCTCGATAATGCGGCGCGCGAGATGAATGCGCTGACGGGGTGGAGCAAGACATTGAGTCGGGATTGGCTGGCGGAGGTGAGGAAGGTATTGGAGGTTAGGCAGGCTTTGGAGGTGAGTTTTTTTTTTTTTTTTTTTTTTTTATCTACCGGAAGATGCTGACACCTTACAGGTTATACAAGCGGAGGCGAGGCTGCAGAGCCTGAGGCTGGAGCAGCAGTAGACAGCAGACAATACGGACAAAGGGGACTAGCTTATACAGTCTCTCTATTTTTCCTTTTGTTAAAAGAAAGAATTGTACATTGCCTGTTATCTACGTAGATTCGTGCCCTGTCTTATGGAAGAAAAAAAAATAAAAGAGAGAAGAGAGCGCGGATGGGAGGGACGGACAGAAAGAACGGTGAGGGCCGTGTGTGTAAGGTAGTCAATAGACATGTTTGGCAAATTGGTTTCAAGAGTATGTGCAAAGTGCTTTGCTTACGCATTATTTTACCCTAGGGGTAGAGGGTGTTAGGATGTTTTGAGATTCGCAGTGGTTGAGTGAAACCCCTTTGATGGTCCCACATCAAAGCTGGGAGCTTTATATCCTTGTCTTTTTTTTTTTTTTTCATTTTGTCAAGCTTCAGGATCTGTATCAGCTCTTTGGAACTCACTATTGAGCTTTCTGACTTTGGTCAAAACAAGCCTTCATTCATTCAGTCAGTTTCCATCATTTCACCCTGCTGCACATCTGGTTAAGCGGCGGCCTCTTGTAACCCTTATTATATCGGGAGCCTTTTTCTCCTTCAGCGATGAAGTGAAATCACGCAAGTTTTCTCTCCTCGGATATTATTATGCCACCTCTCCCCATCTGCTCACTCACCGGGGATCGAATCGCTACAACTCGAATATTTTCAATCCAACCGACCTTCAAACTCTTACTTCAGCTCCCCCGTCTCATTGCCATCACAACTCGCTTTCTGCGTCCTTTCTCTCAATATCCCTGCAAAATGCCCTCCATCTCACCCCCCACAATAGACCCCTACACCCTAGCCCTCCATCGCCTCTCCCTCCTCCAGTCCAACCAATCCGTCGTCTCGCGCTTCTCCCAACTCCCTTCCCAGTCAAGTCCCAACAACACCCAAGATGGGAAAAAGACCCAGACAACTAAAGAAGACCTCAATGCCCTCTCCCACCCCGAAACCCTCTTCTGGCTTGCCCGCTCAGGGTACACGCCCTCTTCCCTCGCCCGTGTTCACAACTTGAAGTGTGTGCATGTCGCGGGGACGAAGGGAAAGGGAACTGTGAGTACCATGGTGGGCGCTATACTGGGAGAGTACGCATCCCAGTTGGGTGCGGGGGAACGGTCAAGGGTCGGGCTGTATACCTCGCCGCATGTGGTGGATGTGAGGGAGAGGATCGCTTTTTTCTGCGAAGGGGAAGGGGACATCATCCCCAAGGAAGAGTTTGGGGCGGTTGTCAATGAGATATGGGAGAGGCTTACGCAGGCTGCAAGGGAGGAGGTGGAGGAGCTGAAGCAGGGAAAGGAACTCACCCCAGAGGAGGAAGAGGAGATCCAAGGACCGACGACAAAGCCATTCTTCTTTAAGTTCCTCACCCTATGCGCGTTCCACGCATTCGTCCATCCTTCTGTCGCCGCAGCGGTGATAGAGACCGGCATTGGCGGGGAATATGACGCGACAAACATCCTCCCGCCGGAGTGCATCACCGCGTCGGTGGTGACACAGCTGGGGATCGATCACGTCTCCATGCTGGGGGCCACGTTGCCTGAGATTGCGTGGCACAAGGCGGGGATTTTCAAGAAGGGGGTCAAGGCTTTCGCGAGGAAGCTGACGGGTGAAGAAGGGGAGAAGGTCATGGAGGTATTGAGGGGAAGGGCAAGGGAGAAGGGGGCCCAGCTGGTGGAGGTTGAGGATAGCTTTATCGAGGGCTGGTCTGGCTTGCCGGGGACGACGGAGGGCTCTGAGGGGAAAAGAAGTAACCCGTTCTTGAAGCAAAACGTGGCTTTGGCCGTGCATGCGGCGAGGGAGCACCTGCTCCGGAGCGGTATTACTCTTCCAGAGAGGTTCGCTTCGCCGGACTGGACGATGGCAAGCTTACCGGAGGAGTTTATCCGTGGTCTACAAAAGGCGATCCGTGCACCTGTTCTACGCGGGAGATTTGAGACGTATACGGATAGTCAGGGGAAGACGTGGTTCCTGGATGGAGCACACACGACGGATAGTTTGGCGGGAGTGGGGAGGTGGTTTGCGTCAGAGATCGGAGAAGGGTATGAGGACGAGGTTAGGGTGCTGGTGTTTAACCAGCAGGATCGGGATGTTGGGGGCTTGTTGAGGGCGGTGTATGAGGGAGCGAAAGAAGGCTACCAGGGAAAGAGCAGGGTGTTTACGCATGCTGTGTTCACAAGGAACGAAGAAGAACAGAGTGGTAAGGAAGGGGAGAGGGACTTGAGCGTGCAGAAGAAGGCTGAGGAGACGATGAAGGCACTGGACGAGGGGACTATAACGGAGGTATTTGATGCTGTCAAGCCGGCAGTTGAGTACATCAAGGATTTGGCCAAGCAGGGACGGGCGTGCAAAGTGCTGGTGACGGGCAGCTTTCACCTTGTTGGACCAGTATTGAGGACAATTAATCAGTCATAAGTCGCGTCCAGTAGAAATTCTGTCTATCTAATCTGATAGGTAATTTGGGCAAAAAAACAAAAAAAAACAAAAAACAAAAAAAAAAAAGAACAAATCGATTCCTCCCAAACTCCCGAACGAACAAAATTGGATGCCGCGAAGCAGACCTGTATGGGTTGAATACATGGCAAACATCACACGGCGGTTGATGAAAACCGGCCGGAATAATGATAACACGCACAAACCATCTTACAAAGCGTCGGCGCGCTCGAGGATACCCAGAGCACCGCCGACTAGATGCAAGCTGCCGGTAATCAGAGCCTGCCACTGCGGGCCGCCAGCACTCTCAGCTAGTTCGCGAGCCTTATTGATAGCCTCTTCGATACTGGGGATGAGCATGACATTGGCTGAGGGGTCCAAACTAGACCACTTCTCAGCAAACAGCTTTTGCTGCGTCATCTTCTGGATGTCTTCAGGATTGTACTGGTGGTTGACAAAATCTGGCGTCATCGTCAGCACCTATCAGACGTGTTTTAGTGTAGCGTAAACCAGGAAGGCTGAGGCGTACCCCGCTTATACCCCGTCGCCGCATACGTGACGTTCGTGCAGAAAATAACATGCTCGAACCCCTTCCCCGTGGGATCGGCCTTCTTGATGGTATTGCACAACCCCTCCAGGAACCCGACCGCTTCGCTACGGCCCTGCTGATTGAATATCAGCACCTTGGGTCCGCCGTCAGGTCGTGCAGCACACTCCCCTGCAAACCACCGGGCTGCCATCTTCAGGCTGTCGACCGTATGCGCACCGTCCACATGCCAAATCACCCGGTCCTCGGACTTGACTTCGCACCGGCCGCGCCAGACGACCTGTTCCAGGCCTTCGATGAATTCTTGGGGTAACCTCTCAGGATTCCGCTCGAAGGATGGATTAAGGCGCTTCAGCGCCGCCTCAGCCAGCGCGATGGCCAGGCTGGCATTCTTCTTCTGGAAGAGGGCGTCCGGCCGGATGTTGACGCCTTCTAGACGAGGATCGACGCCCAGCACAGTCAGGTCCACACCCTTCTCGACAGCGCGATCGCGCAGCACCTTGTCAGCTTCTGGGACCTGCTCGATGGTAAACGCTGGGCTGCCGCGCTTCATGATGCCGGCCTTATGCCACGCGATCTTATCGACCGTGTCGCCCAGGACAAAGACATGGTCGATGCCCAGGGTCGTGATGCCCGTCGCGACAGGGCGCTCAACCACGTTGGTGGCATCATACTCGCCACCAATACCCGTCTCGTAGACGCATGCTTCGACATCTTCTGACAGAAAGACGTGGAAGCTCATGAGCGTCAGGTACCGCGCGTAGATGGGCTTGGAGCCCGGGGCGACCATATCTGATGCGACGGAGGAATTCGCCTCGAGCCGGTCCCAGACCTCGAAGAAGTACTTCGCGAAGAGCTCCTCAGACAGAGGCGTAGAGTTGATACGGATGCGCTCGCGCACAGCGATCAGATGGGGGGATGTAAACAGGCCGATCTTCTTGGGGCCCTTTCCAGAGCGCTGGTAGCGGGAGAGGATGCTGTCGACAAAGGCGCAGGTGCTGCCCTTGCCCTTGGTACCGGCGACGTGGACGATGTTGAGGCGATCGAGGTCCTTCGGGGAGTAGCCGATGCGGGCAAGGTAGCCGCGCATCTCGCGGACGGAGGCGGCATCAGGACGTATGCCGGCCTTGCGGCGGGCCTCGATCACGGCGTAGGGGGTTTGCAGCGTGTTGAGGGCGTCGATGGCGTCCTGGGGGCAGTCAGCGGCGGGGGACGGGACGGCAGAGATAATCAATGGATGATGATGATGATGCAAGGACCGGCCTGGGCCTGGCCTACATTGTATGTGCGGGACGCCATTGCCATTGTGTGGGAGATGAGTCGAGACGACGTGAAGGATGGAAAATTAGCTCTTGATCGAGAGATAAGGGTCCGGGTCGTGGCAACGGCGGGATGCTGCAGGGCATGAGGCATGACGCATTCAAAAGACGTGCAGAGTCAGAGATAGCAAAAGGCTCATCATCATGGTCGATAACATCATCAGAACAGGCCCGATGCGTGCGATATGCACATAGCGATGCGACGATACGAGACCCAAAAAATTTCTGCGAGTCACTGGGTCACGTCACTGCGTCACTACATGCAATGTAACTGGAGATGCTGCTGCGGCGGATGGGATGAAACGGAGTCAAAATTTCCAAATAATTTGACGAGGCAGCAGCAGCAGCAGCGAAGCTTCCAGCTCTGTCGCAAGCTCTGCAAGCTTCCAACAGGCGGCTTTCGTCGGTGCAGATGACGCCGAACTCGGTGGCCGACGGGTCCTGCTCGATGTGGTTCGTGCACGATACCCCGCGGTACTACCCCGCCATTTTGCGGGCCCACCAGAAAAGTTTAGGAGGGGCTCAGGAGGAGCTTCCCCTTCAAAAGTTGCTCTTTGCTGACACCTCGACAAGGCAAGATGGCCGAGCGGTCCAAGGCGCCAGGTTCAGGTCCACCTGAATTGGCTCTGCTGAGCATTCCTGGTCTCCGCAAGGGGGCGTGAGTTCGAATCTCACTCTTGTCATGTTTTTATGCCGGGTCATATTTTCAAATTTTTGCTCGGGTTGACCGCCGGTGATAACGTTAACTTTTACGGTTGTTGGAATCTGATCAGAGTCTTTTATTTTTTTTTTCCCCCGTTGTTTTGACCATGGCCTTGTAATCTGTAATTGATGATGACAAACACTTCAAACACTTCAACTGTAAGGTGAATATCGGCATGCCTATCAAGACAAAAAGGCAACAATTGACGCCCCAGGCTGACAGCCAACAACCGCAATCTGCCGCAACTCTCCCCCTTCCCCCCCTTGTCGCTTCGAGATGGTAGAGTCCCATTACCATCTGCAGCGCTGCAATGCGACGTCCCCACGCGCTGGGTCGCTGGCATCTAGGCCGCTAGGCCTGTCGTCGCATCACGCGCCAGCCGAGAAATAGCGCCCGCTGCAATCCATCCCGCATCTCTCTCTGATCTGTTGGGAGAAACAAGTGCCGGGTGGCAGATTGAGTGTCTCGTTTACCAGGTCACCACCCCTCAATCAGCCCACAATGCCCTCATGACACCGGGCCATCCGCTCTCTCGGTTTGTCTCTGCTTGAGCCCTGCAGACAGAGACGCAGCAGCCGCAGTAGCAACAGCAACAGGACGCCAGCATGACGATCTATTAATGCGCCCAGCTCCATACCAATTTCATCCAGTTTGCCCGTTTCACCGACGCCAGCACTCATGCTTTTATCCATGGGATAAATAGAGAAAAAAAAGTTACAGGGCCTCACCTGACGTCCTGCCCAACGCGATCCAGCGATGTAGCGCCCATCGAACCCCCCTAGATGCGGATACCAACGGTCACATACCCCAGAATTGATTGGGCCGGTTAAATTCACTGGATAAAATGACTCCCCATGCGGCCCTGCCCCGTAGCGCAACCAGTTCGTGGGGACGCGGCCGGCCGACTGCCAGCGACTTCGCGACTCCAACGACAGCGACAAGCTTCTCGGGACCTGGGTAAGTGTGGATGCCCGACCACAGCAACCAGGCCCTGACAAGCAAATCCATGGCGTAATCGGCCCCAGGCGACGCGCCGCAGTGGAGATCCGTGGTGGGGGGAGATTGCGGGCGATGCGGGATTCTTTTGCTTCCCTTGAGATATGTTGCTAGCCTGGGACACTGTAGACTGCGACGGATGCTATCAAATGGGGCGCTTGTACATGTACCTGTCTCCTCTTTTTTTTTTTTCCTCTTGTCTCTTTTTCTCCTCTTCCACACTCTGCGGCTGGCTCCCCGCTTGGCTGACATGGCCGAAATGGATGGAGGTGGCCCCCTTTTTACCCTTCCCCAGGGACCCAGATGGACCACAGGCCTGGCCACAGGACCATCCATGGATGGAAAAGTCACGGTGACAGGTGCCAGTAAATGAATTTGTGCCTGAGCTCGTGTCTACGCACGGGGTGATCGGGAAGCGTGAGGGGAGCTCCCCTTCACCCTTTCACCCCCGGGCATGTCCAGACTTTTTTTCTACCCTTTACCCCTCTGGATATCTCCGAACAGCGGTGCTGCCCGCTGGCCGTTGCTCCGTGCTGTGTGACTGCCTGTCAACCTGTACCGGTATAAAAGGGGCCATCCTTCTCGTACCTTCTGCCCCTCTTCCAGCTCTGCCAGATTCCAAAGCTCTCTCCTCTTCTTCTCCAACCTCTGCTCCTTGACTGAGCCTCTGCGAGGTCGTCATCCATCACATATATAGAACCTTTCCTCAACCCAATAGCCAATCAGACACAATGGCGGCCGGCAAGTCTGTAAGTTTCGCTCTCCATGCCTTGACACTCTCATATTTTTTTTTTTTCCCTCCCCCCTCCCCCAGAACTCTTTCTCTAATATCCGTCTTGCAGAACCTCTCCTTCGTCCTGAAGAAGCCCAACGAGGTCTCCTTCGAGGAGCGCCCCGTTCCCAAGCTCCAATCCCCCCACGATGTCCTCGTCGCCGTCAACTACACGGGCATCTGCGGCAGCGACGTGCACTACTGGGTTCACGGCGCGATCGGCCACTTCGTGGTCAAGGACCCAATGGTGCTGGGCCACGAATCGGCCGGCACGGTCGTAGAGGTCGGCAGCGCCGTGACCTCGCTCAAGCCGGGCGACCGCGTCGCCCTGGAGCCGGGTTACCCCTGCCGCCGCTGCAACAACTGCCTCTCGGGCAAGTATAACCTCTGCCCGGACATGGTCTTTGCCGCCACCCCGCCCTATGACGGCACCCTCACCGGCTTCTGGACCGCCCCTGCCGACTTCTGCTACAAGCTGCCGGACAATGTTTCCCTGCAGGAGGGCGCGCTGATCGAGCCTCTGGCCGTGGCCGTGCACATCGTGCGCCAGGCGCGCGTCTCGCCCGGCCAGTCCGTCGTCGTCATGGGCGCCGGCCCCGTCGGTCTGCTGTGCGCGGCCGTCGCCCGCGCCTTTGGCGCCAGCAAGGTCGTCTCGGTCGATATCGTGCAGAGCAAGCTCGACTTTGCCAAGAAGTTTGCCGCTACCCACACGTACATGTCGCAGCGCGTATCGGCCGAGGAGAACGCGAAGAACCTGCTTAAGGCCGCCGACCTGCCCGGCGGCGCGGACGTCGTCATCGACGCCTCCGGCGCCGAGCCCTCGATCCAGACCTCGCTTCACGTCGTGCGCATGGGCGGCACCTACGTCCAGGGCGGCATGGGCAAGGCTGATATCACCTTCCCCATCATGGCGCTGTGCCTGAAGGAGGTGACGGCTCGCGGTTCCTTCCGCTATGGCAGCGGTGACTACAAGCTGGCGATCGAGCTTGTCGGATCGGGCAAGGTCGACGTTAAGCAGCTGATCAATGGCGTTGTGCCCTTTGAGAAGGCCGAGGATGCCTTCAAGAAGGTACGCGAGGGCCAGGTCATCAAGATCCTGATTGCTGGCCCGAACGAGAAGGTCGAGAACGGTGGGCTGGATACCACTGTGGATGAGAAGAAGCTGAAGGAGGCGAAGGTTAACGGGTCGACTGGGTGCTGCTGAGCTTAGGAGCGTCTTTGTTTGTCTGTCTGAAGCTTTATAAGTCGTGACCTTTTTTTTTTTTTTTTTTTTTACTATCTTAGTGTTTCTTCGGAGGTAGGCAGGGTTGCAATGGCGTTACGGGTGCATGGTTGGGTTTCATTTTCGATTGTCGTCATGAGATTTGTAGACGGAAATCTAATGCGTACCGCAATCGTATGATCACAGTATATCCGAAGTTATGGGTGTGAAGCGAACAGAATATCGAGCTTAAAAGGAAACCTCTATGTAACACTTTACCTTCCCCCTGGGTCTACGACACACCCCCTCCTACTCCATGTCGTCAGTCTCACACACACACACACACACACAAACAAACAAACAAAACAAACAAACAAACACTCCCCGATCCCCGATCCATCGTTTGTTTACATCCCCAAATACCTGGCCCCAACCTTCGTCCCCTCCTTGGCCCCCTTAACACCAATCCTCACCACCTCCCCAGGCACGATATCAACCAGATTATCCTCAAACCACACCCCCTCATCCTCGCTCTCGAGCGCAACACCCTTAACCGGCACCTCCGCACTAACCTCAACCGCATCCAGCCCTTTTGTCAGCGAAGCAACCAGCTCCCGAGGCCGCTGCAGGTGCACGTACTTCAACGGCTCGGGCCAGTTGACATACCTTGCCAGCTGTTTCCCATCCGCCTTGGACACCAAGTAAGCGGCCACAACCGTCTTTCCCTCCTCGTTAACACCCTTCTTCCGGACGGGGACCTCCATCGCGGCGATCTCGGTCGACTGGTTCGCCGGGAGGGTGAGGTCCTCAGCCACAACAGCTGAGTAGGTCTCATCTCCAGTAACGACATCCCACGCTTTGAGAACGCAATCCACCTTCAACTCTTCAAGCGTCAAGTTCGACCCCCACACCTCGATCTCTGTCCTCACATCCACCCTCACCCTGGTATATCGATCCTCGGGATGCTTATGCACTCTCCTCGTCATACCCACGCTCACGGGTGCCATCTCCCTCTTAATAGTATACCACGCCATCTTCGGCCGGAGGTAATAATCCACCACCGACCAGCTGGTCACCGGCCAGCAGTCGTTAAGCTGCCAAACCAGCGCGCCGGCACAGTATTCCCTCCCGGGACCCTTCCACTCCCTCTTCCACAGCCTGTACGCCGAAGCAAGGCACTCGGCCTGCATCAGCTGCGTGGCATAGACAAACCCTTCCAACGGATCCGGTCCGTACCGCAAGTTCTCCACCAGATACAATGCAATCCTGCGCTCGTGGCCCTCGGCTTTGTTATGGAAATCGACCGTCTCGCTCTGGGGGTAGCGATCCGGATCGTCTTTGCCCTTGGGCAGGTAGGCGTCGATGGTGCGGACGGAGGGGAAGGCTTGCATGCCGAACTCGGAGACAAATCGACCAGCCAATTTGTCGAAGTTCTGCCACTTTTCTTGCGTGCCGTGCCAGACGTTCCATTGGTGGATGTCGCCGACGGTCGGGTCGTGGGTGTCGCGGCCGGCACCCCAGGGCGAGCCGGGGTGGTAATAGACGTTGGGGATTAGCGCGGCGCAGACGTCGGGGAGGAGTTTTTCGTAGATGTAGCGCGCGGGGAAGTCCGTCTTGAGCCAGTTCTCGGGGTCCTTGTCTTCGTAGTTGTAGGTGAGGTTGACGCTCTCCGCGAACTGGTAATCCTCGTTGTTCCCCGCCCAGATGACGATGGACGGGTGGTGTCTGAGCCGCTTAACGTTGGCCTCGGCTTCCAGGCGAATCGACTCGAGCAGCTCCGGCCAGGCAGGGTAGTTCCCGCAGCCGAACATGAAATCCTGCCAGATGAGCAGACCCAGTTCATCCGCGGCATCGTAGAATGCCTGTTCCTCGTAGATACCACCGCCCCAGACTCGGATCATGACCTGATTGCCCTCAGCCGCCAGGCGTAGCCAGTCGTAGTAGCGTTGGCGAGAGATGCGCGGGATGAAGTTGTCGGCCGGGATCCAGTCGCTGCCGCCGCAGAAGATGGGGATGTTGTTGATTTCGAAGAAGAAACTTGTGCCGGGCTGGCCTTGGACCGGGCGCTGAATGAGTTCGGCCCGGCGAAGTCCTATGCGTTTGGACACCGTGTCGATGGGAGTTGTGGAATCATCGGGGGAGAGGAGGGTCGTTGTCACGGTATAAAGCGGCTGCTCGCCGTAGCGATGGGGATACCAGAGGGCAGGAGAGTTGAGATTGAAGGTCGTCGAAGCGGAACCACCTTCGGCAGTAACGGTGTTGTTCGCGACTTGTTGGCCGTCGAGGGAGATTGCCACGCGTACAGGGCCAGTGTTGGAGCCCTCGATGGAAGCAGTCACCTTGATGGTAGCTGAGCTAAGAGACTTGTCCACTTCGCTCTCGATGTTGACGTCGGAAAGACGGGCATGGTAGATTTCGAGATGGACGGGGCGCCAGGGGCCGCAGGTAAGGAGGGTCGGACCCCAGTCCCAGCCCTGGGAGATTGTCAACAAATATACATCTTCGGTCAGGGGAAAGGTCAGAAACCAAGGATCAAGGACATACCCAGTGATACTGTGCTTTTCTTACAGCCAACCTCGAGTTATCGCCATTCCAGCACCCCCACTTATGCTCAGGATATCTCTCAACCAGCTTCCAACCCCTCAAGTACGCACTGTCAAACGTAATGACCAGCTCATTCTCCCCCTCCTGCCTCAGCGTCTCCGTCACATCGACCCTATAGGGCAGGAACATATTATTCGACTCCAGAACCGTGGTCCCATTGAGCATGACCGTAGCAAATGTATCCAGCCCGTCAAATGCCAACACGGCCTTCGCGCCCTCAGGGACCTTTTGGCCCGCAAACGTGGTCCGGTAGGCCCAACGTTCCTCGCCGATCCATTGAACTACAAGCTCATTTTTGCCAATGAAGGGATCGGGGATCAGACCGTGGTGTAAGAGGTCGAGGTGGACATTGGTCGGGAACTGGGACACAGGGAGATATTGCGATTTGGGGTCGTCGGCCTGGCGGAAGGACCAGTTCTTGTCGATGGGGATGCGGACGAGGGGAACCATCGTGGCTCAGGAGAAGCAATCTTTGTGCTTAGGAGACCGTCAGGCTAGGCTTTTCTTGGGGGATTGCCCCGTTGGGGGGGGGAGGGAGAGGAGGAAGAGAGAGGGGAGGTGAGGGGAGGTGAGGTGGTAGGCAATTGGAGTTGGAGATAGCGGGGTAGCAATGAGGGGTCAAGACACGACAGGATCAGGTCGTTTCTTCACCACGCGCTTTCTGTTTCTCAAGAAAATTCGAAAGATGAGAAAGCTGCAATGACTGTGTGGTAGTCGAGAAAGGGATCAACCCAAGCCACTCGACATCTCAGCAGTATTTATCTCGCCGACCAACAGCATCCCTCATCTGATGTCCGCGTACTTATACTTCCCAACATTACACTCCATATCTCGAGCGCAGTGAGATGCGTAACCGCGTCTAAGTGCCTGAATGGGATGCCCCACGGCGCGGGCCATGTTGCCCCGCGGTCAGCGGATGAAGCATGCCCTGGCCTTGTCGGTACCCGGTTGGTTAGCTCGGTCGAACTCGGGTCAGTTGGGTCCAGCTGGAAGCTCCGGTGGGTGCCATTGCCAGGTTGCCAGGGGCTGGGGACCCTGGGGCTACCGCTGTAGCTGTTCTCTTGGATTCTTAGGGGTATAGGTTGGTTGTTCTGCTTCATATGCTCATGACTTTGGTTCCCAGGTCACTTGTTGTCCAGACATCAGAAGCTGCACTTAGAGCTTTCCATCTTCGTTCATGCCTCATATTGAGAGCTCAGAAGCCAAGAGGAACTCTCCCTGGACAACATGCGATGCCACAGCAATACCAATGCCCTGAACCGCATCCGTCGTCTATTCAATGTCCGCTGGACGAAGCCGCAGTACCGCCGCAAGTACCGACATGCCGCGGTCGCTAAGCATCAGCCTAGCCTACAAGAACACCCAGAAACCAACAGCCCGTGCAGCCTTTTCCCTGCAGCGCTAGCAGGCCCTGACCGCGGAGGGCGCCTTTCCGCGACCGTATGGGGAAGAAGCCAAGACTGCATGTAGCTGCATGAGCGGCTCTATCTATCAGCCATGCGGCTAAGCCATCTGCATCATTGTCAGCCTTGTGATGCGAAAAGGATCATGGCACAGCGTAGGTAAAACGCGAATGGACGGGGATGTTTCTAGTAAATTCGTATGACCAGATAGAAACCAACAAATTGCTCATCAAGTATCCGGCGAGTCTATCCCGGTAGCCATGAACGCCATGCAAAGGAAGAAGTGCTCCTGAAACTCAGATCTGCCTTCCGTCCATCAACCTATTAAGCTTCCTGCAACCAGTTCAGTCGCCATCCATCCATCCAGACATTATATACGTAGACAGGTAGACACAAAATTACTATGGTATCACAAACAAAAGCCTCACAAAAAACAACAACAACAACAACAACAACAACAACAACAACAACAACAACAACAACAACAACAACAACAACAACAAAAACCCCCATACCCGTCGCATGCCCAATCAACAACACCCCCCTCTCCGTCTACGACTCGTCAAAGTAAATACCTCCTCCCACTCCCTCAACGCCTGCCCGGTCCCTCCGCCCCGTCTCCTCCTCCTCCTCCTCCCAATCCCCTCACTCCCATCCCCCGTAACCCCACTTCTCACACTGCCCCCATCCGCATCACTCATCCCTCCCCACACAGCCGGCGCATCGCCATACTGGATACCACTCATCGGATCGTCAGGATCGATCTCGCCCAGCTCGATCTTGGCGAGAATCATCCTCGCAAGCCGGCCAAACACCTCATCGACGCCTTCGCCGCTGAAGGCCGAGACCTCCATTGTTACGGGGATGCCAACTGTGCTGGCCCAGCGGGCGGCTTCGACGGCGGAGACTTCGCGCCCGTCGGGGGCGACCGTTGCACGCCATTGGCCCGGACCGCCGCCGGCGGTTGCGGTGGTTGTGCTGCCGCTTCCTAGGCTACTGTTGTGTGTGGAATGGCTGTGTGGATGGATGGTTGACGCTACGGAGGAAGAATACGAGGCGCCGGATGAGGAGGGTGGGATAGCGGTGTTAGCGCTGGTGTAGGAGCTCGCGAGGCTGACGGTAGAGGGTGTCGGCGGGGGTATACTCATGCCTATGTTAAGGCCAGGCGGATGAGGGGAGTCGGCGAGGTCGAGTTTGTTGCCGACTAGGACGATGGAAAGATTCGGTGAGGCGAGCGCGCGGGCATCGTTGAGGAACGGTTGGAGATTATTGAAAGAAAGGCGTGAGGTGATGTCGTAGATGAGGACAGCGCCTGCGGCGCCGCGGTAGTACGAGCGGGAGACGGAGCGGAAACGTTCTGTGCCGGCTGTATCCCAGAGCTGAGAAGGGTCAGCGAGGGTGTGTTAAAGGGGACGGAGGACATCAAAGGACACTTACCTGGAGCTTGATCCGTTTCCTTCTTGCCCCCGTACCGACTTTGATTATCTTGCTTGCGAACTCGACGCCAATGGTTTGTGACGAGAGGACCCTCCACTCATTCTTGACAAACCGGTGCAGTAAGCAAGACCTAGCCACGTCAGCAACCGTGTTTCCACCTTAAGGACGAAGCTTTGGATTACTCACTTTCCCGTACCGCTTGGCCCAAGCAGAATCACCTTGGCCAGGTAATCATACATGCTGCCCAGCTCCTGTTCCTGCTCGCGTACCGTCGACATGCTCTCCTCACTGCCGGCCGACGAGCGCCGCGGGCGCCCAAGCCCGGGCAGCTCGTAGCTGCTCATCTGTTGCTGCTTTTTGCTTATTGTATTGCTGTGGGAGAACAATAAGGCCCCTCAGGGTCCGGACTCCAGATCGAGGTCGAAACTAGCTGGTTCAAGTCTCTCTCTAATATCAGTGGTTGCGATCCCAGGTTGTAGCCGGTAGCCCTCTCGTATGCGTGGGTCACCGAGCCTCAACAAAGATTTCTGACCGAAGCATGAGGATTGTTGCACGCGCTCTATGTTTCTCACCAACTGGCCTGTGCCACACACTGTCAAAAAATTTAGCAGTGACCGGACAATTACCCCACGCACGCGCGTTGTGATTCTGAGAGAGAGAGAGAGGGGTGTCTCTCTAGCGTGGTCTCTTGCGATGTCGTGATATACTGGAGCTGGCTTATCAGAGCGGATGCTTCTGCTGGGGCTTGCCTGCTTGCATGTGGATCGCGGCGTGGATTATGCATCTGACAGGGTCCTGATATTTTTTTTGATCGGGGCTGTGGGGCCTTGCGTCACTACCGACCAACAGAATGTCTTTATCGACATGAGATGGTACTTTACAGTCTTGGCATGAAATTACAATTTACAGGGGCTGTGCGATATCATCGACTTTTGTAGGACCTCTATGATAATAACGGTGAATCGCTCTCCATCACTGAAGACTCTGGTCTCATTTGTGAACAAGTTCCTTTTTGTATAAGGAATTGAAGTTATTATTAGAGCAAGCAGTTAGCATCTTGTTGTCTTCCAATAAATTGAACCCTGAATTGGGCTAATGTTGTGAAAGCTTTCGTCACAGAAAGATTGAAGCCCAGCATACAAGGACCAAAGGGGAGTTAAGATTGAAACAAGGGTCCTTCACGTTCATGATTGTCTCCCATCTTTCCTTTGAACTCACAAAAGCACTCAGGAAATATCCCATTGCAATATGGCAGAACATACAGATTTCTCACGCCATACAAGATCTAGAACTGAGAATCTCATCTTCATCTTTCTTGCCTCGTCTGTCGTGGAACCCACCCCCTGGATCTCGGGGTCTCAGGGTAAAGCTCCTGCCAGCCTCGGCTCCCCGGCTGTTTGGGTGGAGCTCCGAGCGCTTGTCCCGGTGAGACTAGAACGTCAACACCATCTTAATGAGCCTTGACGTACACATCACTCGAGCTTGACACCAGAGTCAATTGCTCTGTAAAATTTCTGATCGCGTCGTTCTAAGTACCCCTCCATCATGAAGATTGAAGGACGCACTTTCGTCGTCTCCGGCGGGTACGTTTCCCCAATTACACATCACGTGCGCCGCATTCTCACCTCACCTCACTCTCACAACTCCTCCCTCATCACCATCCTTTACCTCCCATTTACCATCTATCTCATCAATAATGTGCTAACCGCCTCAGCGCCTCTGGCCTCGGCCTCGCAACAATCCAATCCCTCCTCTCCGCCGGCGCCTCCGTTGCCCTTCTCGACCTCCCCTCCTCCCAAGGCCCCTCCCTCGCCCAATCCCTCCCCCGCACAATCTTCATTCCCGTCGACGTGACCTCCACAAGCGACATCACTGCGGCCGTAGAAAAAGTCAAATCCTGGATCGCCGAAACGGGGCATCCCCTAGGCGGCATCATCCCCTGCGCGGGCGTCGGCTTGCCCGGTCTCATCCTGGACAAGAAGCTTAACCCCGTCTCATTGGAAAGCATCGACTTCGTGCTGAACATCAACCTGCGCGGCACGCTCGATCTAGTTCGGCAATTCCTCCCCCTTTTGGCCAAGGCCCCACCCGAAGGAAAAGACGGCGAGAGGGGCGTGGTGGTGATGGTGGCCAGTGCAGCCGCGTTCGAGGGGCAGATGGGGCAGGTAGCATACGCAGCGAGCAAGGGCGCAGTGGCGTCCATGACGCTGCCGATGGCAAGGGACTTGTCGAGGTTTGGGATCCGAGTTGTGACGATCGCGCCGAGCATGTTCGACTCGGCCATGACGGCTATGTTGTCGGATAAGGTGAAAGAGGGGTTGCGAAAGGCAATGGAATTCCCGGCCAGGCCGGGCCAGCCGGAGGAGTTTGCTAGCTTGGTGAAGCATGCCGTGGAGAATATCATGTTGAATGGCGTGGTGATTCGGTTGGATGGTGCGACCAGGATGCCGAGTAAGCTGTGAGAGGGGAGAGCTCTTGGACGCAGTTACGATGCATCTTCACACAAGAACTGGGAGAAGAGCAGTATATTTAGTAATCCGCACTTATTATTGAGCTAGGATCATTGACTAAGATACCCTACTAGGCGAGGTTTATGTGTCCGTGAATGCCACACCATCATCACGCATGATGGGATTTTGCGCCGACAATGTCCAGCCTATCGACCAAGATGCCATCTATCCCTGCAACGCCAAACAAAGACATTTGGTGGCAGATCTCAGCTCCAGATTCCCCATCCTGATCCCACACAGTAACCAGGTAACTCATAATTACGATCCCAACTGAGGCCTCTCAGCACGTTTGCGCCAGCGAGGCAAACTTGATCAGAAGATTACAGTCTCGAGGAGGTTAGAGGTCATAATATCAAACAGTATAACAGCATAGAGCACTGACCACCAGCCTATCCCTAAAATGCTGAGGGTAGTTGAATCTACCCTAGGTTAATCGTCATAGTAGGGATACCGATCATGCTCCCAGCGACCATTCGCGCCATCTGAACTGGCAGGGTGATAACGATCCCAGAACTCCTGTGGAAGGCAGCTACCGCGATATCGGCGACGGCGTGAACGAGATTCGGACGGAGAGCGGTAGGTGTCACGCAGCGGCTCAGAGACACGAGGGGTCCGCTCGCGATAGCGCCTAATATTATCGCTTCTGGAAGCCTGGAGCGGAGAACGACTACGGGAGCGCTCATGATGGCGGCTACGCTCATCTTCGCGGCTAGACCGTATAATTACATCCGCCATGCGAGCACCCAAGGCAAGCCCTTCAAAGAATGCCTGGAGGGCAATCGGGTTATTCCGTGCATAGTCTGGGAGTTGAACGTCTGCGAGATTATCATGTTGAGAAGATGGAAAAGTTGGATGGGGTGGAGACTCATGTTGAGCAGGACGAGCATGCTGATTAATAGGCACTTGTTGAGGCGGATGGGGAATCTGATGGGCAGTTTGCTGTTCCTGAGCAGGGCGAGCAGTCTGATGTGTGGCCTTCTGGGATTGGTTCATATTTCCCTGGGATGACGGACCCGTGGGATTGCTGGACTTCTGGTTCTGCTGAACATTAGCAGCGAGATTGTTGTTGGGTTTGCCGTGAGAGGGCCGGTATGTGGATCCCCTCCGTTGAGCCTGTTTCTGAGCTTGAAAGGCTCTGGACCCTAGGGCATTCAGAGCCCTTTCCGCAGCAACGATCTTTGCCCATTCTGCCTTGCGATATGGACCGGCCATGTATGCGGTACTCCTCACAATGACGGTGGCAAACCAACCCTCATTGGAAGACCTGGTTTCCCATTGAGGGATGCAGCCACGAAACTCGCATATCCTAGAAAGTCCGAGAAGGGCACTTTTGCGCGCTTGCCAGCGAGCTTCTTCCTGAGCAGCGTGTGGATTGGGGAGCGACTGGGTGAGATGCCGTCCCAGGCCACTCTCTCCGTTAGAGGCCTCAACTTTAACAGCAGTGGACTTGATAGCTTGGTGAGCACCGGATCCTCCAGCAGCTTTGTTGGTCTCTTGCAAACGATGATCGACCTGAGAAGTGCCAAATCCTCCGATCCAGGTGTTGCTGTTATTCGGTGAGAGTTGATTGACCTGAGGGGTGGCAGTTCCATTGTTCTCCTTGTTAACCAATGTTTGTTGGGCTTGAGGAGCCCCTGAAGTAGCGGGCGCTTTTGCGGTCTTGTTGAGGCTCATGGGCTGTCGGTTGGTCTTCGGAAGAGCAGGTGCTTTTGTCGGCTGAGTAACTTCATCTGGCAGTGAGGTGACCTGCGGAGGAGCAAGCCCAACAACCGACTGTCTGACAGTGGCCTGGGTCGCAGGAGACCCTGCGGCTGACTTGTTGAGATTCTGAGAACGCTGATCGAACGGGGGGTAGCATTCTCAGTATCAAGCTTGGTGGTCTCCGTCAGGGAGCCATTGCCTACCCGGTGGGTGACACCCCCTTGAATTGAATCACTGCCGGAACTCTGAGAATGCTTTGAGGTTTCCAAAGCCGCAGTGCTCCCCGTCGATTTACTAGTGGACAACGAAGGCTGGACGTTAGAAATCAGTGGAGCGGCAGATACTTGAACTCGATCGTTCCCGGAAGTCTGCGATGTGTCGGTGGCTCGGAAGGTGGTAACCACTAAGCTAGACGTAGTGCTCGAAGTCTGAGAACAATTGGTAATCTGTGGGCTGGTAAAGTCACCAGCTGAATTGTTAGTATTACGACGGCGCTGATTGAGTTGGGGAGTAGCAGCCTCTGTGTTCACCCTGTTGGGGATGATTCGAGGAGTACTTGCAGCCTGCCGGCGGGCAGACCCTATAACAAGTGTGCCACCAGAAGTCTGTGAACGATGGGCGATCTGGGGAGAAGAAACACTCGCAGTCAAACTCTGAAGAGGACGTTGTGCTTGAGGGCCGATTGCAAGCTGATTGCTCTCGGCCGTGCTAGAAGGATGACTGACAATGGGCGATGCAGAGAAGGAGAACAGATGTGCAGCAGGAGCCGAAGGCTCGCGAATCTCACCAGGCTTAACTGAAAACGACTCAGTGACTGAACAGAGATTCTGTCAGAGGTAGATGATACTTACGAGAGCCTAACCGATCCCAGCCCTCATTAGAGGACTGTCCAAATATGCAGGGCGTTGCGCTGTTGGCTGAGCGACCAACGGTGAATGAACTTGAAGAATCTAGATTGTAATTAGAGAACTGCTGGATTGAATGATGCGAGGGAACTTACTGTTGCCTGTATTCCTACTGAACGTAACAGGATCTGCCCTCGAGACCAAGCTATCGTTCTCTGAACTCTGACTTGAAGGCCGAGCAGTTGAGGGTGTTACAGAAGCTACGTCTGGTCAGCGATGTGACAACTGCTATCAGAACGACGAAGAGCTTACCATTTCCAGTCACCCTGCTTGTTGAAGAGAAGACACTCGAAGTTACCGAAGAAGAGAGGCTTGAGGTCGTCGAATCAAAGAGGTTGACCATTGGAAAACCAAACAGGTGGCTAAAAGCAGAAGGGGGTAGCAAAAAGGAACTCTGTGAATTAGGCACGATGACTGAGTTTGTGACTCGACCTGGAAGGGAGGAGGCAGCGGGGTTTGTGTCGCGACTCTTGTCAGAAAACGCTCACGGCGCTGGGGGTAGAGGACAACGGTGTGCTGCCGTAGTTCTCTTGTGAGTCTGTAGGACAGGAAGTCATGGGATTGCTTTGAAAGACTCTATTGATGATCCGGTTGTATTCTCCTAAAATGACGCCAAGTTGATGAACTGTGGCTTGGGACCCTTGATGGCAATATCGTCCTCTGGACAGAACAGTTAGCAAGATGTTTTTGTTTTTTTTTAAAAAAAACGGGGGGGGTGAGGATACCGACTTTCTCTTGGGGAGGAAACGAGGAATTATTGGTAGAGGGCATGAATGAGAAGCCTCGGGTACCGATGAGGTATTATGAGAGGAAATTAGGGAACTTACCGACTTCTTGATGCAAGTCAACGGGATTAGGGGAAAAGAGTCGATGGGCTTAACGATGGAGAGGACTTCAGAATTATCTCTGTTCCTCCTTAAAGGCCGATTTGGTCAAGATTACTGTGGACAGTGTCTCTCACAATGAGTTCGTTGACCCCCGGATCATCCAGGAAAGTCAGAAGCATTGAGCTCATGGATGAGGGAGAGATAGGTGAATGAATGAGTCGCGGATTGAGTGAACAATGGTAGAAAGAGAATCCGAAGTATATTTACGCATGTGTGGAAAGAAAGAAGTTTTTGGAGGATGGAGGAGGAAATACGTTGGAAGGCGCCCTGGGGACGCTTCGAGAAATTGTGTGCAGGCAGGCACAGTCTTTATGCACGGAACCTGCTTTCGCTGACGCCAACAAACTCTGCGATAGCTGTTGAAACGTTTTCTTGCTCAAATGAAAGAGAAGGGGCTCGAGGCTGAGGCCTTTGGCTTGCGATTTTGCATCTTCCAATGCCTGCTGGTGATATTTGTACTTTTGAACTTCCAAAACATCCCTCAGCAAGAAGTGTTGGTCTTTCAAACAAAATGATGAGAAATATTCCAAAAAAAAATCTTTAAAGCAAGAATCACACCAGCTAGTACAATGACACTTCCAATGGCTCGCCCCTCGTCCAGCGCAGCAGGTTCTCTACTTGCTGGTCATACCAAGCATCAAGAGTGGCCTCCTCCACATATCCCATATGCGGCGTCAGCAACACACGACTGCGACCGTCCTCTCCCCATCTTGTGGTCCGCCACCTGCTATTCGCCGGCAGCGGTTCCAGCTCAAAGACATCTAGCGCTGCAGCCCTGATTCGGCCTTGTTCCAGAACTTCGAGAAGATCCTCCTCAACAACCAAAGGGCCCCGTGACGTGTTCACAAAAATGGCCCCCTTCTTCATTAGCTCGAGATCCCTCTTCTTGATGCAACCCCGACTCCTGTCTGACAACACCAGATGGATGCTGACCACGTCTGCCGTTGAGAACAGCTCCTCCTTGCTCACCGCACGGAAAGTTTTCTCTCCATTCGTATCCTCTACTGGTAAACCCATCTCCCTTGCCTTCTGGTCTGCCTTCTCCTGATTGAGGTTCTCGCTCCATGCGATAACCTTCATCCCAAAGCCAACACTCATGATTCTTGCCACAGCAGCGCCAAGACGACCCAATCCTACAGTCCCAAATACCTTCCCCTTGAGACTGACCGCAGGCACAGTCTGCCATCCACCATTCTTGACCGTTAAGTCGTCTTGAGCAATATTTCGTGCGGCTGCCAGGATCATTGCCACGCAGTGCTCCGTTGTGCTGACCGAGCCAACTGACCCAGCATGTTGCCGGTCGACGGCACCCGCCACAGGGATGCCACGCGCCTGGAAGGTCGGTAGCGAAAGGGAAAGGTTGCGTGTGCCTGTTGTCAAGAGCAGCTTGAGGTTCGGAAGACGGTTAATGAGGGCTTCGGGGAAAGGCGTGCGCTCGCGCATCGTAGCTGGCAATTAACGGGTCAGATTTCCTCTAAAGTCGCAAAGGGCTACACCACATACAGATCACATCAAAAGGCTCCAGCCTCTTGACGAGCTGCTCCCTGACCTCATCTGGGGTGTCGGGGTGGTTGTATGGCAGGAGGGTGTCTTTGAAGAAAGTCACTTCGAACTGAGCGGGATCAAGAGCCTTGAACTTGGGCTCAGATATGCCCTGGTAATCATCAAGTACTGCAACTTTGATGGGCACCATGTTGGTGATCTTTCCAGGTTTGTCAATTCTATCTCGTTCAATTCTGGTAACTCTTTCAAGGGCGCTCGCTGCCCGCTGACAAGGTTATAATGACAAGATGACGCCGTACATTCTCATCCAACGAAAGATCCAAAAAGCTTTTCAACATCTCTTCCGGCGTTTGTTAAGTCCGAGGCGACTTCCGAACCCGGTCCGCGGACAATGTCGTCATTGCCGCCCCGCTATCCCGCTACGGATGCTGCTACCCCGCAATCCGCCCCTTGAACTCCGCATGCTCGGGATTTGTGCCGGTTGGAGGTGGCCTACAGCCCGCGGAATGCCTGCGCTGGTTGCTGTGGGAGCACAAGCCTTCCCCTGTGTTTTACTTTAGGTAGTGCTCACCTCCTCTTAACGTGACGATGCAATTGTAGCACTAAGCATAAAGATGCTCAAGACGGCATTCTCTTACCGTAAACTACTAGCTAAACTAAGTCAGGAGCCAAGGATGGTCAAAGGAACACCAATGGCTTAAGTAGTGATATGTTTATTGAATCATCCATATCCCCCAGAACCACGATGAGGATTCCTCAGTTAGCAATGCAAACGGTTGGATACTAACAACTGGTGACAACAGTAAGCGATTCATTCTACTGTGTGAGGACCCTAGTCCCTCAGATTCTACAGCCTGACCACTGCATTGAAACCTGCGCTGCCTAAAAGTGTGATGGCTTCCTAAGAACGCACGTGGTTCAGGGAGCGTGATTGGTGAAAACGCAGTTCGAGAAACCTACCAAATTATTAGGTAACTTACTTTCAGGGTGTAGGCACTTCAAAATTAGTGCAGTCGGCATTTAGCGCACTTAATACTTAAGCTAACCCCATCCTAAGATACCATTTTCAACTTCTTAACATTATATGTATATTTTAACTACCTTATTTGTATTTCAATTTCAATATCAAATCTTCTTTTTTTTTTTGACCGGCCTCACCCCTGGAGGTGCTGGGTCGTGCTCACGTCGATATCAACAGCTAACTACCTGACTCACTATATACATGTTACACCGGAGAAAACCCCACGCCGGGGGAAACCTGTGCTAGCTAAGGGAAAGGTAGCGTGCCGATAGTTGGGGCGGCGTTACTCCTGTGCAGCTGAAGAGGGATCTCAACTCAGAGGAGTTCGGTGTCGGGCTTCAATTTTAATCCCGCAATGCATCGTACAAGAGACTTAATCCTCGTTATGTTATCCAGATAGTAGATAAGATAGCAAGATAAGATACCGTTCTACAAATGGCCCTAAGATCCGTGTTACGGCTGGTAATGGAACCGTCAACGGCGTAACAGGGAACCAATGGGAAGGCCCCGAATGGGGTGTAAGAGGCGGTCCATTCAGAAGGAGAAGCGCAGGTATCACAGTTCTCACACTGCGATAGCTGCGAGAAAACCACCAAGGGTCAAATAGGTAATGATACAGGGCAGGCATACCAACGGCTTCGAATATGATCTAAATAGAATCACCCATCCCCCAGAGCTATGACGAGGACTCTTCAGTGAGCAATTGAAACAGTTGTCAACTAACAACTGGTGACCGCAGTAAGCCACATTGTGACTATCCAGCTAGCCTTCCCAGATGGGTTCTGACTTGGTTCAAGGCTTATGCTTCCGAGAGATCAGAGTTGTCACACGGATTCAGAAGCACGGCGGTCACCAGTTGGTTTGGACAACTGTTTGTATTGCTTACTGAGAAACTCTTCGTCCTCCTCTTCCTACGAGGAATCTATCTACCTAATATACTGAAGCTTTTCACTATTTCTTAAGGGTTTTTTCTGGTCCTCTCGTCACTATCTTTTGGCCTGACGACTTTTTCGTCAGTGATTGTTGGCCTGAAGACCTTCCAAGACCGCATGAGCTGTGTTTTTATTGGTCCTTTGTACCCAGCTCCGCTTTTCCCGCGCGACATCCTTGTTGATCGTAACAACATACACTGCTCTGTGAGAGGACCCCAGTCCCTCAGGTTCTACAAACGTGGCCACGACCCTAGAACCCATCTCAGGAGGTTATGGAATCGTCACAGTCCTTGCTAGATCCTATACCTTCCACAGAGCAAACAATACCTTCCCCGCAAATTCTTGTTTTAGAGCCTTCAGCTCTCATAAGCCTTATTATTTTTTATTTTGCATATTAATACCTATAGTTCTAATCTTTTCTCTTTTCTCAGTATCTCTCTAATAACCTTGCTTACTATATTTTACTATAGTTCTCACGATTCGAGGTAGCTTTGGAAACATTAAGCGAATCATCGGTCCTTGGAAAGTTCTTTCAAGCAAATAATGAGTCCCGTGGTTGGCGCGCCTGCGGCTCTAGCCGCGGCAGTAATGGCGCGACAGCAATGTGGGGAGTCCAGGAACCTGGCAAAGCGTGATACCACTCTGCGAAACAGGGGTTCATCTCGAGCTTCGTTGAAGTAGCATCACCGCCCACTAGCCCTGCCTCACCACGCGCCCTTTGTGCCCTTAGGCGCGTCTCAGAACTCGAGACGTTTCTGACGCTCCACGTACCAGCGACGGCACATATGCCACCATCCGTTTTGGGAAAGGTGTGCCGCAATGGTTGGCATCACGAAGTCTCACGTTGTTTGAGAAGGTCGGATGAGGCGTAGTCAAGAGAGATATGCTTGTCTGCATCTTGCATCGAAGAGATCGGTCGGGGAGATCGAGATCGCGGATCGGATGAGGATATAAGTCGTCGTTGTGTCCGTCTTTCACTATGACCACAACACCATCATCAAGGTCACTCACCAAACACTTCCCACTAACATCAACTCCCACTTCTATTCGTTGACCGCCGGCCGGCCATCTTTTTCTCAAAAAGCTTCTTTCTAATCCAGCCTTCCATTTCCAACAATCGACACCAGCCACCAACCATCCAAAATGAAGTTCTCTCTGGCCACCATCGTCCTCGGTCTCGCAGCCCTCGCCGCCGCCGCTCCTGAGGAGCCAGCTCACCTCATGGCCCGTCAGAATCAGGGCCGTCCCGTCCCCCGAGGCACCTGCTGTGTGGCAAACACCAACCTGAAGCAGGATGCTTGTATCGCTGCCAACGGTCAAGCCGGTCGTTGCGTGCCCGGCGGCAATAATTGTGCGTATCCTTCAACGGTTTCGTCTCCATGGTGCTGAAGATATTGACACTCGTCAAAACAGGCGGTAGCCGGCTCAGCTGCGTCCAGTTCAGCAGCCTGACCTGCAACAACAACATCATTGAGCGTGGCAGATCTTTGTGCCGTGCGAATGCTCCGGGTGGCGGCTTCTTTGATGGCGCTCGTATCATCCGGTCGCTTTCGCAGGCGAAAGTGAACTAAAGGACTTATGGGAGGTGGATACAGGGACATTCTTGGGCAGCCTGGCGCTCCGTAGGAGTTTGGATGTACATACGACAGCAACGGTGTTAGAAATGGCAAGGTGCTGAGGGGGGCTTTGGGGAGTAATGTTAGTGGGACAATAAAGTTTGGTGTTATGGCGTAGATGGCAAAGTTTTATCCACAATGAAATGTATTCAATGGTCACGACCACGCAGGCTATTAAGAGGATCGAACAATATGTTCCACGAGACGACATCGCGGCCCAACTTTTAGCACGAAGCTTCATTCAACCTCAGTCTTCATCGTAGTTTCTCCATTTAGCCGTTCTGAGAATCGTCCTGGGGTTAATGTTAACTTCAGGGTGGCATCAGAAGTAGATTGCAGACCTGCGACGTTCCCTCCCAGCTATTTGCTGTCCAACTTAACCGACTTAGTAGTAGGCAGCGGGGCTGACTCTAACTTCTGGTACAAGAACAGACGACATTTCTAGCTGGGAGGACTTGAGTTCAGTTTGACCTAGAACTTATGTTCGAGCTGCCCCCAACCGTGTGCTTACTAGCAGTTAGTGCTGGCAGAGGGGCTAAGGCAGAGCTAGCTGCAATAAACAAGTGCTATAATTGTGAGACCTCGTCCTGTCACTGAGTCTGTTCTTGTTCACTTCGTCCGTTCTGCTGCGGTGTCTACGGTAGGTTCGGATGTCTTGGCTACTTCTCTTGTCTGCTCGGTGTGTTACTTAACAAGGAGCTCGATCACTTTCTTGGAAACACCTTCAGGCTTCACAATAGCCCAATCCTTCTCAGCCTATGGGGGACCAGAAAGACCGGGTGCTTCTAGGCCAAGGTAGTTGATGAGAAGCTCGTACAATTCGCCAGTGATATATCGTAGAAACTCTTGATCGGACTTTGGAGACTCTTCCCTGGTCTCCTTCCAATTCGCTTGATCAAGGTGTGCCACGGGATCCGCGATCGAGTATTTCCTCACAACAACTGTTTCCGGCTTTATGGAAACATCTATAGACGCTTGCGGGTCAGATATTTGCCGCAATGGAGCCATATCTTCTCGCTGAAAGGAGTTCCACTGGAAGCGAGCAACTCTCAGGGAACCATCGTTCAGAAAGTCCCAAAACTCAAGCATCAAAAGGCCCAGGGGTAACCTGCCAACTATGATCGTTTGGCTACATGAGCGGTTGCTCAGCGACATTTCGTACGGCAAAGGTAAAGAGAATTGCGGTAAGAAGTTGAGAAATACCAGGTAATCTCACTAGGTCAGGCTGATATTGGAATTCGCGAACAGACGGTAACCAGAAATGACGGAACTCTGTCACCCCGCCAGGATCTGTCACATGTCCACACGTAATCTGGATGAATCGCAAGAATGGCTGCGGGTAGGCTTTACCCAATATTGTCAAGAGCTGGATAGCTGTTTCGGGGTAATTTTCAAGTCTCCCATAATGCTCTCTCCTTTGTCCTCAAGATTGAGAAACGTCGCACAAAGCTCTGCAACGAGCTGTTTGTAATCAGCGTCGATTTGGCGCAGACTTTCCAGATTCTCGAGACTGGATGTGCTGGAACCGACATGGTAAGGTCGAGGTTTGGACAGGCCATGTGGAACAAATCGACGCCAGCTTGTTCAACCTTTGCACATTTTGACATCGTCTTTCTGTAATTCATGACCTATTGTGGGAAGACTATTCCAGAAACCTTGACCGAACACTTTAGAACCTTCTCAAGGGGCATTTACTACCCTCATTATCTAGCACATTGACCCAACCCCTCTTCAGGACATCTGTGATTAATCTTCGCAAAACCTGTTCCTCCGCACCCAGTCACACATCACTTGTCCCACACAAGAGCAGCATTTGCATGCCTGGCGTCAAGTTGTCAGCCATCATTCGTCGATGGGTTGTGGCTGCTGGTTACAATCGGCTTGGTCGTGAGAGCATTACCTTTCGACGACGATCAGCATCATCCACGCCATCAATGCAAGAAAGAGTGCGAGAGTTCCATCGGAACTGGTTGTAGCAGGCGTTGGGGTTGATCACATCGGCACAGTCGTCAGTGCGGATTAGTTCCCGTGTGCATTCAGGAAACTCTTGGGCTTGGACGAGGAATAGCGTGAGAAAGAGGGCGACGAGGCCCAATGAAAATGAACGAGTCATTGTGCAGGCGGCCTTGAACAGTTTCCATGTAGGTGCTTTGCTGACTCAGACCTACATCTAGCTCCCCTGGGTTTCATTCACACTTATACACAACAACAGATGAAGGCTCTAAACTGCCGAGCGTGTGGCTATATCCTGTGTCTACAGCCCTATATCGTCGGTTTTAATCCACTAAGACCCTTGATTCCCTGCTACTCCGTTGGAGCCAAGCCAGAATCAAGCGGGGACAACTGCATCAATCGGATGTATCCCATAAATTGCTGCTATATAATAAAGTTTGACGCGGCTCTCTTCGGCAGCTCTCCACATCGGCAAACGGAACGACGGTGCCGTTTTTGTCTGGGGTTGGGTCAACAGCTCGATCCTTTATCAAAGCCAGAACCGGGAACAATACTATCGAGCACTCTTTTTGCTCAAAGATCTTAAGACACGGCTGGGCGTTTAAACACGGCCACGCGTCCTCTGCCGGCTCAGCCGAGGAAACAAGCCTATTGGCCATGTTCTGCTCCTAAGAGAGACAATGGATATTAGGCTTCGGTTTGCGGAAAGGCCTTCATATTTGTTCAGATCACCTGGGACATCCGACATCTCGATAGTGTATTGGTGGCCCTGTCGGCACTTGAACTAGCCGTCTCCTGGGATGAGCACGCCGGCACACTACCAAGTTCTACAAGACGAACTTGAGCTCGACAGGATCAAACGTTCTGTTTTCCGGTTTTGCCTCAACACCGATCTTTGCTTGATCTTTGACAGATACGTCCAATTCTTGGGAATCATGACCTCGAATACGAAGTGGAGCAACTTGGGCATTGTCTTGGGTCTCTTGGCTCCGGTTCAAGCCCTGCTGCGTTTCGGATGCTCACAGCTGACAGTTCAGCGTCTCGACCCTCTCGTCACTCCGGGGCAAAACCCTTCACCTCATCTCCATCAAATTATCGGCGGCGTATGATATATCCTATCATCATATGCAGTGATAACGGACCGGAGTTAACCCGTATCCAGAACTCGTTTAATGCATCGATGCCATATCCCCAGCATGATCCTGCTGAGAAGTCGACCTGCACGAGTTGCCAGTTCGCTGAGGATTTGTCCAACTACTGGACTGCTGTGCTCTTCTTCCGAGCTCGCAACGGCACCTTCAAGCGCGTGCCACAACTGGCCCAATTCGACATGCAAGGCCAAAATGGCGGGATGGTGAGTCCACTGTCAGGTTCCTGCTGAGCAACCGTATGCTCAACGAGCCTCATAGGTCGTGTACTACATGTCCGACGCCCTCTTCGACACGAACCAGCGTTCAAAGGTGACTGCCTTCCGCCCAGGATTTCGCATGATCGTGGGCGACGCTACTTTCAGTACGCGTGAGCAGGCCCGCGAGTTCCGGCAGATCACCTATACCTGTATGGAGAGCCAAATGTCCCGCGCCCCGGAGACCGTTGGATTCCCCAAGACCCCATGCAAGCTGGGCATCATGGCAAACCATCGCTTCCCAACCTGTTGGGACGGCGTTAACCTCGACACTCCTAACCATCGCGACCATGTTGCGTACCCGGAGTCTGGAACGTTTGAGTCTGGAGGCCCGTGTCCTGCGTCCCACCCTGTTCGGATCCCCCAAATCCTGCTGGAGACAATCTGGGATACAAGCCAATTCAATAACAAGGATGACTGGCCTGAGGATGGCAGCCAGCCGTTCGTTTGGTCGAATGGTGACAGCACCGGGTACTCGTCGCACGCGGACTATGTGTTCGGTTGGAAGGGAGACAGCCTGCAGCGCGCAATGGATGCTCACACGTATGTGGTGGCCCCAATGCTCAAGTCGCAGAGCATTGCCGAGCAGAATAGGTGCACCGTGCCCGATATGGTTGGGGAGAGCTTCGATGGGTGTAAGTTGCTGTTCGAGTTCCTCGCAAACATTTCCAAAACCAGATTGACAGAGGCCTGACACTGACGATGATGAAACAGGGCTGAAGGAGCTTCCTGGTGGAAACCCAATCTTTTGAATTACATCTTTTTTTTTGGATGATTCTTTAGGTTGGAACACTAGTCAAGAGCACAGGCCGAGGACAAGCGTTGATTTTAAGGGATGACTTAGGAGGAAGCAGTAATGGTGGGAGAAGAACCGGGTACATCATCACAAGGTTTACTATTAACCAGAATCTTTATCAACGTGACTCTGGGGAAGGGAGAGTTTTAGGCGGTGAGGCGGCTACCTTATGTAAGAAGGCGGCAACAGACGTGATGCCATCGACGAGAAGCTAGCTGAAGCTTGAAAGGACGAAGGTGAAAGGCTTAGACCATCCATTGACCTGTTTAGCGTGTCATCCTGCCCTGGGGATGGGTGCGGCATTGTTCTTGGCCATTTCACATGCATCATTCCAACCAGTGGCACAAGAATCAGGGTTTATAAGGTGCTCATTCTGTGCTTGCTTTCACTAGATGCCCGCTACAGCCCAAACCGGGATGCACGGTGAAAGCGGTAGCAACCTAGGCACCGCAAGACCGAAGAGCCCCATGCACTGGTCATGCATATGTGGAAGTTGCCCCGGTTTTTGTAGCCACTGATTCTTCGTCACATTTGCCCCAGGTGTATAGTTGGAGGATGAAGTGAGCCCTTTTACAGTTTTATTTTTTTCTTGTTACAGTCACGCCTTTTCAGAATGGGGATAATAGTGCCTATAAATATGTTTCCAACAAGAAAAGTAAAATATTTATCACCTCTCTCCGCCTTCCCATGAGGTCTTCAGTGTCGGCCTTGGTGATTGAATTGGGCGGGGTGACGCCCCATTACAGCAGATGTCGACCAACACCGCTGCAGATGTTAGACGACTAGAGCCCGGAAGTTGACTTGGAAGGTTTAGAAGTCGGCCTTGGCAGTATTTTCCAATCCGGAGAGACTACCGCTACTGTTCAACAAGATCATCTCTCGCAAAGAACAGTCATCAAAGTCCAAACGATGGGTACGTGGCTGCTCTCATCTGTTTTCAGGCCATGGGAGCCGGCTGGGCACCAGGCTCAAAGATGTCTCTTGTGGCCACAAAGACAAACAGAACAAATTGAACCAAGAAATCTGGAAAATTTCCTCCATAAACCCTACTGCAACGGCATGATTGAAGGCAGCTTTCAGAAAGGAGATGCATGGCTGGAAATCACAACACGGAGCATCCTCCGATAGAAAACCACGCAGGAATTCTCCGGCTCCGTATACACTGCAGGCATATAGGAGAAGGTGCGCCCCCGTTCGAATCCTGTTGTGGGTGCAAAACTCTTACTTCCTTTCTCTGACCAAGAAAGGCGAGGAGTTCTCATAACTAATGAATCCCCGGGGAAAGCAGGTGGTTGTGATGGGGACGAGGTGAGCCTTTTGCAATCACGCAGCCTGATGTTCCTGCTCGAACGTTCAAGAATCCTCTTATCCAGGAAAGTCTTCCTCCTCGTTGCTCACCGGAAGGCATGCGGGTATAAATCAAACTGCGGTTCACGTAGACGTACAGTACTCCCTTCCCTGCCCATGCTGCGCCGCTCTCCGGACCGCCAAATACACCCATACTGTTGACGTCAAGGCAGTGACATGTGTGACAGAAACAAGTACAGTCTCGATCAAGCGTGTTTTTTTAAGTAACCTGCAGGCTGCGGGACGCACAGCTTACTGGCTTTACTTGAAGCTGGGAACCCAAACTGGGGCCCCGCATACTCACGCAGACCCCGGGATGCCCGAAGTGAGTGACACAGCTTCAACATGTTGCTAAAGGCATGACTTAATGGGCAGGATTCTTATTTAAGCAGCGGTCAGTGCCAGCAGCAGGGTCCTCAGTTTGGCTAGCAGTCCGCGTGCTGGTGATCAGGGAAGCGCCGTCGTTGTTGAAATAAGTGGATTTCAGCATTCGTTTCCTGATTCTTTTGCTCGACAGGCAAATTCTCCTGCTGTCGCGTCACACTCTTGTACTGGGAGCAGGTGCGCACAACTGCCTGCATCAAAACCTCCAAGGTTGAGGTCGGCGTCGAGCGGTTGGTCAGGTTGTTGGGTGTTTCGTAGTTAATCTCGCCAGTCCGCTTTCTGCAGCTGTGGCTGCGATGCTGAGACCAAGATCGCATGATGCAGATCTATCCCTTGTCACTACCTGGCGGGTACCAACTTCAGCAGTCTGGCTGTTCAATGAGTTAAAACTTGTTGACCTTTGGGAAGTCGGCCCTGCTTGCGCTTTCATTGGTTGGCGAGATCTTGGGCGAGCAAGTACTTAGGGTATTTAATGCCATTGCAAGTCGCGACACACATGTGAATTGGTCAAGCCACCTGGGGTGCTGGACTCTTGAGTGATTGATGAGCGTGCGTTTTTAACGATGAGATTGCTGACCTGGAAACAAAGCCTGTCCGTGCGGAAAGCGGGTGTACGCCTCGCCTCTTGCCGTACCGCCCCATTCCCCACACCGGTGACGACCTTATGGGAGCTTGGGGTTCATTAGAGGTGTGGCTTTGTGGCTTTTTGGGCTGCCTGCAGGCGCGCGACCTCCGGCGGCCTGGTCCCGAGTCCTCGGGTCCGTGGGGCGTGGTTGTATCGTGCCTGGCTAGCAGGGGTTTTTCCCTAAGCGAGCTTGGTAGGGGAACATGCTGGCAGCCACCTAGGGGGCACTCGACATCTGCGGCATACAGTACGGGTTTCCTATATTGAGATTCAGGAGCTGACATGCGCAAGAAGAGGAAGATTCAATGAGAAGCCAACTCTTTAAAGTCTTTCTCTAGGTCACCAGTTCGTCGCATCGACCGGCAGGCCGCCATCGAGCAGGCTGAAGGAGCGACGCGATGCCAATCCACCGCTGTACCTCTACTGTGTAGCAAGGTGAAAATATCGTCTCTGAACCATTGAACGCCCAATGGGTCCGGTCAGCTGGCCCAGCAAATCGTAAGTCGAGGCCCTAACTAAAGTTGTCGAAAGCGAGGCTAGACTCGCTGCAACTCCGTACTGGGGATGGCGTCTGATATTATCGTCAGGGGCCCCTCTCTGAGCTTCCCCGGCCCAATGATCGGTGAAATCTCACTGGGTTGTGGAGCATAAAATTCCCCCATGAATTGCCGTCGAGGTACCAACTCCACCTGATCTCTAGGCGCAGCCGCACTCGAATATCCGTGTCGGAAGTCCCAGAGGATTGTCTTTCGCATCTGAGTTCTCTTTCCTGTCACCACCTCCGTGTTGCCATCGCCGTCGTCATTGTTGTCGCCTCGGATAGAGCAGATGTTCGCCAATTCGTCGCCCGAACGGCAGCGGTTTGTACCACGTCGCCAACGTCGGCCATGGTGAAGGAGCAGGACAATTCGCTACCTAATGGCCCAGAGACGTTGGCTCCAAGGGTCTTCTGGGCCTGCGTCTTGTCATCGGCGTTTGCCATATTGTTCGTTGTGCTCCGCTTTTTCACAGCCCACAGGATCCTCCAAAAATTTTATCTCGATGACTGTCAGTTTCATCCTTGACTTTTCATCTGTTGACTTGCGAATGACGAAATACTAACACTTGTCTCCAGGGCTTATCCTAATAGCAGTGGTACGCTCGCTTCGTCCTTGACCATCAGGTTGTGAATACCTCCTCACCGCTTGCTTCCTCGACAGATTCTTGCCACTGCATACTCTGGTGGTGTCATTGCGAGTATGTTACTTTATATTTATATCGCTTGGAAACCGGCACAGTTTCATAAATCACGACCAAGAGACAGAATCACTGACTACCGTGATCTTTCATTGTAGTGCTTCATTTCGGCTTGGGCCACCATAATCAATACCTTCTTGACCACAATGCCGACTTCAGAACATATCTGCTGGTATGACTCAGTTATCCAAATACACAAGTGCCGGGAGGATTGTTAACATCATCGACAAGCTGGCCGCCTTTCCGGTCAACATTACGAACCATCTATCGACTCTCTTCACCAAACTTTCCATATTGTGTTTTTACCTCCGCTTTGCGATTAGCCGAAAATTCAGGATTGCCGTCCACGTGCTCATGATCATCATTATCCTCGCTTACACCCTTGGCGCATCAGGCGGCTTGTTTTTCTGTCGGCCGATGAGTTTCTTCTGGGAATACATGCCTTATGTGGGGACGCCCGGTTATAATGGACCCAAGGGTACATGCATCGACGCTGATGTATGGTACGCTTGCTGATGTTTCTAAATTGCATTACGGATGGCATTCTGCTGCTCATGCCGATATGGATCATTCGGCCTCTACGGATACCAAGAGCCCAAAAAATTGTCCTTGCGGCCATTCTTGGGACAGGTGGATTGTAAGTCCTCCTTGCATCGTGTTCTGCGCATCACGCAATTAAGAAATTTTCCAGGGTCTTTGCCATGAGCATCATCAGAGTTGTTATTGTCGCCCTCGGTTGGGGTGCTGCCGACTCCTCGTGGGTCCTTGCTCGAAACTACCTCTGGAGGTATGGCTCACTTTCATCGAGAAGCGGATTGTATGCTGGTGGGTTATTAACGCTGAAATGACAGTGTGGCCGAAATCAACACCGCCATATGCTGTGCTTGTGCACCTTGCTTGCGAGCCCTGGCTGGCCGATATTTTCCATCCTTGAATTCCCTGGGACACCGAGGTTCTCTCGTTTTGACCACCATCCCAGTCACGCATACAGGAGAACCCCTCCCAGATGCCGAGTCTGGCAGCTGTAATCTCAGCATTACTACAACAATTGAGAACTCGAATACGGTATCAAAAGCGACGCTTAATCCTGACCATTTGCAACTCAACGAAGGAGCTCAATCAAGTCAGCCTCATCAGCCTCGAAGTCCAACAATAAGCGGGCCCAGTTAGGAGGATATTATTCTCTCTCTCTCACTTTTTTTTACTAGAACTTTACGCTCTAATGTTTGTTTATGATCTATGATACCCACGCTATGTCTCGGTCCATCAGCGACGTCTGCATTCTTTTTTTTTTTTTAGTACTCGTCATAAAACACAAGGCATCTAACTTCGATGCTCTCCCTCGGTTTCGTCCCCTCGGGCGCCATCTCGTCCAAAAATGCCGTATGTGGAGTTAGCCCTGCGATTCCCTTCTTTCCACCTGGTTGGTCCTCTCCCCAACTATCAAAACACTTGATGAACATCACCTCCTCCGGCGTCATCTCATCCAAATAGTAAAACTTGTGCTCCTCATTTGGCTGCACGGCATACGTCTCCCCCTTGACTTCGTACCCCTCCGTGCTCTGCAGCTTCTCCAGATCCGGCAGCACCTCCTTCCCGCGATCGTCGTCATCATCTCCGTCTTTCGGCCGGACAGGATAAAGCAAGTTCACGGCAACCAAATCCTTCTCCCGATTCACTGTCCGAAAATCGACAACCGTCAGCGGCGCGTCTCGCACCGGTTGCTCGCCGATCGACCGCCACACATTGATCGGCTGCCACCGCCGCTTCAGCAATCCCTCAACCTCTTCCTCACTCAAACCCAGCGCTTTCCCCGCGTGCCGCCGCACCCTCGCCTCTGCCGACCGCGGCGTTTGGTCCACGTGCAATCTATACACCGGCTGTCGCGGAGCATTCGGGTCCTTCCTCCGAATCGTATGATCGAAAATCACCACGTGCCTGATCTTGTTCCCATCCCGCAACTTCCGGCGCAGAAGCTCCTCAACCTCGGGGTAATACCCCTCGCGGATCTGGCGATCGAGTTCTTGCGTGAACCCCGCGCTGCCGTATTTGGCGTAGTACGGAGAGGGGGAGGTGTACACCGCGAAGCCAGCGATGTCGATGTCAGTGCCGAAGGCGCCGCGTTGGGAGGAGGTGTGCAGGGTTAGACAGTCGCGGATGGAGGTTATGCTGCGCCGGCGGGAGACGATGCCGTAGGAGGTTGCGGGGGCGTCGACTTTGGCCCAGGGTTTCGTACCGGCGGGCACGGTGGTGGGGTCGAGGTAATTGATTGAAGCGGTTGTCATTGTTTTGGGGAGTTGACGCAAGCCTGTTAGATGTGGTTTTTAACAAGGATATCTTGGATAACCTCAGTCGGGATCTTTATGAACTGGGGGATATCTATATATATAAGTGTGAGATTTCGAATGAGGGGTTGAAGCTCGGTAGCTCGGTTCAAGTGCGATGTCGCCATCTCAGTGGCCCCCTAGATTAGTAATCCGGCATAATTGGTGGAGGTAGACTGAGGAGATGCGGCCAAACAGGCTTGGTAAGACGGGTATCATGGAAGCTTCAAGATGAATGATACCTATACGTCTGCATTGTAATATTTGTTGTCGAATTATGCTTATTTAATGCTCCTAGATACCCAAACAATCATTGACTTTTGAGCCAAAATCTGTTGTCCTCCACACTCCAGTGTTGTGACATCGATGAAAACGCAGGCAACCCAAAAAAAGTAGTATGCCAACCCCCCCTTCGCCAAAACTCCGAATAACAATAAAGTGCTTGTACTCCCTATGTACACCCTACTATGCTGATACCAATCAACTATCAAAAATCGGGCCATAAGCCGCAATTCCCCTCGTCTCCAGGGCATACACCAACCCCTTCGTCACCGGCATGTTACTAATCACACACACAGCTTGGGCATCAAACTCCTTGTACAACTTCAACACAATCGGCAGCATATCAACTCTTCCCGACACGGAGGTATCGATCACCACCGGCTTCTCATCCAACTTCTTCGCCAGATCCAGTGTCCTAGACCCGTACGTCTTAAGCGGGCTCTTCGTTTGCCAAACAACCCTCATAGCCGGTCTCTTCTCGTCTTCTAGGAAAGACAAGCACGGCCCGATTCCTGAGCCCGTCGTAACAACAATTATGCGCTCAAACATCCGGAAGACGTACCCAAACCCGTAAGTCGGCACGCCCCGTTTCCAGAGGCACTTGGGCGGGTTCGCAATGCAGTCCTTGGTCCAGTCGCCCGCTTTGGAGACCAGCACAGAGAACTTTGTGTCGGGGGAATCAAATTGATCGGTGAAGCTTGCGAAGCTGTGCCAATCGCGCAACGGGTGGCGTGCGACGGAGATGCCCTGGCCAAATCTGATGGTTGTGTGGGTGAAGTGCAGGCGGATGGCATGGTCGGAGAGGGGTTCTGCGACGACGGGGACACGACGGAGGAGAAGCCAGGGATGAATTGTGGCGCAGGTAAGGATGATGAGTATCCAGAAGGCGGGGAGGTTGATGAGGAAGGTGTCAAGGGGCAATTGCTGGTCACAGGCGAGGAGAAAGAGAAGCGCCCAGAAGATGACAAGGATGAGCCAGTTCGCAAAACGGTGTGTTAGCTCGAAGTAGTCGTGGCGTCGGATGCGGAAAGTTGGGTATGCGACAAAAATGATGGCTAGCAGGAGGGCCAGCACCATCCAAATCAGGACGAGAGCGGGAAGAGCGAATTTGGATGGGCGGAATTCGTAGGTATAGAGAGCGGCAAAGCCGATATACCAAAGGCAGGAGGCTACCCCGGTACCGCTGTGTACGCCACCGAAGTGAAAGACCTTGCAGGCCAGTCCGCGCAAGCGCATAGGAGTTGACCTTGGAAGAGCACCAAACGTCAGGAACAGGGCGTTGATGACGAGAGGCTGCCGGCAGAGACCGCAAACGGCGAGGTTGATGGCCGATGCGTTTACAAGGTCGAGTGTAGTAGTACCCTTGATGGCAAGGACGATAAAGGCGATGACGTTTCCGATGAAGGCAATGCTAAATAGTCTCCGGTAGACGTTCAAGGCCGTGTAGCGGAGGAAGCCCAGACGTTTCTGGGAGAAACTATCAACCTCGTTGAGCTGGGCCTCGAGATCGGGTGAGGATGAGAAAGGAGAGCCAGTACTTTGGTTTTCTTTCTCGATCGTAAAGACGGTTGACGTCGGAGACGTTGGCGATATTGGAGAAGGGCACGTGCTGTCGTCGTCTGCTACCGAGGACGCAGAGGACGCAGACTCATGTCCGCCTTCTGATCCATCACAGATTGACGAGGCGGTTGATGATGCTGAAGAGACTGTCTCAGCGTATTGGACTTCCATCCTCGTATCTACGACGAGCTGACGAGGACGAGTGTCCTCGGCCTGTTGTTGGACTGCCATTGTTGCTGCCATCTTGAGGGATAACCCGGTTCAATGTCGTTGTTATCACGACTAGCTTGCCAGAGGTTGTTGGCCCACGAAATGCCAACCGCAAGCTGAGTCTGGCGGGCATGATGCGGTCCATTTATACGACTCCCAACAAACGTCGTCGCCGTGATGCCCCTTCTCGTACCATTCCCCTGGCGATAGCAACCCCGAACCACATCAAGGATTCCTTACTAAAGTCGACACATCTTGTCCATTCTGTCCGAGATCAGCGTCCATGCTGGGCATATCGACGTCGTGCCAAGCTGTGATATGCACCTGGTTGGTGCTCAACACATTCGGTGTTGGCGGTGATTTGTCTGGGATCGAGGCCCTGTGAAGTGACATTGGATGTTGTAGGACCAAGGGAGCTGGCCTGATGCCGGAGTATCTCGCAGACAGGAACGTGGACTGAATGTGGCGAACCGGCAACGAGGCTCAGGGGCTTTACCATATTCCGCAGACACCAATGAAGCTTCGCCGAGAGGGATGCCAAGAGGGCTAACAGATAGAGCAACATTGTACTGGCTGTTTCACCGCACACCACTCCAGCCGGAGTTGGATGTGGTCAGTCGAGCATGGAAGACGTTGGTCATGGCCTCGTGGGATCGTTGAGATCTTGCGGTCACGCAGTATGTCTGTGATCAGATTGTGCAACATGAACGGTCGTCCGCAACGTGGGCCTGAATCGCCACGCTGGACATGCGGCATGCCCGACACGCCCACCTTGTGAGAGTTGAGATCTGAGTCTCGGATCAGCACGGAAGAGCTGCTGATTGACAGCTGAGGTTGGCTGGACAACTGAGAGTGTGCGGCTCCGATGCCAATCTTCAGCCACACCAGTGCAGCGTTTGCAGTCGTTCATCCGGTCAGAGCCTCATCAGCCATCGCTGCGCCGTTGCCGATTGCGTCCCCCGTTACCGCTGCCGAGATGTGTCGGTCAGGGAAGCTGAATGCCAATGCCTGATACTGTGCGGGCATTCTTTTTTTTTTTTTTTTAGTTAAAGTGGCGAAGGGTATGAACAGTCGTACTCGCAATGGTGTGCGGAAGTAAATCCTCGATGTTGAAGGTTCTCGGAGTGCGGACTAACTTTGCCGGCAGCACAGTATGCTGAAGTTTCGTCGGAATCTCTCCAAGTCATCAGAGATGACAAAGCAAAATCAAAAGCCAGATTTCTCAGTCAGGCTTTTGAGTTCTAAACCACTTTTCGGCGGGAGTCGTCGTTCTTTTAACCACCTTTTCTTCGAGTTTATCCACACTCTAGATCCTCTCGGGACCGAGATGTTGGAAGCGAGAAAGCGTGCTTGAAGCCACACCATGCTTGTCTGGGTTGGGGGCCCAGAGACCCGGTGTCAAGATATGTGTTCTAGAGAAGGGCAGGGCCCACTTTTATGTGTAAATACAGGTAATGGCCCAGTTTTTGTGGTTGACTTTTTTTCAACTCCTCTGTCACACACACAGTATCTCCCTGAATAGTGTACAGTTCTTGTGCAACCCTCGCCGCAGCGCCCCGACATTTCTCAGCCCCATGCCCAAGTGTCACAAATACCTTGCGCGATAGACAGAAAAAATACGGTAACCTGCCAACTCTGGTGTCTTACCAAAAAGGCCCGATGTGCCCATTTTCCACACATTTTCGGTCATTGATCCAACCCTGGCTTAACACCACCCATCTTAAGATTTCAGGAATGCGTTCCTCCTGAACTGACAAGGATGCTATCTGAGTCAACATGCTCAGTATCATGCTGTTGTGTTTCCTTTCACGCACACCGCTTGCCATGTGTCCTTATTCACTAATTCTTGGTCCTGAAGTCGAAGTCTTTTGGACAGGCTGCCTGATTGTTCTTGGTGACCCAGGAAGGTCCTCACAGCCTGTAAATTGAACTCCGACAGTTTCATGTAGAGAAAAGTTTTTTAGGTCTGACAAAATTGGGCCCTATGATACCAGTTGACGATCATGCATCAATGCCAACATCTCGCGAGAAGAAGCCATTGATCTGCTATTCGATTTTCAGCCACCTCAGTGTGACCTATCTCTCAAAGAAATAATGCGTTTTAAGGACAGGGAATTTACTCCACGTGATGGAATATTGACATGAAGGCAGCGAGACACACATCATGTCTTGACTCTGTATGTTTTGGAAAACAGGTGATGATGAAAGGCACTTTCCATGGTCTTGCGATGTGTGCCAACTGGGGGCGTACTGGCGTTTCACAGGTGGTGTCTCTTTGCAGTTTCCAGGGCACAGTCAGACGTTGTTGTCAAACTGCAAGGCACAACACATCAATAACTTTGCAGGCGTCTTCGACCATAGTTCGGCCCGTCAACGGTTGTCAATATCTTATCAAAACCACACCGCATGTGCTATGCTCCTGGACATATATCTCAGTACAACACGATCACAATTACAGAGGAACCTAGACTCATTCGACAAGGCTCCGACATGAGTTCATCCACATGTATTCTCACCCTCCTTCGCCCTCCTATTCTTCGGAGGATTTCTTAAAACAAGGACCTCAACTGCTACAGCGCTCCCACACCGCCCAATCCCAATGGTGAACAGATTCCCATGATACCCTCCATCTCGAAGATCAATCACCTCTCTTTCCCCCCCCCCCCCGCTCCTAGTCGCACACTCATCACCCAGTGGCATCCTCGTTCTCCCATTAACGGCCCAGGATGCCACCTTGTACGACAAGAATGGTAGCTGTGGCTTGCCGACACTGACCTTGTACAACAAAAATGCCTATGTTCACATGACCCGAGTCATTCTGCGCGTCCAAGCCTATAACCTGTCCAATCATATATTTTAAATCCTTCCTCTTGCTGAAAATCTGCTCAACATAGAGCTCTGGCTCGTGGTCTGGTAGGACAAACTCAGCCATGAACTCATTGTCCCCTGAGGTATATGACCCCAAGAAGGCTTGCTGTGCCTGTTCACGTGCAGCGTGCTCAGCTGCAGGCAACCAGGTCTCCTTAACTGCCTTTCGGATGAATTGTTCTACCCGTTCGGTGTTCTACCCTCTAGTGAGGATGACAAATCCCGGCCCGCGTTCAGGGGAAAGGGCAAGGAGGGATGAATACCCCCGTAGTCAGCCTTAACTCCCCATAGAGGTCAACAAGATGAGTCACCTCAGGCCCAAGACTAACTGGCGCAAATACGCGGTTTATCTCCCATGGTGCGCCCAGGGATATCAGGGGGTTGGCAGTGGACGTGATAGGCTTTATGATGGGTGGGAGAAACGTCGAGAGGAGAATTTTCCCGTCAATTGCGGTAAGAACGTTCGCAAAGAAGTACCAGGCTTACTTGAGATTGTGATGAGAGCACCTCTTAAACCTTCAATAGTCTTCCATTTCTTCTTCCGTTCTTGCACGCTTTTTTCCATTCTTATTGCTACACGGTCTTCAGGTTTCGAAGTTGTGCCAGCTGAGCTTGGTCATTATCCAAATCTCATCCACTAGTTACCATGCTGTTAGACTCTTTCAGGGGGACGCAGGTGAGCATATGACTCAAACCAAGTGGCCTCAGAAGTCTTTCATAGATCACTCCGGAGAAAAGTTTCGTCGTGATCTCAGCTGCGTAAATAAGACACTGAAAAGTCATGCTGAATTAGGCCAGTGCGTGGTAAGATGACTCGATGGGGTAACTGAGGATCAGCCTCGTGGACTCTAGTACTTTACTATTACCCACCCATTCTCGTGTTCGTTCTCAGACCAAAGGCGCCACATTGGATCTCTTGTCCCATCCAGGCCCGGAGACCTGAAAGTGGCTCAAGCATGTATCCAAAGAAGTCATCCAATCAATTTACCCAGTGGTGAGCACAAATTGCTTTGGTTGCACAGCCAGGGGCGTTTTCAGCTCACAATCACGGGAGACACTAGCCGTACAGCTGGCAAGTTTTCCTAGGGTGACATCAGCCCAGATTGTTGTGATGAGCACCATCTCCCTTTGACATAAATTTGATCTCGGGATGTGTTGTGTAACCGGTTTATCCCAATGTATCCCAATGCCTCCCTCCAGACCCAACGAGCGTTCTGTGAACAGTTAAAAGTTTGAAATGCTCGCTTCTTAAGAAAATGCCTTGGAGTCCAATGATACGTTATGCTGCGCTGCTTAGTGATACCGCTCATAGAGCTTCATCTGAGAGCTGATGAATAACACTTGAATGGAGTAGCTTGTGTTCTCAAGTAGTTGTCCCTGGTCGACCGTCTGCGTCAAGACTGCATCAAAGACTTTTCTCTTCAGCTATAATGTGCAATACCTAGGGGTCCGACAGCTGGAGTTGTGCCGGTCCGGGAGCCGGACAGTCCTACCCAACTGTAATAGAAGGAAGGACTCGCGCGAAAGGCACAGCAGCAAGTTGCTTCGTTTGAAGGCTCTACAGCAAGCAATCTGTGGAGACTAACGAAAAGTTTGATGACCAGCTATTGCTGTGACCTTGATATAATAGAAACTGACTGTTCACCCCTTTGCTTTAAGCCACCTATATAATCAAGGATGTTGAGAATCAGCATGATAATGAGATCTATCTTCTTGGACTCTCACTGCTCCAACAGTAACTGAGCTTCCCAACAGCTCCAGATTCGTCTCATGGTATCAAAGTTACTCGCTTCCTCTTTTCAGGTAGCTCTTTCGCTTATCCACTCAACTCCTCATTCATTCCCTTTCCGTTGAATCTACCTATTTCTGGTTAGTTCGGACCGGATTTGGCACGCAAGCGAGTGATATTGAAGTTCATTTGCCAAAGCAGCAAGACAGTAACAGCAAAATAAGCTGAAGTGCGCAAGTGCATTAAAACAAAAGGCTTATGGAAGAGCGGTAAGTACATTCCGCAAAGGACAAGATTAGAAATGGGTTGCTGGGTTTGTCTATACTTGTCAAAATTGACACTGGGGCAGCGGTTCGGCCAGGAAAGGGTACTAATGGGCACGTGACGAACGCGTCTCTAACCAATGCAAGAGCCAAGCGACATCTGAAAAATACACAAAAAACGGAAACCGATGAAAACCGTGAGGGAAGGATCCACATCGATTTACATATGATCGCTGTTACCTAGACTACTCGATCAGATCTTAAATGCCAGCGATAGATCATACAACTGGTAACCACAAGCTACGGGACCAATATCAATGATCAGATATTCTAAGCATACACTTAAGATCCTATGGGAGAAATCTGAGAGAAGTATAACTGGTAGACTATTAGCATCCTAAACTCCAAGAACGCTTGGTTTCTCATGACTATTATCTTTCAGTTCATGAATCCGAATGGGATAATCTTAGCGTTAAATCATATGAAGGTGTTTTGATTAGAAGATAGGTCAGTGGTTCATACTCGTCTCCTTTCCTTTTCGCTCTATAAGCTACGATTTCTACCATCTTTTATATATAGAGCATTCTACAGTCATCAAAGGCTTTTCAATCTGCTCGTTCCTTCAATTCTTTGATAAGTTTACGGTAATACGTGGATTAGCGACACTGGAGAAGCCACTTCTCATAGGTATCTCTAAGGAAGATACTTACTGCAACGAAGGTTGGGGGGAATTTTAGAATTATTAGCCAAGTTATCATCGTTTCACCATCTTTTCTAGTCGCAAGTACATTATTGTACATATTCCTGTTGTTTTCTGTTCAAATTTCGATCATTTAGCCATAAAATCGGTGTTTCTTTGGATAGTGTTGTCCGTCAACATAACAGAGAATAGCTAAAAGCTGTAGCCGTCGTGAATACCGGCTAAACAGAACGTTTGGGTCAAATTCTCAGGCATCAGAGTATATCGCACAGTATCTAAGCACAGAGATATCTCAATATTTGTGAATCCTAAAAGGTGCCTTAAGCATGTCATAGTTGTATAGTCTCGAGTTCTTTGCTAATGCGGAGGAAGTCTAAGTCAGGGACTTCAAATCACCCTTTGAAGCTATCATGTTCCAATATTATGGTTGTGATCACAGTCATTAGGCAGTTGATGACACGCATCTACATATAAGACACATAAGCAGGCTTTGTATGGTTGTAGAAGTGGTATTGATATGCTCCTGTTCACGGTTTTAACTTCGAACCTCAAAGATAATGCAGATTTTGCCTTGATTCTTTTTGGTAGGTTCAGTGTGAGCCAAAAATGAACTCCTGATTTGATGTGTCGAGCAGCTACTTACATGCCTCTTAAACTACGGGCGGATGATGATAGCAGTAATGCTGCAGTCACACATATATCACATGGACGCGGCAGTCCAAGGAGAAGAAATATCCTTGACAGTCGACATATAGAACAACAATGACACAAGAGCTGAGAAGGGCAAAGGCATATCTGATTGGTAGAGCCCGGGAAATATGAGGGGGTGGCAAGAATGAGTTACATAACCTTGCCACGCTGAAAGGAACCCCTGAAGAGTGCAGGAGACCGCGAGGTACTCACAAGGGCAAAGGGATTTTATAAGGGGGGCTACTTGGACACGATGAAGGATTTCTCTTGGGCTTTCCTCCCCCAAACACAAGGACACTGAGGACCAAGAAAGATCATTACACGCAGTAATTGACTTCGCTGTGCACCCCACATCATCAGTGGCCATCATCTAACCTATTTTGACCCATTTTCGATTTCCGTCCGCACTAGACCAAGTCACCCGTTACAACATATGAGTCATACGAACAGAAATCAAATGGATAAATAGATCTGCGCCTGGTGCTAGAAGTAATACAGGTTCTCGCACCATATAAACTTGACGGAATGGACCATCGAATATGTGGTGGCATATCAAGAGCGGCAATTGTCTCGTGGTATCTAAAGGATAGTACTTGACCGAGGAGATGTGAAGTCGAATCCACTATTCAGGAGGTAATAAAATCCACAAAAGTCGTGTTCGATGGCCAAAGGTAGTCATCTCGCCGGCCATGAACCAAACGCGGATTGCTAGCATCACTGTTCTCTTCCCGGCGACGGACATCCTTCAAGCATTTCTCATGGTCCATCATATAGTAATGTCTCTCTCTTTTGCTAAACAAGGAAATGAAAGCTGAATTCAGCATGCTCATGATTGGACACGTCATTTGCAGCATGCACTCTTCGCTTCCCGAACCTTATCTTTACCCCGAAGTCAAAACACAATGTGGTGAGCACACGGTCTTTTAGCTCCTGCATTAAATTCGATATATTGGTTGACATTAATCTAAATTGCAATGTTGTAGCGGAGGTACCAGAGGCCATCCCTCTTTGGGATACCAGAAACATCGATTGTTCATTTCGATATCAAAGCACACCTTAGGAAAAACAGACTAAATGTCGTGCTTGTTGCGTGAAAGCCATTAAGATATAGCATAATAAAACATACGAAAGATATGTGCTGTTTCATCCCCTTCACAGAGTTTATAAGTATTCTCTCGGAGCTGTTCACCTTCATGGGTTGTGTGTGAGGATCTTCCTTAGTCGAGTTCCAAATCCATAAAGTTCTATCTACCAGTCCTAGGCTGGCCCAGGAAGAACATCAAGGCACGCCAATATATCAGCAGACTCAAGCGATCCGGGATGATCTAACCCCGGAAGGCCCAGGCCAATTAGACTAGCTACAAGTCAACATGGGCTCCAAATTAGTAAGGGTTAACTTCTAGTAGCTTCCAGAAATGTATAATGCTATCCCCTTCTAATGCACTATTGTTGATTTCTATGATCTCTCGGAAAGCTTTCTCTTAATCTGGTACAATGTAGAGCTTTCTAAACTTCGCTACATATAATCTTGATGAGTTTCTCCGCAGACTTTGGAAGTAGTCTTTGCAACTCTCGACTGAATTTTTAACGCACCTAAACCTTTGGGGGGTGAAGCCAATATAGTGCATGAAAGGGATTTTACGAAGAATGATCTCGGCGCTTCCTGGCGGAAGCGTTGGTCGCCACCTCCATGCATTTTTTTAGAAGTCGTCGTTTGCCGATCTTTGAGTCAAATATCCAGACACCAGTAAGTGTGTATGGTTCGGATTCAGGTGCATAGCCTGAACAATCCTATGCCCCATGCACTCCAAGGTCGGGGATAACAGTCCCTGGAATAGGTTCACAGCTTGGGATTTGGACCACATCTGCTCTCCTCGTTAGAGGTAGGCAATGCAGCTTCACTGGCTTGCATTGTGAAGATCAGAAAGAGGAAGCAAACAACTTGTCTCTCGGTCGTTCAGAGGAAATATTGGATGCCGTTCAATAGGATAAATGGATGAGAAGGGTTGGCGAACCAACACAAGCTTTCATAACCAGTAGTAAAATGGACACAAACCTGGTCTCTCAGCAGCTGTTGTCGGTGATACAAAGAGGGTCCACTTGGACTCCTACTCCTCGATCTGAGCTTAGATGTCTTCCTCATTTCGCTCCTCGATGCCGGACTGCTCCCTCCTCTTGCAAAACTCCCTTGAATCACCAGCAAGAAGCATGTTCAAATCAACGCGCTTCAAGAAGTCATCTACAATCACTGCAGGCCATGGCGTGCAATGCTGGCGTTGTCCATCCGTAGTGGTGAGCGTGATGATGCCATTGACCGCTTCAACAATAGTCTTGCGCAGTTTCTCGATGTTATTTACGAACGTTTTGACACTTGTTCTGATGATCCTCTCCCACAATTCCAAGATCTGCTCCATGGATCACTTGGACGCAAGCTCCTGGAGAAATACGCTGAGCATTATGGCGTCGCGTCGTTTCCGTTACCCGAAGTCTCAGCCACTAGAGAACCAATGTAAGTGGTGACTAAGAGAGCTCATTGAGCGCCTTGGTAACAGGCTCGGAAGCAATCCGTAAAAGTTCAACACGTACCTCATCGATCGTTTCTGAAAATTGTTTGTTAGCTCACGTTAGACACAGAGGATTAATTAGATGCACAGAGTAAATCAAGTCGCTTGAGGTGGTCATTTTCCGAGAGGTCGTAGCCTGGGTAGCAGCCCAGAAAAAGGCATTTCTCAAGACAAGTTCTCCAAGAGTTTCCTTAAAGGAAACCAGATCACCGAGAGTATGGAATATGACCAGCTTGTGGACTAGAGACTCAAGCGTCATATTTGGCATCTTGCGGGTGGGGCTGTGGGCAGCCATAATGATCAAGGGCCGGAAATCCCTCAAGTTCTTCATCATTCGATGCCTGTCGCAAAGCAAGACAATGTTGCACATCAATCGAATCGTCATCGCACGGTTGATCACTTTGATATAATCCTTTCTACCATAAGCAGACAATAAGACGTAAATGAAGCGCATCGGGCTCATCCTTGGGGACATGAACAACCAATTTGGCAGGAAGCGAGCCAGAATTTTCCCTGGAATAGTCCCTCCTAACCTCCTGTTTCTGATACCAGAATGGCGAGGCCGATGCGAGGGCTTTCGACGAAAGGGCGAAGCAAATACCGCCTGTCCCTGCTAGCAGTTTCATGTCTCCTTCTGGTCGATGACGTGCATCGTCGCTATTTTGCCGACTTTAAAGGTATTGCCGAAGGATTGCTGATGGAAAGGTTCTGTTGATCGACGTTGTGGTTTTGTGAGGGGTCAAAAACGGCAACAGCTAGAAGTAGAACTTAGCGAGAGGGCAAACATGTGGGGTTGATGCTGTTAGAGATAACAGCATACGGCTGTAAAATATCTGGAATACTACGGGTCACACAAGTCCTGTCTTTCTTCCTTTCCTTCTTACATTCCTGTCATTTTCCCTTCTTCCACTCTCTCCTTCCTTCCTTCTCTCCTTTTTCCCTGCCTTTCCTTCTTCCGTCGTTTTTATTCTGGCTTTTTTTCTTTCTTATTTCTTCCTGTTCTCTTTCTTCTTGACTTTTGTAGCACTTTTTATTTTTTTTTTCTGCTGTTGATCAATGAATGGAAGAAAGAGACATGAAGATGATGGCTGGTAAGCTGTATGTGATTTGTCTCCGTTTACAAACTCCGACCACCCACAGGATTTACACTTGACCAGCTCCTTGTTGTAGGTAGTTTCAAGAGACGGGATGACGTAACGTTGTCTCTGGAAGTGTATCTATCCGAACCCTGTTTATGCCCAGGCCTTTGGCTCAGTTCGCTTACACCGCTGAGGCAAGCTCAAGTTGACAACCAATCATCATGAATGTACGGTGCAAGTGAGAACTTGTATTGATACGCCAGGTTGTTCTCTGTAGCACATTATGGATAATATGCAGCATTGTCTCAGCCTTTTGAACTAACCGATTTGATGCTGAAGGACCAGAAGACTGCTCGTCATTGTCATTGTTCGTTTCGCCATTACCAATAGCATAAGTTAAAAATGGAAACTAAGGTGGAGCAGGTGTTCATGATCGACGTGCCAAGACTAAGGCTGGCATTTTTGGCCTGTTGAGTTTTGGGCGAGTGCTGCTGCACGGGGAACAGTTTTTTTGACTGGAACCAAGCATTGAGGGGTCATGGGAAGGACAAGTTGACAGCAAGTTCTGTACGACATAATTGTGGTTTCGTATTGCTCTGAAAGATCTGTTGACTGCGTCTCAGGCTGTCCAACGTTTGTGCTGCGTTCAATATTGCCCTGAATTGTCGCTTGAATCATTCAAAAGGAGCAGAAATTACATCGAATATCCGGGGTTCTGTACCATGATGACAAGCAAACTCGCCTATTTTCGATTGCCGGCACCAAGATTCACGGAACGCTTGGCACATCACTTGGCAACGCCATGAATGAGCCGTCCCGACATCATGGGTAGGCCGTCATTGGCTTTTTGTTGGATTGGCATCCATATCTCGGCATGACCTTGTTGCGAGAGCTGAAATATTCGGGTCACGGCTCGTCAGCCCGCTATCGGCTCGTTCCTTGTCCCCTTGTCAGCCACCACCATATCGTTCCACGGCCCACAGATAATTGATTATCTTAAATTACAACCCAACCTGGGTGGTTCGACTCATCTGTCTCATCGCTCCTTGGATGTGAACGTTTAGGTTCCAGAGCCTGAAACCCAGAAGGCATCTGAGTCCTAACAACCGATACCGTTGCAAGTAACTCATCAGCTCCAGTCTTAAAGCTTGACCCATCATCCTACGAGTCGAACACGTCTGTTTGGTCCGCGAGAACGGATCAAACGCATCCTATCTTTCAGGCCATCGCTTCTGATTGGTATCTCCGTCTGCGCTCGATCTCCCTCCTGTATGCCGCAACCACAGCGACCGTTCCGGCACCGTCGCCATCCTTGACAAACAAGCCATCCCGTATTATTATTTTAGATAGCATCTCGGAATACTCTATCAGCATGGCAAAGGCAGCCAATGCAGCAGTTAGGGAGAGCCGACGACGGTCGAACCCCCTCGACCTTGAGCGCATGAATATCATGAAGGCGCTCACAGCAGCTGAATACTCCCGCCGCCAGTTCATTCTCAATTTTGCTGCCAGCAAAGACACGACCCTTTTGATTCCTGGGCAAAAGTCAGCAGCTGTCAAGGCCGCTGAGGACTGGGTTACCAACTGGCTTGCCCAGAATGGGTATGATGCGAGCGCCGTCAGTAGCGACTTCTTCAAATACACTGTTGACGCTAGGTTATGGAGCAAACACGGTGCGTGTTCTTTGACTGCTAAATCTAAAGAGCTGTAACTAAGTTCTGCATTGTACAGTTGGCGATGATGTTCCATTTCCCTTCGCCTTCATGCGAAAGATGTCCGAGTCTTCCACCGTCACTGGCGATAGTGAACTTGGTCGACCGAAAAGCGCATGTTACGGAACCGAGCAGCAATCTCCTCAAGTTATGCCCATGGCATCCCCAACAACCGAAATATCAGGCTCCATGGTCACACAGCAGCCTTCGAAAAAAGCATCAGACTCTTCACGCCGACAGTCGCTGCCTGCACCCTTCACACTGCCAGTTTACAGCAGACGTCGCTCCATCAAGGACACAAACAACGACTCCGTGGATCCGTTAATGATGCCAGAGAAGGATAAAACTCGAAGTCTTTCTATGAACGATATGGAGGACCTCAAGCAGTCAGCAAAACCCATTGCGCAAGACAAGGTGCCCTTCTTCTCGCGCCTGGGCCGTTCTTTGTCTCGCCGCATGTCCATCACTGCAAAGGGATGATCCACGAGTGAGCAATCCCAATCTTCAAGACTGCAAACCAAGCAGAATCCAAAACATTCATCGCCCATGTGCAACGATAATTACATAACACACAGGGTCCAGTCCATCAACACTCTGTGCTCGTGACTCAATTTCAGGGATGTCCAATCTTGCACATGACCACTCGGAGGTTTCTCTGCAAAATCCGTAAAAGCTAATGACAGCGGAGGCCAAGGGGTCCTGTCACCGGTCAGCCTATCGCCCACCGCTTGCGGTTAGCTACAAGCAGGGAGGGTGGGAGGAAAACAAGGCAACAGATTGTAGGTGTGGCTGCCTAGCGTTAGCGCAGTCTGCGGCGCAGCACAGCACAGGGAGCGACTCGGACAACATTATTTGTGCTGCACAGCAGGACTTCCGCACTGCCACGTCGTTCTGCGTTTTGAGTTCGTGTGGTTCGTGGTTAATGGAGGGGGCTTTTACACTTTTTGCCGGGGCTACTGGTGCGGTAGTGCAGGTTAGGTCGGGTCTGGACCGGTGTCAGCCAGGTTGTCCGGTGGTCAAGCTTCAAGGGAGACAAAAGCGGGGGTGCCTGCCAGCCGGTGACACACAGGACGCCCACATGGCCAGCAGCTGACAGGTTCTATCTTGGTGTTTGGCCAGGAGGGCAAGGGGCGGGAAAGAAGCTTGGGATGGGTGATGTCTTTATTTTTCTTGGCTCTTCCTTGGTATTGGCAACTGAAGTTCAGCTTTTCTTGGCTTATCATGTGCAGACGCTTAAGGAATGCAAGCAATCCGCCTGGTTGGATCCGGGGGATTCCTCTCGGAAGGGAGGAGGTCTTGGCGCGGGAGGGGCCCTGCTCAAGGATGGCACCACGACCCAGCCTTAGTGATCTGCTTCGGCATAGCACGGTTTCATTCCATTGCCATGGCATAATCCTGGAGATGGAGAATGTGTTGAGACTGTTTGACTTCTTGGTTTCCTCTGATGTCAGGCCAACACCGGGGCTGAGGTTGTTTTGTTTAGTAGCTAGGGAAGGCCGTGTCCAACTCTACCATGCGTTTGGCAAAAGTCGGCCAACTACTAAGGGTATGCATGGTGTCTCAGACTGTTCGCTCCTGCTACTCTGCATATGGTCGTATAGACGTCACATATTTTTCTCTCGGTACAAAGTCCAGATGTCTATGATTAGTCGGTTGTCCTGATTGCGAAATTATTCATAACCTCCTCCTTGCACTACAAACATCGTCTCACGGCAGAGAAAATGTACTCCTAGACACATGATAGTGAATGATAGCGGACCATTGAGGAGCATAAAGGCGGGGAAGTCCGCCAACTCTGTCGATCAAGCGGTCCGGAGCTTAGATTATTTCTCGGTCATCGAGATCTCGACCAGATGACGCATATGCGAGGACTTTTGGCGGACCATAACAGTGACATCGTCGCTCCCACAGCACGGAGGTAGTTCATAAGATGCTTCGCCAACTGTAACGTTTCCTCTCCACCTCCCATTACATGGCTGGGGAAATAATGAACAAAATTTGTGCCTGAATTACGACCAGTTTCTTCCAATTGGGAATGATGAAGCCCAAGACTGGACAATCGTAATTTCTACGAGAAAAATATTTTCTACTGTTTACATTAGACCTCTCCGTATGCTGTTAACGAAGTCCTTGAGCTCCAGCGGACTGAAAAATTTGACTTTATTACTATCTTTTCCCAGTTTCTCCTGTGCAAAAACATCCGCGGTCATGGTTTAGCGAGTGTGGAGGGGGGAGGGTTCATAGTCTGCGAGAAGCAGACTCGCTTTTACCTTACTTGTTTGACTGAGCAAGAAGAGGCATATAAGATACGCCAATCCGAAGAACTGTCAGCTTGCCCGGTTTATTCAACGTGAGTGTTGCTGTTTCGAGGCACAAGTGTCCTGGAACACCCAAGGATGTTCAAAGATATTGCCCACTATGGTCGCTGTACCAATCCACACTGTGAGAGTAACAGCTTTGTAGAAAGATGGGGACGATTACTTAAGACATCTTGACAGGTTAACAGCAACTTTCATCAGCAGATGCGACTCTAACTGAATAAAAACAATAAACTAAAAGCAATGCCATGGACGAACCGGTTTCCAACATCGCCATGCATCCCCTTACTCTCAAACATCACGTCCCCTACAGTCCTTAGCGTCTTTCATACGGTGTCAGCCCTACAACCGGTGGGGATTTTTCTGCTCTCCTGATTTTCTGCCTCTGCCTCGGCTCACGGCAAGGTCCAGGGTCAGATGCCAACTTCAGCGTGGTCAGGGGGAAATCATGCTCCACTGGTGCCACTTGGCGAACCCCAACAAAACCTTAAACCGACGTCAACTCTTTTGGTGCCCAACCAATCCAAATCCACCATAAGAGCACAAGAAAAATGACAGCAGAAGCAGAACCAGCAGAAGAATTTGACATAATAATTATTGGTGCCGGCCTCAGCGGCATCAATGCTGCGTACCGCGTGCAGAAGGAGCTGCCGCACCGCAGCTATGCCATCCTAGAGCGCCGCCACGAGATTGGCGGCACCTGGTCGTTCTGGAAGTACCCCGGCATCCGCACCGACAGCGCTATGGGCCTGTTTGGCTTCCCCTGGCGCCCCTGGCCCTACGACAACAACATGGCCACTGCCCAGGCCATTCGCACCTACATGGAAGAATGTGCTGCCTCCGAGGGTATTGACCGGCACATTCGCTTCGGGCATCGCGTCGCCTCGGCCGCCTGGCGCAGCAACGAGCAGCGCTGGACGCTGACCGTCGTCGTCACGCACAAGGATGGCTCCGTCGCGACCAAGACCGTGAAGGCCTGGTGGCTGATCTGCGCGAGCGGCTACTACAGCTACGACAAACCACTGCCGGCCGTCATCCCGGGTCTCGAGAACTTCGAGGGCCAGGTCATTCACCCGCAGTTCTGGGACGAGTCGATCAACTACGACGGTAAGCGCATCATCATCATCGGCTCGGGTGCGACCGCTATCACCCTGCTCCCCGCCCTCGCAAAGACCGCGCAGAGCGTCACCATGTTGCAGCGCAGCCCAACCTACGTCATGAGCCTGCCGCGCCGTGACAGCACGCTGCAGCTCCTGTGCCGCTTCCTCCCCCGCTCCTGGGCTGCCGCCATCAACTGGTGGAACCGCATGATTATCGAGACCCTGTTCGTCAAGTTCCTGCTCACGTTCCCCAACATCTCCCGCGCTTTCCTCATGAGCGAGATGCGCCGCCAGCTGCCCGCCGGCTTCGACGTCGAGACGCACTTCAACCCGCGCTACAACCCGTTCCAGCAACGTCTGTGCTTCTGTCCCGGAGGAGACTTCTTCAAGGCCCTGCACCGTCCCAACGCGCGCGTCGTGACCGATATCATCGATACTGTCACCGCGACGGGGATCCGCCTCAAGTCGGGCGCCTTCCTAGAGGCAGACATGATTGTCACGGCAACCGGGCTGTACTTCAACCTGTTCGACGGCCTCGACATCACCATCGACGGCGAACTGCTCCGCGACTCCATCGCCGACCGCTACATTTGGAACGGGAGCATGCTCGAGGGCGTGCCTAATGCAGGCCTCATCGTCGGATACACCGCCGCGACTTGGACCCCCGGCGCGGACGTTCGTGTGCGCCAGATGATCAAGGTTATGAAGTACATGGAACGCAGTGGTGCGGTGGAGGCCCGGCCGTGGCTTGACCCCAAGAAGAAGGCCAAGTTGCCTGCTAATCCGGCAGTTGATTTGACGTCGACCTACATGGTTACTGCGCATAACAGGATGCCGCGGAATGCTGGCAAGGGGCCGTGGATGAATGGGGCGAGCTGGGCCGCGGATGTGTTCCGGTTATGGTTTGGGAGTGTCAGGAGCGGGATGCGGTATGTGTTTGCGCCGAAGGATAAGAAGGAGTAGGTGGATGGCTTGGCTGTGTGCTGATGGTATTGCGGTGATGCCTGGGGAAGTAGCCTGGTTGGATATGGGGATGGGTTTGTGGTTTGGGTAGGATGGGTGGTTGGGTAGGCGGTACGATAGGTTCACGGGTTGTGGTGAAGATACCCCTGGAAGTGTAGAGGTCATCGTCATTCGTTTATACCTCTCCTTTTTTTTTTTTGATACTAAGCTAGAGCTCTGCTCATTACGACAAGCCTCGTTTGGGTATCAAGCCAGTCCTGTACAGGTTGTTTTTCTTTGTCAGCGTTTCAATCTCACTGCATCTAAGCTTTTACTTGTGGGCGGGGTGTCACTGTCAGTAATAGTTGGTAACGAGCTTCCTGATATATCTCACCGTCTACTGTTTCTTGCTGCTTGTCCTTTCTACGACAACCTTAGGTATTTGATTGACGCTTTAGTCTACCTTCGCCTCCCAGCAACTACTTCTCGTTACCGATACAGGATTGCGCAACCCTGACCTTGAACGCTTCTTCATCCACGTCAAGCTCGTTCATGCATTTTTTTTTTCAGATAGCTGATTACGTTCGAAGTATCTCCACGGTTCGTAGTTTGTATGGTCGCTGAGATCTTCACAAGAAGACCTCATCATAACGGTTTATATTAGTCCGACTTAACCAAATCCGGGGAGTCATCCGTCACGAAATTTAGAATGATAGGGTCGTATGCCATACACCTTGCCGCCCTCACTCGAAAGACACGATCAGCATATCGTCATCTATCCACGACGGTGAGATTCCTACAGATAAGACGAAGGTGGTGAAGGTAAAAGCCGGTATAATAACCTCTTGTCTGAGCCTTATAAATGGTCGTGAGGAGATGCGACCAGGATCTCGTGGGTTATGCTGGAGAGGGATCACTGTTGGGTTCGAACGGTGTGGGCAGCTCATGGGATCCGATGGTTCACGTTAAGGAGGACGAAGAGGGGGTTAAACTGAGTTTCACGATGCCTCCCAATCCGGTATGATACATAGCTCCGTCCATCCAATGCCTTCCACTTAGTACCGCCCTTCCAATTATGAACGGCCGAGCCCTCTGCCAAAACTCTGCCATTTCCAAACCAAGTCTATCCGCATAATGATGGAAAAGCCTGTGTAATTCATCATCTTGCTAGGGCTCGCAGCTTATATGGTCCCGGGTAACCTGCACTGTCCTCACCGTGCTGCTGCGGAGAATGCCCGCCCTCAGAAAGTTCATCTGGTGGATGAACTTCCCCGACTGCGCCGACAGTTCGCAGGCCACTCGGCCTGGGTGATGTCCTGACGGCACCAGCTCTGCTGGGGCAGCTCGAGATCGAGCCTGGCGTGTATGGCCGGACCACGCAGCCATTGGTTCTTCGATATCTGTCACATGGGCCAGTGGCGGTCCTCTTCTCTATAGGACTTCATCGCCCTCTTCGATCATCTTGAACATGTTATCGAGGAGAAAAAGGCGCCCTTTCTCGATCAAGTCTATCAGGCGGTCAGCAAGGGGAGAATAAATGAATCAGTCAAGGCACAGGTGACAGTTCACTTACCATACAGGCCAAGATGCTGAATGGTTTTTATTGTTGGAAAGGCAGTACCCACCAACAAACACTCTGCGGTCTTTCCTGTCTCAAGAAGGGAAAAAAAAAAAAACGAAAAGAAGACCGAACCCCACACCCAAAGGCTGTTAAGGAGCAAACACGGGTTTCGTACAATTATATCTGGGATCGAAAACACCATCTGCACATGGTGGAGCACGTCAAACCTTGTTAAATCACCAGAGTGAGGCTACAATAGGGGTTCCCAAAGCTTGCTGCAACTCGCGACAAGATACTCCTTTGACGCTCTCCGTTGCCGGATGAGCACACGATAACGACACTACGACGGTCAGATCAAGTCATTACATTGAGTGTGTTGTATGTTACAATTAGTATCCAAGAGCCCCCTCCCTCGATAGTCAACTCTCCCTTAGCGATCCCGGCCAAAAGTGTTAACCGGCTTCGGCTTGTTATCCAACACCTCTTCGATCTCCGCCAAAACCTCAGGGGTCAGCTTGTCAAGCAACTCAAGTGCCTTCAGGTTATCCACAATTTGCTCAGGCTTGGTAGCACCCAGAATGACTGTGCTGACATTGGGGTTCTTCGCCGCCCAAGCCAGTGCGAGGTGCGTAACCGAGGCACCGAGCTTCTCAGCGATCTTTGTCAGCTTCCTGACCTTCTCGATCTTCGCCTGGCCCTGCGGCGTCTGCAGCTCCTTGATGGTATTCTCAAAGAACGCCTTGTTGGTCGCGAACCGCGAGCCCTCCGGAATACCGTCGTTGTACTTGCCCGTCAGCAGACCGCTGGCCAGAGGCGACCAGATGGTGGTGCCATAGCCGTACTGCTTAAACAGCGGCGCGTACTCGACCTCAAACCGCTCGCGGTGGAAGGCATTATACTGCGGTTGCTCGACCACAGGCGCAATCAGATTGTGCTTCTCGGCGAGCTGGATCGCCTCGGTAATCTGGGCAGCGCTCCACTCCGACGTGCCCCAGTAGTAGGCAAGGTTGAGGTTGCGGATAACCTGGGTGAAGGCCTCGACGATCTCGAGCATGGGCGTGGCGGGGTCGGGCCGGTGCGCAAAGACGATGTCTACATAAGGGGTCTGTAGGCGCTGCAATGACGACTTGAGGCCCTCGACGATGTGCTTGCGGCTCAAACCGCGCGTGTTGGGCTCCTTGCGACCGGTGCCAAAGAAGATCTTGGTTGTGAGGACGTACTCGTCGCGTGGCCAGCCGAGTTCCTTGAGTGCGCGACCCATCTCGATCTCGCAGGCGCCATTGGAATAGATCTCGGCTGTGTCGAAGGTTTGCTGTTGGAAGGGTGCTGTCAGCAGTCTGTTGGACAAAGTATCTGTTGTAAGAACAGCCTACAATGCCATGCTCCCAGGCAGTCTTGAGGCACTCCTTCACGATGTCACCCTTTTGAGTGCCGCCGTAGGTGAGCCAGCCGCCAAGAGAAAACAGTGAAACTTGGAGACCAGTGTTCCCCAGGTAGCGGAACTTCATGTTCTTCGGCTCGTAGGCCGTTGGGACAACGCTCTGGTTTGACATGGCTATTGGTAAGGGTCTCTGAGGTACCGAGAAACTACAAAGAAATGGGCTCAACGTGAAGAGGAGGAATTTTGTCTCTGGGAGGGCAGCAGTCGCGGCCTGGCCTTTATCATGGTGAAAAACTCGGGCGCGATGTTCCAGGAGAAGTGGGGACCGAGTAATAGTGCATCGCAATAGCTCCTGGCAGTGACGACATTGGATAGATACCTGAAATCGGGCTTCGGAGATTGGAGTTTAAAGTGGGGTACAGATGGTTAAACTGTGTCGATGATGACAAATTCAGCACAAATAAAAACAGCGGAATACTGGCATGGCCAACTGCTCTTACTGGGTAGGAGTATGTGACCGATTATCCATGACATTGAAGTGTTCAGGACGGATATCGCGGAGTTTACGACATCTTTTTCACAGCAACCGCGCTTTGGAGCTCATCTCGAGCCTCGATGGACCCCGCCATGGTGGACTTGGTGATGAAAGGATATTGACGGACGGAAGCGGGGTAGCGGGGAGAGACCCACATTCAGGGGGGCCGCTGGTCATCCCGCGACCCGCCCCTCAAAGTTCGGGCGCTGGTATCCGCAGGGTCCGGTAGACGAAATCACTATAACTCCGGGTCTTGCGGGGAAGGAGGGCGACAAAGACCACTTTTGGGGGAATAAGCATCACAAAAGGCTATCGTGTAGCGGAGTGGCAAGGTCGCTAACTTTGTTTTCCTTAGCCAGGCACTCCAAGTCCAATACTTGGAGCCCTCAAGTTGACGAAAAAAAAAAAAAAAAAAAAAAAAAAGAAAGGAGCTCAGCTGCTTTGAGGGATAGGACGCCAGGTAGGCCGACCGTTTCTCGCCCTGCTTTTCGGCATCCACTAAAACACAACCCGGTCTCGAAATCGTCCTGCACTAGACAAACTATTGCAGAACTTGCCAAACGCTAGGCGCCAGTGAGGTTTTGCACCCATCTCGACTTACCATATATTACCATATATGTTATTTTGGCCTGCCGACACTTTGATTCATGATGTGATACGAAGAGCTGCTGTCGGGCAGCATATTGCAAAATGACAAAAATGACAAAGTACGGCCACTGTGCTTGCCTGGTGCACTTAGCACAGTATGATCTAGTCACACCGATTTCTCTTGGTGATTTCAAGCAACTGGCCAAATTTGCAGAAGACAGGTTTAGACCTAGCGTCATGGAAACGAAGGGTGAGAGATGGCTGTGCCGTCAGGCTGCGAAGGTTGGCAGGGTGGCCAACGCATAGCATCGGGCCTGTGTCAGCCCTCTACATGTAACAGGCGACCACTCTGAGACCAACTTCAATTACTCACTGTGGTAAAAGAATACAGTCTGCCACCACCAGGCTGGATCAAGGGTATCGAAGCTGGAGCAAAGGCCAAGAAGACGATTCACGTGAAAGTCACGGGACCTGGAGTTCAGGACCCCCCCAAAAAACGGTGTGAAGATAATAATGGCTTCCAAAAATAGAGACTCCGGAGATTGACAGAATACCAGAAAACAGAGCAATATGAATGCAAACATTGACAATCCTGTTGTATGTACACCAACACAACCACGTATGTACACAGATGGGGTATCGGTTCCATTCCATAAACCAACCATCCAACGCCGGAACGCCAGCCCGATATGCTATCCCAAGCTGCAACTTTTCTTGATGCTTGTTATTGAACTCACAGGTTTCGCTGTAACCAACGATTTTCGGCGCGACTGTATTGACCGCACCTCTGATGCTATGACCTTCGGTTTTTGTTGCTTGCTTATCCGGGAAGTGGCCTCTGCTGGCGGACTCATTCTTCTTTCTCTTCTCGATTGTGCGGCTGATTTTGATAGAGATTTTGCCCGTTTTGCCGGGCTGTGCTCTCTTTGTTTGTTTGTTACTCGTGCTTCCCGGTTGGATTCTGTTGTGCTGGGTCTGCTGTATGCTGAGCGATCTGATGGTGATTGTGGCGCCCGTGATGAAGACAGATTTGGATGTCTCCGCTGAGAAGTGGACTGCTCTGTAGTATTTTCTCCCATCGATGCAGATGAAGATGGTGACGTAGGTTTTGGTGGTGCAGGTTTTGGTGCCGCTGAATAGACTGTGGTTAGGGCGAGACTCATAGTCGGGGGAAATTAACAACTTACTGCCCGGGGTATATTGTCCAAGGTTGGACGTCAATCCTGGTGAAGAAAACTGCTCGCGACAATTGCATTCACCAGTGCTGCTGGGGCAACAATCAGGCTCAGACTCGGAAAATGAGTAAGCACGGCCCGGCGTCGAGGGGCGTGAGTCATCATAATCGTGGAAGTTATCGCTCGGGGAGGCCACAGAGGAATCTGAACACATCGTCATAGACCGATGTGAGTCCGAATAGTAGGCCTTTGATGATAGCGTCTCATGGGAGCCGGTGTCCGTCGAATCCGACATGGACTCCGGTTCATCGAACACGGTGCCAGAAGAGCCGTCGAAAGACCCAGAGCTGGAATCCTGATAACAGGTGCCGGACTTTGGTTGCGCAGGTTTGTACCAGGGGTGATCTGCAGGTAGATATGAGGCAAAAAAGCGCACAAGAGAATCAAAAGATTTAGTTCGAAAGAGCTGAATGGCAGGCTGCCACTGCTCGTTGCCGATGAAAGTAGGGTTGGCGATAATCTCCAAGGCGGCCGACTCCAAAATTTCGTTCAGTTCCTGAAGGCGTTGTTCCTTTCGTTTCTCGAGCATCCCGAGGAATTCCTCGGGGGAGGTCGCCAGGTGAGCTATCTCGCAGACATCGTGGTGAAATGCCTCCGGATCTAGGATGGGAATTGTGACGGTGTTATACCGGTCGTGCAGAGAAGTAGTCAAGTCATCCTTCTTTAACCCAAACTTCCAGTAAGGCCATGACCAGGAACAACCCGACATATCGTTATCCATTCTCTGATAGCTGCTGACTTGAGAGGTAGACAAGTGCCGGGGTTTGGTGTCTGAGTGGGGACTGAGTGGGCGAAGTGACCAAGATTGAGGACAGTAGACTCGCGAAAATCGTTTGTAGTATAGAGCGCAAGACGGGAAGTCATCTAGTACGTGTGTGCAACACCGGGCATTGTGCAGCCGATTGCGAGTTTGCTTCGAGAATCGAACGGTCGTGATGTAATTGCGCGGGTGGGTCGTTTAGAAGGGACGGTCCTCGATGATCTCCTAGGGAGGAAAATGAGACGGAGGTGTTGCGAGAAGGGTCGTGGAAATGGGCGGCCGGTGCGGTTGGGGGAAGGAAGGGGACAAAGGAGAAGGCATACCACAGGTTGGAGGGTCGGGGGCAACGCCTGGTGGCCAAACCGACAACAGCCTGAGAACGCACCTTTGTGGAACCTAAGAGTCTTTCAACAGCCAATCAAATGACTCTTACACTCCGCTCCGCCCCCCTGCAAAGTCGCTGTGCTAATGCGCCGATGGAGCCACAATTCTCCATCGACAAATCATCTCTCACTTCCAAAACCTTGGCGACAGGTCCTGCGCCAACACAAAGATCGATCAAGGTATCCTGCTTCAAATAAAATCACGCAAAGCTGTTTGCATGGCTTTCCCTCCATGTGCGACTGCACAATACACACTACGTACACGGTACAATACATTAGCACACTCTTGTCCCCAACCTTCAACCCACCAAGGAGTGACTGTAGCTCAGGTTCCGAGTATATGGTAACCGGAAGTGTAAGCACAGTTTGCGCCAACCCAAGTGCAGCGAGGGCAATCAAGAGCCCCGCCAAAGGGTCAAGCACAGTGTTTATGAGCATTTGCACCAAAAGCGTGCACCTGCCGGGCAGACAATATCACGTTGCTGCCACGTTGGGCTTCATGGACCTTTATGGATTTCCCACAAACAAAACCTTGGCGGGCAGGCCGTTTTCGGGATCTCGTGTCCCCTCATTCCATCGAGAATGGGTGAACATCAGGATTCATCCAAAAGTATGGCTTACCTCTTTACCTTACCTCCAGTCGGGCACACCACAAGTGATCTATCAGACTTCAAAGGAGTTAACCTAGCACGGTGATACAGCAATGCTTGATGTGAGTGAAGTGTTTGCGACCATCCGGACCAAATCTCTTGGTCTCACGAGGATGACGCCCAACCCTCGCGCCACAAAGAGGGACCGAAGCTCCTCTTGATTGGTGTGTTCCCATGGGCACTTGTGAGTGGTGGGAGGGGGAACGGATTCTCCGGCGCCCAGGAAGAAGGGAACCGCCACTCGATTTTGGTACACAGCCTCAATCCCTGGTGTAGGCCATTTAGTGTCATGGTTGCGAGAGACCCTCGGATGAACCAAATCCCTCCGGTGTCATCCCAAGTCAGCAGTTGCATACGTTGCCAGATGCAAACAGCTGCCAAAAACATGGATCAGGGTTTAATGCTGCTCGCTTCTCTGCTTCACTTCGTTGCTCAACCTTGTCAGCGAGTAAGAGCGTAGCAACTTCTCATAATGTGTTTCTCTCGCCAACGCTGTCTTTGGAGGTGCCGGAATGGCCCAAGACTATCTGGAACCACCAATCCTCGAGCTTCTTCTGTTTCCGGAGGAAAAAATTCTTCTGATGCAAGATGCTAAAGCGACGACTGGATCAATCTCGACCTTCCAGGTTCAACAAAGCTCAGGTGCTTTAGGTATTTTTCGCAGACACTATCATCTGCTCCCACATCTGGGCCAATGCCCCTCCATCGAAATAACTACAATGGTCGCGAGGCTTCTATGCGTCCGCTGACAACAACATGCGGACCTCCTATAGTGTTGCAGAGGAGCCCCCAGGCAGCTTTCCCTCGATTTGCTGCCCAGAATCTGCCAGTCATGACCGCCTGCAGCAAGGCTGATGGCCGCTCACAAGCTGTCCAGCCACTTTTCCCCGCTCACTCACCTTGCGCATCTGACCAGGTTGTTTCTCATCATTCCCTCATCAACCCGCAACACATGTCCAAGGGATGATGTCCAACAATACATGATAAACACAGCAAGGGACTCCTTATTCTTTCGTTCTCCTTTCAGTTCGAGCCTCGTCGGCCCTTGTCTTGTATTCTCACTCGTTTCTATCACGCTTAACGTTCTGATCGACATCTTCGCTGCATCTCTCCCTTCTTCGTTTTATCGGTTGCCTTACCCCTCGCTCTGTGTCAGCCTGAAATTCCCAACGTCATTGTCGCTCGCAGCTGCGCTTGTGCTTGGTGCATGGCATTACGCACTGGTTTTTCTGCATCCGTTATTTTGGGAAAGCCGCCTCCTTGATGCAAATGGCGATGAACCAGGTCAAAGAATGCTCGGAACACTCCGAGCAGAAGACCGAGCCCTTCTCACAAACCGAAATTCAGGCCAGGCTGAACCGTTCCCGTTACGAAGAACTGCAGATGCTAAGCAGCACTGTACCGCTGGATGACCTCCATTTACCAGCCAACAGTCACGACATTCGCATCTTGCTTCGGCCCTTGGCCAAGAATCGCTCCTTGAGCCCAGGACAGAACTCGTTGTGGATGATGCTACGCACTGAGGCGGCCGGGCCAGATGAAGCATCACACAAGGTTTTGGCAGTGAGGCAGACACACAGGAACATTTGCTTCCCGGTTATGATGCAAAATCAACAACATCCAGGTCGAGATCTGTCTTTTGATCTGTATTTCGATCCTCAGAGCGACAACTTGGTTATCTTAAACCGATCAGATACACCGTTCACGTTGCTACGATTGTCTGACAAACCTGAGAACCTTCGCAGAGTGCAATTTGACATCAACCCTGGTTCTAGCAAAACTCTCGCTCCAGGAACCTGGAGGGCTAGCATGGATGCTGTTGACCTGGTGGACTTTCGTATTCTTGAAAGGGCAATGCCCAGCTCTCACAGTCATTCAAGCCCGTCGGCTCACCCTCAGTGTTGTACACTAGGCCATACGCCCGAGGTGACAGGGAAAAGGCAGCTTGAAGACCAAGACGGCAACGAGAACGACGCCCCAGAGAAGAAGCGACGGCCAACGGATCCTGACGACCAAAAGGGGGATGAGGATGGTGTTACCTTGATTCTCCCCGCTAAAAACAACCTCCTAGCTCTCAACTCATCCGAGAAGGATAAGGCAGTAGTCAAGTCTACAGGACATGCCCTCCTGGATCTTCAACCAGGAGACACATTGCAGATCCCGATTTCAAATGGTGAAGCTCTAGTTGATTATAGCATCACGAAAATGGGGCCAATCGCTTCTACAAGCGCAGCGACTGTCTTCACGGCCGAGCTTTCTGACCATACAGACATCCCCAATGGCATTGTCGTGGTCAAGGTCCTGAAGACAAAGCATTCGACCACCAACGGCAACGAGAGTGCCGCGGCCCATCATGTCGTCCGCCAGGCACATTCCTGGCTGCGGGAATTCAGGAGCCAAAGCAACCTCAACCACCCAAGCATTGTGCGGTTGTATGGCGGCGACGCTAGATATCTCTCGTTGTACATGGAACATGTAGATGCCAAAGACTTAACAGTCAGGGGTGTTTGGAGATCGGATTCTGATTGGTTCATTGGAAGTCATGAAGATGCCAAAACCATTTTGCTAGACATCACGAATGCGCTGCACTATATGCACGGCAAGGGAAGGATTCACAACGACATCAAGCCAGGCAACATCCTGTACAGTCCTGAGAGGGGAGCTGTGCTCTGCGACATGGGCCTGTCGAGTCGAGACAAGGACGCGCCCAGCACTGGCGGGACACCATGGTATATCCCACCTGAGTTCCTCGGTCTGATGCAGCGTGGAGCTCCCAGCGACGTGTGGGCATTGGGAGTAACGATGCTCTATGTTTTGAGGAGAATGCAGTGGCCGGACGCGCGGGCTCATAAAGCTCATCCAAAGCATTTACACTGGATGATCGCAGAAGTGAACGCGCGAACGCCTGCAGTTTCTCGCGGAATGCCGCCTACTCATTCGCGGGAAACGCCTGCTATGAGGATGCGCAAATGGCTGAATGAGGTTACTGTGGTCCGCAATGGACTTGACATGACCGATCCCCTGGAGCGATTAGTCCACGGGATGCTGGCACCGAATCCAAAGGACCGTGTGTCGACGGCCACCATTCTGAACCATATCAAGTCGCTAACGGCGAAAATATCGTCCGACGGTTAAAGGCTTTTTGCTTGGGAAGGTCACCTAACGGGAATTTGGATCAAGTCTTCCGTTTTGGATAGCCACCAGTTTGGGGGGGGGGGGGGGGAGAATGAATGATGCTGGTGAGGTGATACAGGCATTTATCTTGCCAGAACAAATACTGACATGACACTTAAGATATTATCTCTATTTTTGACCCCAATCATTCCCTACACATTAGCGCCGTATCCGTCTCTACATGATACCATCCCCCCTCACAAACTCATACCAAACGCAAAAATGAGCGTCAAGGCTGCAACAGACGACAGCACACCCATGTTAACACCAATCGCCGGACCAGCACTGCTTCGCGTCGGGCCATTGTCACCAGCACCCTGACCATCACCTTCAGTCGACGAGCTATCCGAGCCAGAGCTGGCCTGCGCCGTGATCGGGGCGTACGTGACACCCTCTGTGACACACTCCTCATCGCTCAGCGGTGTTGCGTTCGCGCGGAAGCGGATGTTGGCGCAGTTGTACAGCGCGTTGCCGTTTTCGCCGATGGTCACAACCTGCAGGCTGGCGTCGGAGCCGTCCGAGATGGGCAGGTTGGTAGGCAGTGCGAGCTTCTTGACGCACAGCGTGCCGTTGCCGGTCGAGTTCCAGAAGGGGTTGGTCAGGGTGTAGTTGAAGTTGGAAACATCAGACCCCAGGCCGAGGTTGATGAAGATGTAGGTCCACTTGTGGTGCAGGTCCAGCTTGATGCTGCCGCCGTCAAGGGGCCATTCGGTGCGGGGTGCGTCGGTCAAGTTGCCCGGGACGCCGGCGCCTGGAGTTTAGGTGGTTAGGTTCCTGCATTCGAGTGAGTGTGGGAATGTGGAGGGGAACGCGTACAAGGCTGGATCCATTGTGAGTAGTGGGTGCCGTGATCGTGGCTTGCTGAGAGGGTATCGGCCCGCATGGGCGGGTACTCGATACCGAAGTGGGCTTGCGCGAGGTGCGCAACCGCTAGGAGAGCGAGCGTCTTGAGGGCCATTTTGGCGGATAATATGATAGAGTTGGATGAACAAGTGACAGCGACAGGATAGGTGCAGAGATTAGAGTATTAAAGGACCAAAGGTCTCCAAGCCAACAACCAACCGGCGGCGTACGAAAGATGCGAGGCACCGTTGTACAACAACAACAAACCAACAAAAGGGTTGCCTGTAGTCGAATCAGAGGGGTCTAGCGCGACTTGATGACTTTTTTTATAGTCCGCCACTTCCTGTGCGTATGTTTGTCGAACCCCTTTTAGGATTAAGGTCGCGCTAACCTTGCGCGTCGCGCGGGGGATCGCTGACCCAAGTCTGGGGAACCATCGAAAACCTGCTCGCACTGCATGGCGGCATGGCGCATCTTAGATTGTCAGCTAGGGAAACACCTCCATCCAATCGCCGTATTTCCACTGCGTACCTGACAGGGTTTGCATCGCGGACCATCCCACGACAACCTGGGAGCGAGCGACCTACGATCTGGATTCAGCACGACGAGCGACGCACAGAGCGGTAATTGAGCAAGTTTACCACTCTGCCATCTGCATCTTCCCATCTTGCCCCCCCCCCGGTCTTCCCATCCATCTTGCTCATCCCAATGCAATGCAATGTTGTCCGGGCTCGGCATTCGGTCGGATTCGGCCGTGATTAGCGAGGACAACCCAGCTCCCTGGGGAACCGCCCCATCGGCCTTTGTCACTCGAGCGGATCAGACCCCAACCCAACAGCAGGGATGAACTTGGAGGTGTGATGACCCAATCAGCGTGTGTCGAAGCTTTCTCGCTTGCCTGATGCGGCAAGTTCCCCTCTTCTTGTGAGTGGCGGGTCACTCGGACCTTGGCGCGTTGCCCGCTTGGCTGGGTCAGCGTGCGTTGGGTGGGCGTGGGAAACTTGCTCAAACAGCCGCATGAGGGAATGCTGGGCATTTTGTGGGAGAGATGTTGGTTGACAACTTGGCATTTTTCTTTTGTTTTATTCTGGGATTACTCGCTTTTTGGCTTCGATGTTTCCGTTTAGTTTATTTTTGGAGGCGGGAACTAGTGTAAAAGATCCTTTAAACAGATTTTCTCCCGACGTCCTGAAGATTTCTGGAGATTTGGGTTGTTAGGGGGTTGGTTGTTAGAGTTTCTCTATTTTGACTTCATAGAAATAACCTACAAAGTGTGGTCGATGGCCTTCCAGGATATAAATTGTTCAAAAGTTCTGCGGTATGACCAAAAGTGTTCCAACTTTTCTTGTCTATTATTTTATACATTGTTGGTTTTTGGAGACCTGCTTAGCAACAAACATGATCTCCATTGACAAAGCCCATCAACCCCTCTGTACAGTAGATCTTTGTGTGCTGTCGTAGTTGAGCCAGGACACCCATTGAGGAATCCCCCGCAGCCACACTTATGGAGACGCGACACTGATCCTCATGTTTCTGGAACAGAGACGACCAAAGGATAGGCGTCAGCAGTCGAAAATGAATCTCTTTGTTCCCACCGTTAGCGATACCCTTTATAATTGGAGTCAACGGAATAGATCAACGGAAGGTACTTAACAACAACGACCGTGTCGTAAGAGGCACGGCAATGCCCTTGTGACCGAACTGTGTGTGGGATCTTTGCTATGATAAGGCATATCTGCTAAGGCCATCTTGAAAGTCTTTCAGAGTCACTACATCATAACTTCTGGCAAAGACTGCCCAGTACTCGGACCGCAGGAAGAGGCCGACATCACTAACAGAAGCTCAAAGGCGATTGTCCTATTCTTCCACTTAGCATTTACTCACTGACTGCAGTTTGGCAGTATCTTATCCTGCAAGCAACTCGGGAGTTCGAGCTTGGTCTAACCTTAACCATCGATAAGGTTAAAGTGACAGCTGAGGACCTCCTTGTGCTTTTGGTCTCGCTGTGTGGAGTTGTGCGGAAGATATCCCTTGCAACTTAAAGACTTGGCTCTCCACGCAATGCTAGTTTTAGCGGGATTTTGGGTTCAGGCGGGGTTCTTTGGTTGCCTGCGTTCTGGCCAAGTTCACAACTAACTTCTTCGGCACCCTGAGAGCTCGAAACGAATAAGCCTTGCTGCTACAATCACGGTAAAACAAGAAAAGCGACGTACAACCGACCCTCAAGACCGGCCGTGAGGAGCAGGGAAGCCGTAGCATGTTAACCTCATTTCATTATGTCCGTGGATGCTGACATTGATCTGGCTTTAGCACCAGCGCAGCACAGCACAACCGCCCGCAGCTCTTATCGCCGCTGAAGCCCCTATTGGATGCAAACCTTGCCGAGAGCTGAAAGGCAACAACTTGATTGCAATGTCGCGGCTGCTGGAGCAGTTTGAGTGGCTAGCTCGGTGAATAGGAATGCAGGTAGTGCTTGAGCTTAAGCTTTAGTTGGCTCAAGTTCCACGCGTACTCTTCCCTTAACCTGATTGGTTGTTTACTACTCGCCCTTTGCTGTCTACTACTTGCAAGGTCTTTACGACTAGTCGCCTAACGGACACCTGACAAGGAACGTATTCGCCTGTTTCGAGGCTTTCAGAGTCCAGCTCTAACCGTAGTATATTTGGACGTCAGATACCTATACATTGAAAGTTATGCACCATCGACAACACAGCAAGGACAAAACGATGATCAACAACGAGGCCACAAGCGCGAATGCTTGTTCACAGATGAACTTGCATCCGAAAGCTCTCGGTAGAAGCACCGGCCTGAGGCACCTGGCTCTTGATCAGGAAATCGTCGATGACGGCACCTTGTAATGTCTCTGGAGAAAGTTAATGTATGGCGTTGCCGTCTACACTGTCTCAATCCTTCACACATCGCTCTTTTATCTTCATGATATTTCTCGCTCTCAAATGTACTTATGCTGTGCCGATTCTTCCTATAATCCATAACATTTCCGCACTCTTTAAACATCGGCATTGTGGTTTGTGTTTGCTTACGGCATTTAGGTCACCTGTAGATACTAACCGCCGTCTGTTAGCTTGCCATTACCGGCGACAGCGGATTGAGAGCAGAGTCAACGGACCTCCAAGCCAGCCTAGGGCCGAGTCTTAGTTGAGGTTAAGTTGTGCTCCACCAGGTACGATCCATCAAGGCTGCTAGCAGGGACGTAGGATCAGTGGTCACAATGATCAAGTATGCACCCATCAATATCTCTAGAACAGTAACTCCCGGTTTAGGGAGAGAGAATGTCTAATTTAAATGTGGTACCACAAGTCTTGATGTGGCATGAACTCTGCAGTAAGGGTGTGCTGTCTTGTTCTCAGCGGCGAATCAGTGGAGTTCCGAGCTGCCTAATACTGCTTGCCAACTTGCCACTTATAAGTACAGAGTCAGACAGCTTCAACTCAAATCAAGTAAGAAACCACTATCATAGCACTGCAAAACAGTAATTCACACTTGTACATGGCATTCCACACCAGTTGCATTAGTGAATGCTTACTATTTTCTATGTTTTCCTATCCACATCTCAAAAATTTAACGGAAAGACTCTATTATCACTGCACGCCGCGCTTCAGACTGATCGATGTCTATTGGTGGGCTGCGGTACAGCCATCATCTCTATATACATCCAAGAACTACCAAGCGAGCAGCTCGCTAATTCAGAAGCCTGTCCATGCCACTAGGAAGCTTTCCAGCAACAATGTGATGCGGTTAGAAACTGTAACGGATGACTTGGTCTGGTGCAGGCAGGGATCGACAATAGGTTAAATGGGTTAGATGATGGCCATTGACGATGTGGGGTGCACAACGAAGTCAATTAGTACGTGTAATAATCTTCCTTGGTCCTCGATGTCCTTGTGTTAGGGAGAAGAAAACCAAGAGAAGTCTATCGTGTCTGACTAGCTTCCTTTATAAAATCTTCTCGGCCATCCGGTTCATACTTTTCGGTCATGCGGCTTCCAGATATCTTCTGGAATCAACCACGGGTTCGTGCCTTTCACAATCATTCTATCTCCGGTGTCCCTTATGTTTGGCAGTCAGGGATACCCATTTTCCTTGGACTGCCGTGTCAGGGTGACAGAAACAGTACGTCTCTCTATACGTTCAGCCAATGTCCAACCCAGCGCAGATACCATCGAAGAAGCGACCAGCATGGCTGTCACGATCGTCCATTGAAAAAAGTAGCGGTATACGCTCAGGTTTGATATCATCTATCATCTGAAGAGAACTGTCCTGGTCCATCGCGCCTCAACATCATGGACGTATCATTCTCTCCAAATTCACCACCTCCGATGCATCAGCTGCCCCCTCATCATACACACACTTCGCGATCTGGTCCGGCCAGCCCCCCACCCTAAGACGTCGACATTTCCTTCTCAACCTCATCCTCCACGTCCCCATTTTCATCCCATTCTCCCCCACAAGCTTCCCAAACGATACCAACTACGCATCCCACTTCATGTCCTCCTCAAACCCGCCCACGTTTCCCTCCAACCCCACAGGGGACAGAAATGACAGTAAGACTAACACTAAAACTCGAATGGCTGTAAGCCGCATCTGGACTCTCATGCCCATCTGAGTTCATACCTTTCGCAACTATGTGCCTAAACCCTTGATCTTCGTTAGCTCCAGGTTTTAGCCTTCGGGTGTTTAATCTTTTAGTAAGGGACCAAGCTTTAAGCATTCAACGTACTACGGCTTTGAATCCTGATAGCTTTACCACTGAGTAATTCGTACATGAGGTGGCAGAACCTCTAAATTAGAAGAGAAGGTGGGTATTAGAATGTTCTGACAATCCTGGTTGCCGTCTTGGCTCTCGTCGCAGATAGGGCAAGGTGGAGATTCATGCCAGGACTGAATAAGCATGATCTTAGCTTATCTCTTTGACTTATCATATCCTAAGCTTAATCTTTAGTCGACATCACGCAGGCTCTCAACACGCCTTGAGGAGGTGGCCTACAGTCCTTGGTGGTCATCCAGTTTCTCCCATCAACACTTTCTGTCGATAGGCCTTGTAATATGCATGCTGGGACAACATGCGCATTGCGCTGACTGGAAGATGGAAGAGCGAACCTTCACGGTGAGGGACTCACCTATAGAGAGGACAGGATCCAAGGAGTGGATTCCCAGTGTCCCATCGCTGCGACTCTTTTCCATCCACCAAGAGACTGATGTCGCAACAATGAACAACAAATGAGAAATTTGCGTTCCTCAATCTACCTGCTTTGTAGAGTCTTGTCTCCTTCGGAGAAGACCTTGCCGTTATTGAGATCATGTCACATTGCACTTATTGTAGGTCATCGGAAACGCAGGTAGGCTCCCTTGATTTGGCGTCGCCCCTCCTGAACCACTCTCTCCATCTTGTCGTTAGTTGGGCGCAGGCAGGTATTCCAGACCCACCTAGCTCTTTCGTAGGTTGCTTCATCTATTTACACAGGGCCCTTTCCCGACTATCCTTACAACATCAAGTTTAAGAGCTTACACGGAACATTGTGACAGCACTATACATGCTGGGCTTCGAACAGCAACCATCTCTCCGACATAACGATCTATGCGGCCTTTCGGAGGGCCTGGAGGAGAAGCTTGTGGTGGGGATTGGGCGGCAAGCCAAGCGAATAGGTTTATGGGGGTCTAGCACTGTGCTGATACGCGCAATGATTGTTGCGGCGGTGCCCGAATGCCATGAACTCACAAATGTTCGGCACTCAATTGATGCATACTCAAGGCCTAAAACCGCTATCCACGTGAACTTTTCGCACCTTATCCGTAAATAAGATAAGGTCTTGTAGCTGAGGAAATGGAAAGTTGGATAGATGCAATGACAGGCATTAATGACGCGTCTGACAGCCCGAGCGCGTTGTGGAACTCCCCATGAGCCCTCTTGCCAGCTGAAAACAGCTGACGATCTGAAACTCTGCAGCCTGCTTTATCGTCGCGGCTCAGGAAGGTCAAAATTCAGGGCTTTTGGCTTTTACCAGCAAATTTCACAACTGAGAGACAACTTGGTGCTGTGTTAGGACCCAGAATGACATCTAGGTACCATCTTGCTTTCAATAAAGTATGCGGAGCCTGAATCAAAAATCTGCAGATCACCGGTGGTCAATGGATAGCTGAACTACCCGAAGCAACAAGAAATGGAATGCTTATAACATCTCTCATTGCCCATAGCTCTGGATTAACTCATCTCACCATATCCTCTGAATGAAGACATTGCATTACGTAGGCGTCTACATCGCAGTGAAGGTAAAATCATCCCTTCGATGCCAACCCTGGCCTTTTTTTTTTATCTTCACAGTTCCTTCACCACTTTTCGCTCAAATGGACCCAACTGCCCCATCAAGCATCCAGTGCCCAACAAGACCGATAAGCGTGACATCGAAGGGTCCTTTCGGGTAACAATGCCGATGCCACGACGTAAGTTTAAGGTCAACCCGCTGTTTCAACTGACTCTTTGTGTACTGTTCGTTGTTATCGCAGAGTTTATCCATCAATCTCAGGCAAGCGTGCACCCTGGATGTTGGGTCGATCACACGCCCCCCTGAAACTTGCCCCCAGTCTTGGCACGATCTCCAGATCGCCATGGCGGCTCAGATCGCGGTGCAAGCACTCAGCCTTCCAAGAGTCGCACAGAAGTCACACCCGCGTCGAGTTTCCTGGTCTCAAGTTGTCCCTGATCTACACAAGGGTCCACCATCTATGGGCGACATCACCGTCCAAAGGTTGAGACGGCTCAAGCGGGTTCCTTGTTAACGAAGCGCTTCGCATAACCCTTTGTCGAACCATGCTAGGTTTCCTTGTCCAGGCGCTGCGCGCTAGCTGTCTCAACTTTGTTTCTGACTCCTGGAAGCTTTCTGCCCAGGGGCCGCTCCGGGATTGATCAACTACAATGTGATTGTTTTATAGGACACACATCCCATCCGATGTCAGTCTTCTTAGAAGACTTTTTCTTTTGATCTTCCAAGCCCAAACAAACCTCGGCCCCCATCCACTCCATCATTCGCTTCTTTGGTCTATTGAGTAGACCCGTCTTTACCAGTTGTGTTTTTGACCTTTTGCCTGTTTCTTCGTTCTGTCTTGAGAGCTTGACGCTCTTGTCCTCGCCAGCTTTCTGACGTTTTCTTTTCTACAAAACCCAACCACAATGGCACCTTACATGTCCTGGCGGAAGGCCGCTACTGTGGTGCTCTGCATGGCCGGAGCTGTCCACTCCATGCACATTCCTCATCAGCCGAGGCAGATCCTCGTTCCAGTCATTGGAGGTATCAACAACAACAACCTCAACCAAGCTGCTCAACTCCTTCGCCTGCAGCGACTTCTGGCCGCCTTGATCAGGGGAGGTCAGCTTACGCTCATCACTACAACAACCACCAGCAGCACAAGCACTACTGCTACGGCCACAGCCAGCTTAACAACCACAACCAGTGAAGCCACTGTGACTGAGTCTTCCTCCAGCGCCACGGAGACTGCCACATCTACCACAGAGACGGCAACAACAACTACATCAGCCGCGGCTGCGGCTGTCACAGACCTTGTCAACATCAATGACTTGCTGGATCTAGTCTTCAGTCAGCTCCCTCAAGGCACTGACCCGCGCAACGTCACATCTATCATCGAGCAGCTCACCGGTGGTCTGGCCAGTACCAATGGCAACTTCCGGCTGACTGATCTGATCCGGGTGCTCTCCGCGGAAGAGGAGAAGCTCAAGGCCCGGGACGTCGAGGCACGTCAGACACGTGTTGACAGTGACACGGATGGTGACAACACCGATGGTGCTAACACCGATGGTGACAACAGCGACTCTGATCGCGGCACTGGCAGCCGGTCGAAGTCGAGGCGTCAGAATGGCTTCTTCACCGACACTGACGGCGACGCCAGTGGCACAGACGACAACAACAGTGACACTGACGTCGGTCGTCGTAGTGTCATGAAGCGCACGACCAAGAAGCGTCGCAGGACCAGCCGCTCTCGGCTCGCTTCTCGCCAGAACCGCGCTGGCTCCGATACCGATGGCAACACCACCGATGGCAACGCCACCGTAACCGACAACGATAGTGACAGTGATGTTGCTGCCCGTCGCCGTGTCTCTCGGCGCTCTCAGAGCTTGACCTCTCGCAAGCGCCGCTCTGGGGTTGAGGCGCGCCAGACCCAGGTCAACACCGACACGGACGGGAACACCACCGACGCTAACAACTCTGCCACGGACGACAACAGCGACAGCGACAGCGACGTCGCAGCTGCCCGCCGGAGAATCTCTCAGCGCTCAATGAGCCCTGCGACCCTTGCAAAGAAGGCACGCCGTTCTGAGCTCCACGCCCGCCAGACCCGTGTAGATACCGACACCGACGGCAACACGACTGATGGAAATAACTCTTTGACGGATGGTAATAGCACCAACAGCGACACGGATGTTCCTCGTCGCGCGGCAAACCGTGTCTCGAGGATGTTGGCTGCGCGCCGGCAGCGCAGGGAGGAAAGGCAGGCTGCTGCTCTTGCGGGCAAGAGGGCGGCGGAGCAGGAGATCGAGGCTAGGCAGAATGGAGCTGTGACGGATACGGATGGGAATACTACTGATGGAGGGAACACCACGGACGGAGATAACAGCGCGAGTGATTCGGATGTTCCGCGGGTGACGAGGAGGTGGGGTTGGAGGAATGGGAGGAGGGTGTAAACGTTGGCTGAGGTGTTGATCGCCTGTTCTTAGTGAGTTTGGCGCTTTGGGTTCGTGGTCCTCATGATGGTAGTGGTATGGTAGGAGTTGAGGTCTGTTTGGTCTTCGGGGTTGTAATTCTAAGTTTTATTGCTGGCCTAGATGCCGGTTTTGGTAAGACAGGTTTGTTTGAAGAGATCTTGTTATACCATTGTTTTGGCCCTCTGCGTAATTGTCAATAGTGTTCTTACTCAGCTTGAGAGGACCACGTGTAACCGCTTGGCTTATGGTGTCTCTTATGTTCTTGACTGGAGTCTACAATTTACGGACGCACTCCCTACAGGGTATATTAGCTCTAGGAACTTTCGTCATTACCTAAGTTTATCCATTCCCACTGGTGAACACTTTTCAATGCTCCTTTGTTCGTTTCCTTCCACCGTTTCTTCTTCCATTCCTTCTTCTGTTCTTTTTGTCATGGCGTTCACCCTCCATACCAGCTGTGTTTGGTTAAATACAGACTTCCCTCAAATAGTCAGGTTCGTTGAACGGGCTGGACCGACTGATGAGATCAGCATCAGATCGGGATGGGCTCAAATGAAGTGGACTTAACGCATGGACGCCATCAAATAGCAGTGAATGGCAGGTCAAACATTATAATGCCAGAAACGTGTATCAGTGGCGCAGAAAAATAAAACAAGAAGATGCAGGCTTCGCAAATTGAGCAGGATACTTGAAGCCCGATGGCTATCATGTGCACCGGTGATGTCGACTACGATCCCTGACCCAAATGGAATCTATGGTCATGGTAGTTTGAGATGACCTTAAGAAAGGGGCAAAGGGACAAAGCCCATCAGCACAAAAAGGTTTGGATGTATTACAGAAAGTGTTCTTTGGTAGTACATCGGATTAACGGCATGGTGTAAGACCGTTAAGAACCTCAGCAAACATTACATCCTTGAAGCCACCTGACAACAAGACCACATCCCCCTTCCTACGCCGATGGAGGGGAGTTGTCTGCTATGAAAAAAAAAAAAACATGATTTCTCAAGAACTGGGCCGATACACTGACTTGGTAGCGACCCATCAGTGCATCGGGGTACAACCGCTGATGTGGTCCTAGAACCTTGATCCGGTTTTGCTGCTCCCGGCCCGAATCGAACTGGGATGCCACCCAGAGATATGCAATGGTCAGTGCATGAGGACCGGTTCTATTGTGCCAAGGATCATATGGGTAGTACCGCTCAGCTTTACCGCTTAGTCACAGCCTAGTTTCAGCTGCAGAGGGCATTTGGTGAAGGTAGAAACAGAACGAACACCTAATAAACCCCGATTCTAGGGACATGGCGTCGGGCCTGCCATGTGATCATGACTAGATCTTGGGAGTCGCGTCATGGATAATAATCCAGCTGTCGGGACCTCTCTCCTGGTCTTTCTCTCGCTGTAACCCCTTTAACATTCTCAGTTCTCGCCCCCATCGGATACCACCACATGGTTCTTGGTCATGTGTTCGGCATTCCTTTATCGCCACGCTGAGCTGTTGATGCTATACCGTCGGATCCCATTCTGTCATCGCGATTATTAGAAACCGAGAGCGCTGGTACACATTGGCTCCATCCGGACTTACGAAGTGCTGTCACAGAATGCTGACATCACCGATGCAACCTCCAACAGCTCCAACTAGTACCTATCCGGCCAGCATGCGTCTTACGTAGACCATCATTCAGGCCATTCCATCACTTCTCAGAACCGCAGTCTCATACATCCCATTCCCGAACTTACAACCTCCCAACCCTGCAGAAGTTTGCCTCAACAAAAGCAGTTAGCGGGCCAACCTTGGAACCTGACTACACCGGAACTCCGGCCCTGCAAACGGACCCTTATGGCAGCGTACATGTACCTCGGCGAGTTCTCAGCGAGCCGTTTTGGAGTCCAACTGCACCAGATATCTAAGACGGCCTCACGCAACAGTACAACTTATCGAGGCAAGTTGACCACCAATCTTTGGGGTCTGATTACGGCAGTTTCCCCGAATCCCCCTTTTTTTCGGGGGTCCGCATACCTTAGGCACCGGCAACTGCTCCCAATAAATCTGCAAGAGGGTAAAAGGAGCCTTGGGAAAAAAAAAAAGTAGTCGGTCGAGTTGCCCGAGAACTACGGAGAGCGGGAAGCATGCAACCACAGGATTCACAGCGGCTTAATGCGTGGTTGGCGAAACGAAACTGGCACATAGATCGTGCTTTCTGATGGGACAGCAGATCCTCCGTAGCACCGAGTCAATGGCCTAGCTAGTGAAAAGACCGAGGCTCAGGGGTATGGGAGTGTCGGTTGCTGAGAGTACCGTCCTATGATGACTGCACACTGTGGTGTGTGCTTACTAATTAATGATATTATAAATGATTATGTCTGGCAGAGGACCTGCGGTGTGTCGCGGCTCAACAGTGGCAGAAAGACTAGGATGATCTGCGGCTCTGTTGAGTGGAAACTAATGGATGACCCAGAAGGACCCGAAGCCTGATAAATGGCTTTGGCTGAGGTACAGGAATGTGTTGCAGAAGAGCAGGTTCCTCCAGGCTGGCTGAAGCTAAGAAATAGTACCCTTAACAGGGCCATCTCTCCTCCTCTTTCAGCAGTAGTATCCCAGCGATAAGCTTCTCGTCCGTCCCCACTACAGTGGGTCCGCTGCTACGTCAAACGAAGGGCGGACCTTATGCAACAATCGTGTTACCTTGAACGGAAGCGATGATGCAACGGCGGTCCGCAGGGTTGCCTGTGTAATCTGAAAGTTACGGAGGGCATAGTGTATAAATCGTCTTGGGATCGCTGTCGTCCGACAAACAAGTCAATCGTTCAACAGTTCTTTGTAACTACGTCGATAAAGTCATTCTCAAAGCCAGTTAATATACGTTCTTCGATTACGCCAGGCCAAGATGAGCACTCCAGACAAACCCGAACCCATTGTGCTGTTCGACCTGCCTAGCAAGGAGCCCTGCTCGACATGGTCCTTCAATCCTTGGAAGAGTGAGTTAACAACCTCAATTGCAATTTGTCATCATCATTATCCCTTTTTTTTTTCTCTAGCTCGTCTTCTCCTGAACTACAAAGGCCTCGACTACCGCACAGAGTGGGTGCATTCCCGCGATGCTACCCCTGAGCTTCTTCCCTGCCGAACAGTGCTGCCCCTCGGTGACGTCATGCCTCTGGGACACCACCAAACCCCCTGTCCCCACACCCCATGATTGACCTGTCAACGCACTTCTCACTACCAACAAACATCATTCACCACCACACCATAACTAACATGCCCTCTAGGTTGAATACCCCGATGTGAAACCTCGTCTTTCCCCCTAGTAAGCCAAGTCTCCACTTACAAGCTCCCAAAGTTGAGAGGACAGCCCTAACCTCCCCAGCGTCCCTAACCCACCCGACCCGCACTCCGAAACCCCCTACACCATCCCCACAATCCGACTCCCCAACAACAACTACATCATGGACTCCCGGCGCATCGCCAACGCCCTGGAGGCTCTCTACCCCGAACCGCCTCTGCACCTCGACTCTCCCGTGCTGGCATCATTGGAAACCATCATACCACGCATCATCCAAGCCTTGGCGCCTTTGTTTATGCCGCGGGTGGCGTACCGGTTGCTTCCGGAACGCAGCTCGGCATATTTCGTCGAGACACGGAGTAAGTGGTATGGGGATTTGTTGGAACTGGAGAAGGAGAAGGGGGGCGATGTGGCGTGGAGGGCGACCGAGGAAGACCTCAAAGAGATTACGAGGATGTTGAAGGAGAAGCCGGAGGGACCATTCTTTTTGGGGAAGGTGAGCTATGCGGATTTTGTGTGGGGGTCAGTTTTGATTTTTGTAAAGAGGTGTGGGGAGGATGCGTTGGAAGGGTTGTTGAAGACAACAGGGGATGAGAGTGTGCATTTGGCACTACTGGAAGGGCTGAAGCCCTGGACAGAGAGAAATGATCATTAAGGACGGTGTGTAATTACAGTCACCGGGAGTTAGGCTTGGAAAACATGGTTTAAGTATACACAAAGAATAAATTCCAGAACCTCTACCACTGACTTTCATGAAGCTCCTCCTGTCTCAGGAAGCAACTCATCCGCCCCATGTCCCTGTTCCAATTGTGCTCCCATCATCAAACTGCCCCAAGCCGTCCTGTCCTTCGGTCCTTAACAGCTTATCCAATGCTCCCCAGAGTTCTCTCAGTGCCTGTCTTTCCCGATTGCCATACTCTTCCAAAACAGAACTGGTATTCCCAACATCTTCGTCCTCATCATAGACACTCTCCGAGACATACTCATCGTCCTCTTCTTCTTGTCTCTCCCAAGGCTGACCTAGCGAATCTGTACTCTGAACTAACCCAACACCCTGCTGTATTCCCCCTGTCTGCCCAGCAGGTACAGAGTCAGGGAGAGAAGCCGAGGGCATATTCCGACAAAACTCAGTGTATGAGTCGACCGACGTGGCAGATGACACTGGTGACGGCGAGGGAGAGGCTGAAGGGGAGCTGACGACAGGTTGGAACTCCTCTCGCGACGGCAGACCATGTCCCTCTATGAGGGTAGGCGCACGCGAGAAGCTGTCCGAGTCTCTGTCACCATTCTGACAAAAAGACCACTCGCGTTCGGCTTGCGGGGGAATCGAAGCTCCCATGGAAACGCCGCTGTCCCGCAGGCCAGGGGGATTCGTAAGCTGGACGAGGGCTTCATGGTGAGGTTTTAGAGGGGAAGATTCATGCACTGCCACTTGCACTGGGGCCCTGGTACTGTCTTGGATAGCAGGAGAAGCATGCTGCAAAACTGCCGCTTGAGGCCGCACATCCACCTTAAAACTTTTGTGGGAAGCGTCCTCTTGGGCAGGACCACACCTCTCAGAGTCCAGACCGTTTTTAACCATAACCCCAGGCTGAGTAGCCTGCACGACATGCACCTTCCCTTCTGTCGCCCAACCAGAGACCCTATCTCCAATGCTTTTACCCTCCCCAGAGTGTGACCCCGACTTCGCTCCATTCCCGCCCTCAGTTTGCCCCTTAACACTTACCCTCCTCGCCGCCCTCCTCATACTCCTCGGAATGGCACATGATCCTCGGTACCTCCTCAACCCAACCCCAGGTGCCTTTGCAGCCCCACTGGCAGCAGCATCCCAACTAACCGCTCTCCTTCCACTCACACTTGTCGGCGGCAGCAGACAAGGATAATGGAATTCAAACACCTCCATGATCTCATCCAACTGCTCTGTTTCCCCACTTCCTCCGGGTGAGGTAACTCCCTGAGGAGGAACGACCTCCTTGTCCGAGTCGCCTTGTTGAATGACAGGAAGTGTCGAGAGGGGTTGGAGGTCGGGTTGAGTGTCGTATTCAGCAGGTCGCGGCTGCTTCTTCATGACGGGTGTGTTGGAGGGAATAACGTCTTCGTCAGCGCCAGGGAGAAAGATGGTTGGTGGGAGGGGGAGAGGTTTTGTTGGGTTTGGTTGGCTAGCAGGTGCTTTGTTCGGCCGTTGTTGCGGTTCGTAAGGTGGACGAGGGGGCGGATAGTTAGGCGGTCTCACTCGTGCTGGTTCTGCTGATTGAACGGAACGTTGTAGATGATGATGATGATGATGATGAGGAGGAGGAGGAGGAGGAGGAGGAGGAGGAGGAGGAGGAGGAGGAGGAGGAGGAGGAGGATAATTTTGTTGAGCTGCTTGCTTTGTTATCCTCGCTGGCATTCCATCCTGTGGTTGAGCTCTTTGTCGTGGCCCCTCTCTCGCAACTTGTGACACAGCCTTCTGCGGTCCTTCCTTTGCTTGCACCGGCACTTGTGGCACTGCTTTCACCAACGTCTGCTGTGCAAACATCATCCCTCTCCCTACCATCGTCTGTGGTGGTGATGCTTGGCGACCCGGATATGGGGGTGGCGGCGGTACGTTGTTGAGTTGCTGATGTTGTGATGCCCGCCAGCGCGCAAACTGTTGTTCGAGAGACGGCTCCCGGTATCGCACAAGCAAGATCGGCTCTCTTCCCTTCTTCTGCGGGATGACCAACGGCGGCAAGTACGACGGCTGCATTCTGAATCGTTGAGTCGCCACAGAATGGCCGAACGCAGTCGAATTGTAAACGGCGCGGTGCCCAAACGCCGAAGGTGTCGCAGGATAATGAGGCTCTATCGAAAAGCCCAGAGACGAAGTGTGATGGCTCGGGTACGACATCATATAGAGTCGCAGAGTACCAGCGTCGCACGTCCTGGATTAAAAGATGACCCTCGAATAGCTTCCATGATGACACACAACACAGCATCGCCTATAGGAGGGCAGCCCATATGTATGATTCCATAAGTATGGTACGCCAGGCTCCATAGGCTTATGCCCCCTCCGTCATAATCACCGCGCCATATCTCCGACGCTTGCCAGTCAGAGCCATCACACAGGATGAATCAAGCCATCGCCCACTACGCTAGCAACATCGACCCAGTCAGGGGACACTGCTATTCGTGGCAATGATGACAATCCAAGTGCTCCGGTGGTCGGCACAAGTCGGAGATGGAGGTGGCTGCGGACGACCAAAAGTGGATCGCGTGCGAACAGCCCGCGTAGTCTATCTTGGCACTCCACGAGCGGTGAAGATGGCGAGTTGCGCACCAGTGAAGCCATGTAGACGATCGGGGCTGAGAACTCGCCGACGTCAAGGATGCTGACACGTCCACAGGATCCTCCCGAGCTTTGAACCCTAACCCTTGGCGTGGGGTCGGCAGAAAGCCCGACCATGTGGGACAAGCTGGGACAACGATGATGTATAAATTTGGCCAGAAACATGTGACTTGGGCGTAAGAAAGCCGTGCTGTTGTCTGTCATTTGGGGGGTTTGTGTGAGCTGCGGTCGCACGAGATGATGTGGCCGGCTGGCCGATAAAGTGGGGATTGCTTACTCCGGCTCCCGGGGTGGCGGACGGGGCGATGTTGCTATTTTCGGCCCGCCTGTAATGCGCTGGCAGGGTTTCGCGATAACCCGGCCAGATCTGACGTCTGACGTTGAACCAAATTTTTCTCTCCGTCGACTGTTGATCCTGACAGAGATTATCCCAAAACCAGCAGATATCCGCCCAGAATCCAGAGAAAAAAAAAACCCATACCCCAAAACTCCAATGCACCGGCTTCTGCAGCCCAGCTGACAGGAATCGGACTGCTTTTAGTCCGACATTGACCCGGCGGAGCTCTGTTCAAAGAAAGGGTATCACTGACCCCATAACCGAGAAACAAAAAAAGCAAACATAAACAGAAATGAGGAGAGAGGGGGAAAGAAGATCGATGAAAAGGGGGGAAGAAGAAGAGGCAAAACTGCCTAAACTGATCTGCCGCTAAGCAGATGGGTTTTACCAAAGATTGCACATCACCGTTTCCGATGTATGTCAGCCATTGCTGGTCTGACAAACCTTTCCTCAGGTCAGGGATTCAACACCCCATCATCTCAACGCTCGCACTCTCCTCACCACCAAATATCCCCGCCCCTCATCCTCCCGGCGGGAACGGTAAGCGGCACAGGAACCGGCACCCGTCCCGACACCCCACCAATCACACTCTGATGATGATGATGTCCATGATGACTAGTCGAAACAGCACCCGTCGACGCAGGACTCCCCTTGCCGCTACCACCAGCACTCTTCCCGCCGCTGTTGATCAGCACATATCCGCTACCATTCCACACAGGACTGGTGACACGGCTGCGGTTATTGACAGGCGTGGTCTGGCCCGAGGCAGGAGCCGTCACGGGGGCAGTGACACGGCGACGGAGTTCTTCGAGACGGCGCAGGAGACGGGTCTTGTTCCAGAGGCGGCGGACGTGGAGCTGTTCTTCTTGGTTGTGGCAGTAACTGCGGTCGCGGGATGCACCGCGGCGATTTCTCCTGCTGGAAGGAGAGGCGAGAGAGGTGTCGGAAGGGGGAGGTGGTGAGGAATCTGGAGAGACAACTTCCTCAAAGAGAACCATAGAATCGGCCCAGTAAGCGGCGACGGCTTCGTGGGGAGGGTTGACGCCGAAAGTGACGGTGTCTTCGTCGTCGGGCAGGCGGCAGGTGATGAACCTGGGGCCGTCAGTCTCAGCCCTGTGACTTTACCTGTTGTCTAGAATCCGCATACCAGCTGATGAACTCGGGCAGGCAAAAAGTGACCTCCTTGGTAGGAGCACGAAACTCGGGCATGCGCTGGTAGTTGACGAGTTGAGGGTGCCGTCGCTGAGGCGGAAGCAGATCGAGTGCCCGAAGGTAGGCCGCATAGGCGGCAGCCACGGCCCGGTCGGAGAAGACCAGTCTAACCCGGTTGGACGTGACTGAAGTATCGATAGCAACGAGCTCGCGCATTTTATTTTGTGGTCTGGAGGAAAGTATAATATTAGAGGTTTTTACGGCACTTTATGTGTGCCTGTGGTGGTGTGGTATTGATGTGGATCTGGCGGTGAGCGCTCGGTGAGATGTGACCGTGTGAACAGCGCCGTCGGTAAGCTCGGTGAGGATATTCGAATGAAAGGCTCGAGGGTCCTTCAGCATCAAAACTGAGCTCTCAACTCCCCGTATCGACTCTGGTGATCGATATTAGTATGGTCGGGGACAACAGTCGTTCGCTAAAGCCTCGAGTCATCATCGAGCACTCCTCTGCTCCGTGTGTTGTGTTGGCGTTGCTCACGGCAGGCGCCGAGCCAATAACATAGCACCAGCTGGTCGTCGTTCGTTTCGTCTCCATGCATGAGCTGCATGCAGTTCCCACTTGGCTCTCCAAGCAGCCAGTCAAGCACAGCAAAAACCAAGCGGCTATGCTGCTCTCGTCGCTAGCATTTCTCCAGCACCAGATCGCCAACCACTGATCAAACGCTTCTCCTCTCTTTCTCCTCCCATCACGCTCACTTGTCAATGGCTCAAGTGCCATTCAGGTACAAATGATGCTGCGCCCCTCTTTTTCTTGTTCGTCCTGTTTTTCATCCTTCGCAGGCTCGACATTCCCATGAGGGGATTTCTTGCTCTCATCTGCGCGCCATCGCTGCGTCAGGCCGCGAAGGGCAGTTATCAGCGGATTGGAAGGACCTGACAACCTATTGACTGGTCTCCGTCCCTGTTCCGAGATTGCATCGACGCCCAACTTCAACAATGCGGCTCCCAGCGCCCGACCGTTCGATTGGCCATACGCATCGGTCCTTCGATAACGATTTGCACATCATAACAGCATCAAGAGGGTTCTGGTGGATGCTCTCAAAATCGTGAGTGGTGAGGGGTTCGAAGGAAAATTTGAAGTCGTTTGGCAGCTCCCGCTGGGCCGATGCACGACAGCCTGGCAGCTGCTTATTCGCAGGCTCCCATCTCAGCAGGAAATCATGGTGTATTGCGCAAGCAGAATGGGTGCCTGAAGATCAGAAGCTCTGGCCGCAGAAGAGTCCTCTTATCCCGTTGTGAATGAGATGTTGAGCAAGGTAGGCGGGGCAGAGGAACGGGGAACGAGGAACGACGAGCAGGCCATCGTCGAGCTGGATCGAGATTCGGTAGGGGTCTGTAGAGGCGCGATAAGCGGGTCAGCGCAGCCTGGCGAACCGTGCCTGGCACCACGTGTCTTCGCATGGACAAAAACGAGATGAAGCCGTTTCTTGCGAGAGTTTCCAGGGTCGACTGTCACAGGGACGTCGCGTTTGATAAAAGAGATGGGAAGGTGGTATTGGTGAGATTGCGTTCTTCGCGATGTGGAACCCTGATTTTGGGGTTAGAGCCTTTAGAGGGGCCGGACCATGTGCTAGCGGGGCAACCAGAAAAAAATTGGTCTTTGGGGGTTCAGGCCCTCCGACATGAAGTCGCATACCTGAAAAAAAAAGCCCGGGCCACCATCTGCATGGCCAACCCGGCAGGCCGGCTCGAACCGAGCGGCTGAAGATAAGCATTTACCAGCCCTCGGTGCAGAAATCCTGGGCGCACATTCGAGGCCACTTAGACTTGCGTCATTTGTCATGATGCTTCCCTCCTGTGTCATAACCCTGGCGTGGGGGTTAGGGTGGGCATTCGTCGGCTCTCTGGATGGGAAGCTCGGCGTGTGTCATGCCAAGAAACACCCTTCTCCCCATTTTTTAACCCTGAACCCTGGTTGTCGCCCACGCCGCAGCCATCAAGGTTCTCCATCTTCTCACTGCCCGCCCCGCCGTCGCCATAATGAGGATCAGCGATCAGCCCGGCGCTGCGGAAACGTGCTAGAGCATGCAGTGCCGGGTGACAACATGCAGTGACCCGGAGATGGATACAGATGATATTCTGGGTAAGTTTTCCTCCAGGAGAAATCTTTGTGGATTAGGGCTGCGTGATGGTGAGCCGACGTGGCGCCGGAAGTTCGCCGTTGGATAAATTGGGAATTTTTGATTTCCAAGTCAAACTGGAGCTCACGTGGTCGCACCTATGGCATCGGATATGTTGGACAAGAGAAATAAGTGACTAATGTACAGGTTATCATTTTGCAAAAGCTATATGTGGTCGACAAGACATTATGAATTTCAAAAGATTTCTGTGTCCGAGAACAAGAAAATTTTGACAAAAGTCAGGTTGCAAATTTAGAAAGCAACGAAAGCAGCAGCGACGAGACCGGCCAAGCCGAGGCCAACCGCTTGGGCATTGGTCGGGGCAGCACCGGGGACAACGGAGGTGCTCGAGACGGCACCGTCGGTGGCATCTGGAGTGCTCGAAGCAGCAGCTGACGTGGTAGTCACGAGGGTGGTTACGCCGGTGCCGGAGCTCAGGGCCGTCCTGGGACCCTCGCAGTGCCAGTGGTCGCCATGCGGGTGGCACCCATAAGACTCGGTCGGACTAGGGGCGAGGCTGACGCTGCTGGGGCCCTCGGTGTGGTCGGTATGGTCGTGATGGCCCTCCTCGTCGTGATCATGGTCGTGGTCACCATGATCATCAAGGACCGGAGTGGTGGTAACAGCGGCACCAGTTTCAGTGGCTGTTACGCGAGGACCCTCGCAGTGCCTTTTGAGATGAGTATTAGCCTGTTACGTCTTTCTAGAAGCTAACTTTCGGCAGAAAGAGCCTACCAATGGTCTCCATGAGGGGTGCACCCGACAGACTCGGTGGGAGACGGAGCCAGCGTTTGGCCGAGGGCCGCAGAAACAAGACCTAGAAGAAGGGCAGCATATGCCGAGGGTTTCATTTTGGCAATAGATCGTCGAGAAGCACGAACTATCAGATGCAGGGACGGTGAAGGGTTGCCTGAACAATGGAACACGGCGAAGACTGGCCAAAACTCTCCCTGATATATGCACCTCGACCGTCCGTCACCAATTCCTGCGCCGCAGCAGACACGCAAAATCAATAAAATCATTTACGAGAGGCCATGATGCCCGCCGCACTTGCTGACACCACCAAACACTCCGAAATGCGTGGTCGAGACGGACAAATGCCGTCAAGGTATCACCGCCAAGACACGGGCGAGCAGGTTTTAGCCTGCTATCAAGACGAGCCCAAGAGCGTCACCTTGATGGTTGCAGCGCCATTTCTCCCAAAGTGGTCTTCTCAGCTTGCCATTGCAGCCATGGATGAGGACGAGTATCCGGTAAGGCGGGTGCTGTTGGAGAGTTCTTTCAACTTCTTTGTTCGCTGGACTTGCTGCCCTTGCTCTTTGCGTGCGGTCCAAGCTCCAACAGCGACAGCAGCGCGTGTTAGGTGGAGTACTGTTCTGAAGCATTCGCAGGTGACTGGATGACAGTGGATGGCGGCTGCGGTCTTGGCCTGTCAGCCGGCGGCCACCAAGCCATCAAGGTTCTCAGCACCCCTCGAAAGGGCTGGCCATCAAGGTTCTCGCGGGCAGATTTCAAGCGGCCTGGTAGCATGGAGGGGGGTGCGCGCAGCCAATAAGAGTGCGGCGATATTTTTTTCGGTATCCGCCCAACGCAGCTGAACCCTGAGACTGTCCAGGGCTGCCCAGGCGCGCATCCACAGCAAAAACCCACCCGCCTAGGACGGCCAACGGAGGAGCAATCACGTCGCTCACGCGGGCATGGAATGCTGGCCTTGTCGGCCTTGCTGGCCCAGGTTTTGCAGGTCGCTCGTCTCCGCGCGCGGGTCGGCCTTGCGGCACCGGTTGAATTCTATCTGCAGTGCCCGCACTCGCGCTCAACTTCTGTCATCATCGTCTGTTTTCTGCCCTCCAGGCTGCTCTCGAGTCTCTGCCCGCGCCAGATCGAGCGATCGCATTGTGCGGGCCTGGCACCACTTCGCCTTACCTATTCAAGTTCCTACATTCCTCCGGGCCTCATCCCGCATAGCACGCGTCCCTCTGACATCCGAATCCACATCAGAAACAGTCTGCTGGATCCTGGTGCAACGTTTGCATCTGCACCCTGACGGCCTGCAGCTCGCACACCCACACATTTCACAACCTCACCCTGCATTCCACTCCAGCTTCCGACAGCCTCTCTTTGTCCATCATCTTCCCCCATTCGACTATCTTCTTTCACTCTCATCCTCTGCATCGTCACTTGCAGTGAGGCTTGCTGGCCATTAAGGTGTCTGCTTCGACCGCTACCATCCGAGCAGCACGCCACAATCCTCTTCCCTCGCTTGCCTTCGACAACTCGGGACAGAAGTACCCCTTGTCACAGCCACTGCTCTGCTCTACGACGCCCAGTGGATACAGACAGCCGCAGTTTAAAAGACTACAGTCGCCCGCTGCATTCTCTTCCGGCCTACGGTGTATTATCGTCATCATATTCACTCGCCCAAGATCTATCCGTCACTATGATCTTCAAACGGCATGTTCTCGCTGGCCTGGTCACTCTGTCAGGCCAGGCCATCTCCCAGACCATCACACCGACACCGACGCAGACAGTGCCGGCTGCAAGCTTGACTGCTGTGTCTGAGTGCCACCTGCATGGCTCATCACTGTGAGTAACCTCGCTTAGCCCCCAGGTCTCCGTCGCGCATACTGACCTTTTGTTGTGCAGCTTTTGCATGGCTGGTACAACTGAGTATCTGGTCCACACGACCGTAACAGCCACCCAGGATGTTCCCCCGCGGTTTACTGGGTGCCATACCCATGGCTCTGAGACGTTTTGCCTGGACTCTGATGGCGGTGATGTTGAAATTTCTTTGGCTTCTGATACTGTTGAGGGTGATGACCATGATGACCACGACGACCATGATCTCCATGTCGACGAGGAGCCGACTTCCTCATCGACGGGCAAGAACTGCCACTTTCATGCTGGTGTCGAGTATGTCCCCCAACTGTCGATGGTGGCCCGTACATCACTAATTTTCTCATTAGACACTGTGTCGGTGAAGACGAGTCTGAGGCTAGCGAGGGCAGCTGCGAGAAGATTGACCGCGACTACAGCGTTCGCCTTCGTGTGGGTCTGCTGTTTGTCATGCTGGCTACCAGCTCGATTGGTGTCTTCTCTCCCATCCTGCTGGCGAAATTCATCTCAACGAAGCATATTGCCTTCACTGTCTTGCGCCAGTTTGGCACCGGCGTTGTCATCTCGACTGCCTTCATTCACGTACGTGTTCCCTTCTTAACTTCTTGGGCTTGACATACTGACAACATCTAGCTGTTCACCCATGCTGTTCTGATGTTCCAGAACAAGTGTCTTGGAGAACTGGCGTACGAGTCCACTCCTGCTGCCATCCTGATGGCCGGCATTTTCCTGTCTTTCTGTGTTGAGTATGCCGGCAACCGTATCGTCCAATGGCACGAGTCCAAGGTGCACTCTTCCCACCCCGAGGAGGGTCTGCATAGGCACCACTCCGAGCCTGCCGTCCGCACCGACATGGTCAACATCGCCGTCCTTGAATGCGGTGTCATCTTCCACTCTCTGCGTACGTAGTTCCCTTCGCCTCTCAACCCAACCCTAACCCCGAGCATCCACTAACAAACCCCGAGTCATTGGCCTAACCCTCGTCGTCGCGGGCGACACCTTCTTCCTTACTCTCTTCGCTGTTATCGTCTTTCACCAAATGTTCGAAGGAATCGCCCTCGGAACCCGTATTGCGGCTCTCGGCCGCCCCTGCCCCACCTCCCGCGGCGTCGACAGCCACGGCCACGTCCAAGGTCACGGCCACGCCCACGGACACGAGCACTACCATGACCACGATCTTCAACACGACAGCCATCCGCACAGCCACACGCCTGGTTCGGACCATCACAACCACCACGCTCATTCGTCATCTTCGGAGGACAAGCCTAAGCACAACGGAAGCGGCGACGACTCCTCGCCCTCGAAGGACTCGGCGTCGGAGAATGAGAGCGGTGCCGAAACCGGCACTATCGTGCCCCATGTCTCGTTGACGAGGAAGTTGCTGCTGGCGACAGGCTTCGCGCTCGTTACGCCGATCGGCATGGCCATTGGCATCGGCGTGCTGAAGAACTTTAATGGGAATGATCCGTCGACAGTGATTGCGATTGGCACACTGGATGCGTTGTCAGCGGGCATTCTTGTGTGGGTTGGTGTCGTCGAGATGTGGGCTCATGATTGGATGCTTGGTGGCGAGATGACCCGGTCGGGGCCAGTTAGGACCGTGCTTGGGTTTGCGGCGCTCGTGGCAGGGATGGCGTTGATGAGTTTGTTGGGGAAGTGGGCTTAATTTTTGCTCTGGACGATTGTGATCGGATGGAGTTCAAGGAGTTGAAAGCCGTATATATGTGGGGTATTGTTCATCTTTGCAAGGGAAATTGGCTTCATGGGGAATCGGCACGGCTGGGCGATGGGTGTGATGCGTCCATGATACCTGCATTTCCTGGTGTTTTTACGGGTCCGTACATAGGAACGGGACGGTGACTGGACTGGACATGGAATGGCGTTTGTATTTAGGTCGGTATGGGTTTGTGGTTCAGTAGTACTATGGTTTGAGATACCTTCATCGGTACAATTAATGGCATGATACCAAGGTCGGGATGCATGTGGAATTGGCCATGTCCAAATGTGTCAAACCACGATCGAAGCCCTTGTAATATGGTGTTTTTGGCTGCAGTGCATGTTATTATTACTTGTCATCCGCGGCGTATGTGGAAATTCTGGTTAAAAAATAACATATAAAAAAGATCTAGTTGAAGTTGATGGCGCAAGTTTATCTAGGCCACGAAGGTGTAGAGAAGGTTAGACAGTTCGAAATCAGGCTCATACGCGGGAAAGAAACGTCGCAGGTTGTGCAGGACTAATTGAGTCCATTTGACAAACAGGAGAAACTAAAAGTGGGAAAAGCGGAAAGAAAACAGCCATATTGGTGGCCTTTCATTGCGAATGAAGGAAGATTCGGCTACATTATCAAAAAAAATCTTACACATATATGAAAGGCATGTTTCTCAAGCTATTCGATGGCTGTCGAAGCCTGTCTCAGGAACTGGGAAGATCGTCTTAGTCTTCACAAGTTTGAACATACCTGCCAGTTTTTTAGACCATTCGGAAAAAAAATCAGGATTTGAGTAGAAGTAACAGCCGGATGTGTTCTTTATTACTATATCTCTCATGTCTTTTAGAGCCTCTGGGTAGAATCTGTCGGGACGTTCTCAACTGCCCCGAATAGCATCACAAGCATCTTCTGTACCTTCAGCTTTAAGTTAACAGCAGCACTCAGTAAACAAGTCGAGCGTCGAAACCATGCGCAACAGTTTCCAAACAAAGACCCCCTCTGCGTGGCTACGGCCGATCTGACCCTCGCTGACTTCGAGTGCCTTCACTAGGACAAGATCAGCCAACGTTACATGGAAAAAGCTGCCCAAATTCCCAACATCCACTTGGACCAAGCAGCCGTGATCTTCCTCGCCCTTACCGAGATCAAATCCGTTTCCGATCGGGCCCAAGAGCGTCGCGTCCACTGGCGAACCTACCGTGAGCAACCCCGCCTAAGTAAGCGCGAGCGCGAGGCCATGTGAATGAACAAGTCCAAATGGAATCTGAGAATCGGATGCAGCAGACGCAGTTAAGTAATGAAGAGAAGATTAAGAGCAATCTGCTGAACTGGGCGCTGGAGAGTTTGGGGGTGCCGAGCCAGTCGAGGGAGGAGACATATGTCCAGGTGATGGAGATGGGTCCTGGATTCGCTGGAGAAAGTGGCGCTCAATTTTTCAAAGTGGGTGCGGCGACAAGAGAGGTTCGAATGCGAAGAATTTCAGTGACAGACAGGCTTCTGGGACGCCAAAGCCTCCGCAGTCCCCTGTGTCTGCGACATCAAGTCAATTGATTGACGTGCCTGAAGACAACACAAATATGGATGCTGATCAGTCCGAAGGGAAGGAAGGAGAGGACTACGAATGGGAATTCGAGGAGGAGTACAGCGAGGACGAGGAGGACTATGAAGGAGCGAGGACAATGAAGACTATGACCCTGAGGAGCGAAAGTAACAAACCCTGACAAGCATAGTAATGAAGATGCTCCTCATCTTTCTTCTAACACGTTTCAAGTCAGTTTTCTGTGGTCTCGGAGGCCATCTATGGCGTATTACTCCGTCTGTTTTTTTTACCAAATATTGCTGTACTCAAGGATTGAGCGTTGTGCAAAGAGTGTCATAATCGCTGGCCAAACATGGCACTCAGTTGACACCAAACCAACACTAGTCCAAGAACTGCCTGGAGAGTGTTGTTAATCCAGGTAAACATGGTTGATTTTATTTTGGAGAATGTATGTAGTCAATCATACCGAACTGACCTTCCTATGGTCCCTTGCACCCAGTGTGCTTGTTGTATGCCGTCAGCACAGTCGATTTGAGTCCCAAGCTTTAGCTTTCATGTCAATAACTAGACACATGGCCGGCATCTGTCGCTATATGGCAGTTGCTGGACAAGTGTTATCTACACCTCATTGATACGCCTTGTCTGTTTAATGTTTCCTGACCACGAAACTTGCCCCCGCTGTCAGGCTCAGTGGTCATTATTTATCGGCGAGCGTTCTCCTAGCCCGTAGTAACAATAGCGGCATTCTTCTCCGGCTATAAATACCTAGGTGTCTGACAGTCTCTCAAAGTTTCCCGATTCTACAAAAAAAAAAAACATTCGCACAGCGACGAAGTTGAGATATACGCCTATAACTCTTCACGGACTACAAGCAGACCGTAAACTTCATAATAATTTCCGTCATATCAAGATGGAACAGCAACAGCCCGGAGATAGCAGCCTGCTTCCAGACAGAGATATATCTTTACTTCTTGGGAGCCTTGAGTTGGGAGCTCCAGCACAGAACAACTCAGCCGATAGTATAATGGTCTCTGAGCCAGGTATTAGCGCTACCAACATGTCAAATATTTCTCAACCACAGTTCCAAACCCTAGACACATCAATCCTTTCCCTTTGCAAATCTCCAACCACTATCACTCCGTTACTACCACCTTACCAGCCGTAACGACATCGCAGACATAAATTTTACTTTCCCAGCTTCCAATAATCCCTCCCGTTACTAACTCCTTTCCAGCCGCAACAGTACCACAAGCACAAATGTTCCCCTCTGAGCTCTCATCCCTCCCTCCTATTACTATCCCCGTGCCAGCCGCATCACCATCTCAGGCCTTTACATTCCCCTCTCATCTTCCAGCAAATACTCCATCGTCCAACCACTTCACAACCACACCCAGCATCAATGCCCCTGCCCATACCAACCTCTCACCTCTCAAGCTCCCTGCTATGACGAGGCGGTTGAACGATCTTGCTTATACATTCAGGGCTCTGACCATTGGGAATAAGGTCTGGAACACCTCTTTCCAGGGCTCAGCAGCCCTATGGGAATTATACAACGAAATGAACCGCACCCTACGAGAAGCCGAGTGTCTCCGGCCACAGCAGTTGGAACTACAAATGATGGCTGGACTTCCTCAAGAGAGGACACGGGATAGATGGGAACGGGAAGCAAGAGCGTGGATGATATGCCTAGACAGGTATATACAAGAGTTCCAACTGCAGGAGAAGGCACCAGGGTCCACACCGTGGGAAAGTCTGGGACTTACGTTCGACCGTTCTTTGATCCAAGTTCCCACACTCTCGGGAGTGGTGATACATCTGCGAAAAAAATGCCAGCATGAGTTCATTCTGCGGCCGTTAATCCCTGCTCCGGACCTGCTCAGCCAACCAGAATACTGGAGCCTTCCAAAGAACGTTGATCGGATGTGTCCATAGTGTTGGAACCAGCTCACAGACCAGTGGTGGGAATCCGTCGGTCACTGTTGGAAGTGAGACCTGAGGGTGTGCATTTTCTGTAGCGATCGCAGCAAGTTCAAGGGTTCTATTCTTACTCAGTGGAAGGCAAGAGGTCTGGACGGTTTTCGTTGAGAGAGAGGACTCCCACTCTGATGGGCGAGCAGTCAGGGTTATATAGATTTGCTTTTTATACTTGCCTTCATTTAAGTCATTTGTGGCAGGAAATATTTCACATTCTCTTTGGTGAATATTTGGTTTGATTTATCAGTTATGTATGGCCACAGAGGCATGCGTAGCCCTTGGTAACTATGCTTAGTGTGAACAGAGGACCGCGGAAAATGGTCATCTCTTTTGCTCCCTGCGCCGACTGAAAAGAACGACATATATTGAGGGTATCTATCGCGCAAATCCATGCGAACCCTCATCCATTTAGCACTAGACTCATTGACTGACATCGAGATTGTCATATATACCCGATTTTCTCACCTCTTGTTTTCCCCTCTATCTCATCAACCTAACCCGCTCTATCCGAAGGAAGAGAAATGCCCGCTCCGAAAACGAACGATCCAAAAGATAAATACCAATCTATACACCAAACACCTTGCCCCTTTCTATCCAAACGAATGAGCAATCTCCTTCATTTCCGGAAAGGACTCACAGCCCTGGCGCCCAACCACTCCCATTCCTCCCCCCATTCGCCTCCAACTCGTACCTCCCTAAACTCTCTTGCCACGTCTGCCAATCGAATCCCTCATCCATGTTCATATCCATGTCTTCGGCGCCCATGTTCCCCGGCATCCGCAGTATATCAGGACTTTCTCCGGTGGTAGCACCCCCCACTCCGGGGGTAGTTGTGGTTCCGGCTGTGGCAGGCCACATCCACGGCGGGAGAGTCGGCGTCTGTTGAGGTTGTTGGGTGTGATGTTCCTCCTGGGTAGAGCTACCCATCCCTGTTGTGGGGGTTTGGACCATACCACTTTGGCTGTGGACCATTCCTCCTGGGGGCAGTTGACTCGGCAAACCATGAGGAATACCCGCTGAGGGCACAAATCCACCGCTGGTGCCGGCAGCTGCGACGCCTGCGGCGGGAGGATAAGCAAAGAATGCTGCCCTGGCTAACTGATCCGAATCCTCCGACGCCCAAAGCGGCACCAGGTCTGGCGGAACGAATGTAGAATTGGCCATCGCTGCATCGAGGTACTCCATCACATCGGGCTTGTTATACTCCATTGTGTTCCTCGGCCCAGGCTGGATGCCGACCATAGCGGTAGTCTGGCGCATGAGTTCATCACGATCAACCGCTCCCCAGGGCTGGAGCTGGGGGGTTTGCTGAGGTGTTGGCTGCGAGGGGACGTGTTGCTGAGGCTGGGGCGGTAATGGAGGCAGATTGATGAGCTTGCGCCAACGATCGAGGGCAATTGCACCCTTAACAGAGTCGGGGATGTTGCCAATAGACGTTGGGGCAGGGGCAGCTTGGTCCTGCATCTCGAGTTCGCGCGCGGCTTGGGGGTCGGCACGGAGACGGGCGATTTCTGCTTCGCGGTGTTTCTTGACCTTGAGGTAGAGCTTACGAATGGGCATCCAGACGGCGTGATGGGAAGCCAATTTCTCGAGCTCGGCAGGGTTGGGCGAGGAGAATGTGAGGTTGAGGGCGGCCCAGGCGCGTTCGGTCTTGGGGCCCCAAGGGCGATGCGACGTCTCGACGAGGGTGTAGGCGAGAGCGTGCCAGTGGCTCCAAGTCTGGAAGAGCCAGCGCCACTGCTTACAGCGTGGGTCGGTGTTCAGGATATGGCTGTATTCGAAGATGTCGAGGGCTGCGTTCAGCAGGCGGGCACGAACGTCCTCGGAAAGCTGATCGTTGCCGGAACCAGGGAAGAGGACGGGCTGGTAGATGATAAGGGTCATCTTGGCGACAACTATACGGGCGATGTTGGAGGCCACCCAGAACATGGGACTCGAGGGGTCGGTCAGGAGCTGCTCCTTCAGGCGGGTGTACACATCGGCAAGCATGGCTTCGCGCTGCTCAAGGCTCATGCCAGCTTCGGGGTCGAAAGGAGCGCTGTGCAAGCGACGCGACAGCGCACAAACTTCGAAGCGGATGAGTGAGAAGGCCATGTCGGTGGTACCGGTTCGTGAGTCGGGCAGGCATTCGCTCTCGGGAGAGATGTCGGAATCGTTGATGTTCAGGGGCAACTGAGTGTCGAAGGTGCCGTTGACGATGGTCAGATCGGTGCCCTGGTCTTCAGCGCAGCGAAGATCCAGCACGCACAGCGCCCAGAATATGCGACGACGCATCTCTACCTCGAAGGGGGTCAGATTAGGGAAGTGTGTTCCATCGCGGTGAAGGCCGAGGGCCTGGCTGAGACGAATGAGCAGGCCTGTCAATGTCCATGAAAAACGGGTGTCGTCGTGCCGGCGAACGAGCACCAGGAACAGCAAGAACGCTTGGATGATCGTGAGGTCGGGGCGGGTAAGGAACTCGGCCTTGGCCAGAGCCTGCTCAAAGGCGAAGCGGTATTTTCGGAGGAGGACGCTCTTGTCGGTACCAAAATTGAGTTTGACCTAATCTGTCAGCAGGGTTCAAGAAGAATCTTTTGATCAAGAACTCACTTCATCCTCGTCCAGCGATGTGATGGAAGCGTAGTAGATAGAAAACATTAAAGCCTCGGTCGATGGCGTAAGCGAGTCCATGTTGTTGCGCAGCTCTTTGATGACCTTGCTCATGGTCGGCACGTGGACGACCTTGAGGATTGGGTCGACGTTCTCCTGGTAGACCTGCCATATGAAGGGTATTTGCGAAGGCAAAGGATGCAAAGGCCGCAGGTCGACGTCGGCCGAGCGATAACCCAACACGAAGGACTGGTGGTCGTACAAGCTCCTGTCGTTCTCGCCAGCCTCAGGGGTTGTCTCGTTATTCGACTCTTCCGAGTCTTCGTCGGTGAGGTCTTGCGAGGCTTTTCGTAATTCATCAAGCTGGGAGAGTCAGCACAGGCAACCCGCTTTGGAGCCAGGAGACATACTTCATCATTAATAGACGTCCAGAGCGTACTGCTGACATATCTCGTCACTCCTTTCTTCTCATTCAACACCAACCGACCAAATTGTTTATGCACAGTCTGCACATCAGGGGGGGATTTCCTCGACACATCAGGCTCTGACACAGACCCCGACGTCGGCCGCGCGGACATCCTAACCGTAGCGACACCTTGATTCGGTGAGCCATGGCTGGCACCGGCGCCGGACGAGCCCATGCGGACGCCGATGGAGTTTTCGTCCCGTGCATACGAGAATACTGCCTCGGGAGAGTTCCCCGGGCTGCAGCCGTGGCGCACCGACTCGACCTCGATCTGGCTGCTCAGCTCCTCGACAATGCCCTCCAGCTTGCGCAGGCGCTTGATTAGCTCCAGCTCGCGCTCGCTCGAGCCCTGCTTCCCTGGGGCATTGGGGTCCTTGGGCCTTGGTCGACGAGGGGCGCGGCCAGGAGCTGGAAAAATGCAGGGGATCTGGGCACGACGGCAGTTAGAGCATGGCATATGTTTGTCGCAGCGGACCTGGGCAGAGCACGTCAGCAACGGGAAAGAGCGATAAAGCTAGAGAGTGCGAGGATAGCGCACCTTTCTCCTGCGACACGTCACACAACTCCTTGGATTGAGAGCTGACGACGGCACGGCATTCGGCGAGTAGACCGAGGCGCCGGGTGGGGGGTGTCGGGCCAATTCCAGTATCTGTTGAGCATCGTAGCCGTCCTGCGGGCCCGTCACAGAGGCGGCGTCGGTCCTGGGGCTGTCTCCGGTCACGAGCCGTGGCGTCGACGACGCAGTGGTGACAGTGTCCCCGTTCATCGTGGTGCTGGGACCTTGGGTAGGGCTAACCGTGGCTTGGCGATAACCTTGGCGATGGATGGGGGAGTCACAGATTTAGACCCTTCTTGGGATAAAACAACAACTCAATCTCGACACTTTGCTACACTACAGCCACACCGATCGCGTTTCTCCCACCGTCACTCCGGCTCTGTCTCTATCTCGCTCAGATAGGGGGTCGGGAAGATACGGCAGCCGCTTGGCGGGGTGCATGCGAAGGATGTGCTGGATCTTCGATGATCGGCGAGGCGAGCTGAAGGAATTGAGAGGGGGAAGGCGGCGTCGACGCCTTCTTGGCTGGCGTCAGTCAAGGCTCGGCTGTCACGGCGTGGCACGAGTACTCAGCGGGCCGAGTGTGCGACACTGTGTTGCGGCGGCGGCGTGCGGGCAGTTTTTGATGGACACGCGGGATGCGAAACAGAAGCGAGCTCCGGCTGCTTGGGCTGCGGCTTTAGCGATCAATGTCCGCCGTGACGCCGGCACGACGAGGAAGTGGTATTGGTGGGTTGCAGAAGGTGGGTTTTCGCCGTGGGTTTTGACTGGGCGGCTTGCTCATTGCTGTATTAGCAGGGGGAAACTGCTGTGGGGCTTTGCCGCCCGTGCCAAGAATTCCCGCGCCCCACCTGACCGCGCCGGGGCCGGTTCCGGGGAAAATTGGTTTAGACTAACAATATCGAGAAATTGTCATTGAAGAAGTTTAAAAGTTGACCGATTGTTGCACAGTGACCAAGTGGACATGGAACACAACGAATTGTTCAAGTTATCTGAACTCTTTTTACGCTGTTCTCAGGGCCAGCTGTCTCGGTGTCTTTCGATGAGTCAACCCAGCTGCCAACTGTGATAAGGAGGATCCAGGGGAGACAACAGCCATTCCTTCTTGAGGCATTAAGATTATTACCACAGATCTTTTCCATCTAATCACATACTCTGCGATCCTATCATACTGTGTCTGACACTTATCACCCAAAGCCCAGACACACGTGACAAGTTGTTGGCAAACTTGATCCTGCCATCTGGTATTCGACTCATCGAAAATACTGAAACAAGCTTGGGTCCCAACACGCTGGCAACGCTCACTCTTTGTGCGTAGCTTGGGAATCCCTTGTAGACCTTCCGTCCCCTCCCGTCTTTCTGCGACTCCAGTTGCCGTTGCATGCTATGGGGCAACCCGGTCCTGCGGGTTGGGTCGCGTCCCGTGATGAAGGAAAATGTGCGGCGGGGTTGCTCCCAAGGGCCGAGTTCAGCGTTTAAAAGCTCAGTTGACATGACTGAAGAGTATTGAAATATATTAGCTCTGTTTTGATCTGCTAATGTGTTGAAGTCTGTCACTACAGCAGCAAATGAATACCGCTCACGTCGACACGGCGTACCAGCAGCGAGCAACACACGGCTAGACCAGCGACTCAATGTCAGGATGATCCCTGACAAGGTTGACAATAGGCAGAAAAATCTTTTGGTCTCCTCCCTCCCGGGCGAGCATCTCCTTGACGTCAGCCCAGGTCTTCCACGACCAGGACTCGCACTTGTCGGGTTCCGTGACCTTTCTGCTTCAGCATTTGAACCCTCCTCTTGTGCTTCAGGGACACTCACCACAGGCTCCTGGGTCTCATCAACCCGTCTGCACTTCACAAACACAGTGATGTAGTGTTTCGACTTGGGGTCAAAGATGTCGTTCGTCGCGGCAATCATCTTCTCAGCCTTGACGACCAGGCCGGTCTCCTCGAGGGTCTCCCGCTCAGCACAGGCAAAGAAGCTCTCTCCCATTTCGAGATGACCGCCCGGAAATTGCCACTGCCCTGATTCTGGTGAGCACAGACCCGGTTATTCGGGGGAAGGTATTGGTACATACCGGTGCCATGAGAAGTACTCTTACGAACGCCGATGACCACCCGGCCTTGGCCATCGCTGATGATGGCGGCCACGCCGACTCTAACTACCGATGTAGCCATTTCGATAAGGGTTTTGATATGATAGTGAGGGCTCAGATTGAAAAAATGGCGAGCTCCCTTTGGTCAACACCCATGACTCAGCAGTCCTTCGAACCCCAGGCTTATGGATCCCGCCCACTTGAGCTGATCACTTCACCACCAGGGAGCTGCTCTCATTCATCGACCACTATTCCAGGGGCGGCAGAAACAAACAAGCAAAAGTGAGGTAGTATCCCGACTCTCGGGCCGAACTACGAAAGTCGTAAGATGAGATTCCAAAAAGCATCGCGACATGAAGCTAAGCTTTGGGCAACGCAGCGCTAAGCTCGTTTCAGCCTAGCCGCATCGCAAATTGAGGGCTTCGAGAAGCGGCATGCTGCGGCTGTAGTGCGCCCAGCCTAACGGTAGGGGCTCCGATTTCTAGCCGAAAGTTACGCTCAGGAACAAGGCGTTACGTTACACATAGGCTGAACGGTAAGTTTAGAGCGGCAGAAAGCAGGTGCGACTGAGGAAAGCTGCAAATGAAGGAAGCAGGGAGGTGCATAGCTGGCTGCGCATCAAATGAGGGAAAGGGTACGGTGAATTACTTATCTGCCAGCGCATCCATTTGAACTGTTATTTACCGTTGTGGCTAGGCATCAACCATCGCATCTCTAAGCCTCTTAAGCCAACCCAATAACCCTCTTGTTGACGGATTCTGAACTGTTCAGCCGTTCCCAGCAATTAGTTTCCCCAATAATTATGATAGCAAGCCATCAACAATGGTTAAAGGCATGCCCAACGATCGTTTTATTTTTCCCAATATGCAAGGCAAGCAAACAACCGACAGGCAGCCCTTCCGCTTTCCTTTATGAAGAATCACAGTGGCAATTACGATTACCTAAGATTGTCACTCAACCCGAGTGGCGCAATGGTAGCGTATGAGACTTCTAATCTCAGGGTTGTGGGTTCGAGTCCCACCTTGGGTGGCAAGTCTTGGTTTTTGCTTTTTGTGATGTCCTCTGATATGGACTCTAGATTCCCACCCGGCATCTGGTTTGCAATTTTTATCTTGTCAAAGGTCTTCTATGAGCTGCAAATGGCTGCCAAATCATTGGGAGTTAGTTAGATACAGTTGACCGACCACGTGTTGGTTCACGACTTCAGCGTTCCAGTTTCCCGTTTCCTGGGCTTCTTTCTGCTTTTCCAGGATTCACGTGAACTCCGAAAACCATACTCGATCTTCATACTGACTCGTATGTACCGTATGATATGCAATCTACCTTCCAGAACATCGACGGGTATCATGTCCCATCCTAGCACCAACCCAAGCAAACCTCACGCCATTTTAAGTGAACATCCTCAACCTGGACCCCGTCAACATCCCGGAGGTTGTCACCAGTCATCTATCATGTACCGATCCATGATCCCAGCCATGCCTGTCCCGAACCTGACCAGTCCGAACACCAAGAAACCAAGGCATTGCGTAGACTCCTTAGACCTGCCGTTAACTCCTGAGTAATAGACTCAATGTAGGTAGACGGAAACGTAGATCAACGCAGCCCTCCCGGCCCCTTCTCCACCACAAACCTAACTGGCTTCCGTCTCCTCCAACTAGGCACCCCCTTAGGCGGCACAACCGGCCTCATATTCACCCCTCCTGACCTCGAGATCACTGTTCCTCCTACTCTCCCCTGACAAGGCAGTGTCTTGACCTGGAACCCGCCTATCCCGCAGCTTGCACCAATCCCTTCCGACTCTGATGACGAGCCAGAGGACCACCCGGATGATGATGACCCCGAAGAATTGGATGAAGAGTCCTCCTTCGGCGGCCATAACCCCGTGGCCACCCAGCGCTCATCATACCCCCATTTCCCCACCCCTCCTTGCATGAGCCATCGCCCAAGGTTCTTACACTGGCTCACGTCGACCCATTCTAACCTTGTACATCCCTCCAGCACGTTCTCGACTCCGTTGCCTGTAACCCTCACACAGCCTCTCACAGACAGTCCACGGAGTTCGTTGAGATGCAACGCAACGCACCCCAAACTAGCATCGCTCACCGCGCTCCCACAAAACGCCATCCTCAGCTCCCTCAACTGCGGCAACCCCAAAGCAACAACCTCTGTCGCGGTATCCGACAAGGCACAACAGAAACTCAAATCCAAATGCGTCAGCCCCCTCGCGGCCCCGACCAACGCTACCACGGAATTATCCGTCAAGTAGGTACAGTCCGCCAGGCATAACTTCCTCAACTTCGGGAAACGGTGTGAAGCCCAGGCTTGAAACCCAGCATCTGTGACGGACGTGCAGCGCGTTAGGGTGAGGGATTCCAGGCGTTGAGAGGCGTGCAAAGCGAGGTGGGCCATCGACCGGTCGGTGATGTGCTTGCAGTAGGAGAGGTTGAGGTGGCGGAGGGAGGGGCAGCCTATTACCGTGCCGGGGGGAGGGGAGGGGTAAACTTGGGGCTCCACCTCCTGAGGGGGGGTGAGAGGAGCGGTGGGGGGAGCGCCCTCTGTGGTGGTGATGTTTCGTAGGGGAGATGACTACATTCGAGTTGTTGCCTGCACTGCCGCCACCGCCGCCGGGAGGAGGGGAGGGCACAACCCAGCCTACCACGCGGGCGAGCAAATTATCCCCCACCTTGCGACAGCTACTCCAGTCTATCTCCTCTAGGCCCTTCGCATACTCCGCCATATTGTGAATTTGGGCAGCCGAAACGTCCCACACACTACGCATACGCCAGACCTTGACATTTCTGCCGCATGTCTTCCATAAACAATGGAAACCCTCGTCGGTAATGTGGAAGCAATCGTTAATGTTGATTTCCACGGGACGGGCGCCGATGAATGGGGCTAGGATGTGGATTATTGCATGGTCGGTTACGCGGCGGTTGTAAGGGGAGAGGTCGACGTGTGTACATAGGTCGGCGGAGGTGGTCAGCAGGGTGCGCCAGCGGCGGCAGACAGCTCGAATCTTCAACATTGAGAGAAGATCGAGGTGTTTGAACACGGCGACAAGGACGTTATCCGGGAGGCCTTGCTTGCTGAGGGAGTATTCTTTGGCGGAGTCGCGACCGAGACGGGCTCTTTTAAATGGAAAGGGGGGTTCGTCGAGAGAGACAGGGGAGAGCAACGGGGGAGCGGGCTGCACAGGAGGGATCTTGATCGCTCCCCCAACAACAATCCCACTGGAGTCGGCAGTCTGGGCCGGCGGCGGCGCAATCGAGCTTCGCCTTCTAGCCCGTAAGTTCTCCATATCGACACTAAGATACGGATCCGGGTCTGTCGGCGAGCGCGTCTCTTCGTCAGCCGCCAGCATCTGCGTAACCACAGGCGTGATAATCACCGGCCCTTCGGTCGGCCCAACATTTTCGTCTCCCACATCGCTCATCTCGACATCTTCCCTCTCAGCTTCTTGTCTCGCCTTATGGAACCTCTTCCGCGCCGTCTCTTCGACCTGTGCTCTAATCTCAGGCGGGCACCGCCGCCACAACTCTTCGAGCGCCTCGCCTCCTATGACGAGACACTCCACCGTCGTGATGGCGCGTACCGTTGCCGTGCGTTCTTCTGACAACCCCAAACTAGCCACCTCCCCGAAGTACTGCCCCTGTCGTAGCCTCGGCCGTGTGTATGACGTAGCTGGCCCCGACCCATTCTTCTTGACCATCGTCGGGCTCAAGGGCTCCTCAGGTTCTTTCACAACCTCTGCCTCGCCATGCACAATGAAGTAGATCTCGCTACCCCTCGTTCCCTGCCTCACAATGTCCGTAAACGGAGGGTAGCTCTTGGGTTGGGCGCTCAACCCCAGGAAATGCAAAATATCCGCCGGCAGGGTGGCAAACAGCGGCAGCTCCTTCAGCGTCTTACGCACATTGACATACGCACTTCCCAGCGCGCTGCCGCTCACCGCAGGGTCCTCAATCACCCCCGGACTCGGGCTCTTCCTCTTCTTGGTATTAACCACCGCCCCACCCTTAATAACGCCCACATCACCGGTCACAACCTCCCCCGGAACACCCTCATGCTTCTTCCTCTCCTGCTGCTGCTGCTGCTGCTGCTGCTGCTGCTGCTCCCCAACCTTCAACACAGCCTCCGCCCCCTCCGACAACCGTTTCTTCTTCTTCAAAATCGCCAACCTCTCCAACGCCTCCTGCCTTATCGCTTTCTCCATCTCCGGAAACCTAGGCAATTCCGCCATCAAATCCTCCTTCATCAGCACCACCAGCAGACATTTTGTGCGTGCAATAATCGTCGCCGTCCTAGGCACGTCCATCAAAACACCTATCTCGCCGAAAAAAGCGCCAGGCTTCAGCTCCGCGTACACGGCTTCCCCATCGCGAGAGGTTACCGCAACCACGCCGCGCACGAGCCAGTACATTGCCCTTGCTTCTTCTCCTTCGGTGAGGATATGATCGTGTCCTGCATGAATCTGTGGCCTGAGATGAGACCCAACAGCCACTAAGAACTCTTCAGGAGCTGAGCTAAACAGGGGAAAGGAACGGATTCTCTCTAGGAGGTCGAGAGGCATGTCGGGGATGGGGGAGGCGGTGGTTAGGGGAGAGGGACGGATCGGGCGCGCGGGGTTGGTGTCGGATTCGAAGGAGCGGAGGAGGGCTGATGGGTTTGGGGTGGATTGTTGAGAGGAAGAGGAAGAGGTGCCATGATGGATGATGGAGCGGTAGGCGGAGGAGCTGTGGGGGCTGCGGGTGCGGCGCATGGTGCCGCTGAGGTATGATGATACTGGTAAAGGAGAGCTAGGTGTCGAGTTGAGGAAAATGATCTGTCGCGTGTGGAAGCTGGATGTTCGAGTCGTGGAGGTTGATCGGGAAGAGGTTCATACCTTGCCGGGAGGATTGATCTTCGAGAAGTTGAGGGACTTATTCGGAGTTGGGGCTCGATCAGGATGTCTGCGGTCGATTTGCGAAGACAAGAGATAGCTTTGAGCTGTTCGAATTCTCTTTGTTGATCCCAAGATCCAATGCAAGAGCCGAATGGATAATGGACGGCGTCTAGCAGTTGTGTTAGTTCGGTGTTTCCAATCCCAATTCCGTCATCGCTCCCATAGAGCAACAACGTGAAACGAGCCGTGATCTTGAATGTGTTGGAGGCAGCAGTGACTAAGGTCGCAATGAGGATTAAATCACTGCGCCGATGCAACTGATCCTCAGCACCCCTGAGTGGAAAATAAATCCGATGGGCGCGGCAACTGGAAGTAAGCTAGACGTGTATGCAGCTATCACCAGAGACACAAGGTAGCTCTGTTGACGATGCGATACTCCACAAGTAGGCAGATCTCATCAAAGCGACCACGCCATTGAAGCTAAGAGTTGGACGCCGTCATCGCAGGGAGATAGTTGTAGCTTGTTTGCTTACTGCTGAACGAGCTAGCTTAGGTAGATACTTTCGAACCGTCTGCTGTCAGCTTGTGGCACAGCAAAAGCAAGGGAACCGCAAAACGGCCGATCGCGCCGCTGCACGGGTCGATGGGGTTGTCGTAAGTAATGCGATGTAAGAAAGAGATGCAGAGAATCGGGATGCTGCAGCTGCTAAAGAGCAAAGGTATCGGGTTCCAGAAGCCGAAGCGTAGGGATGAGAGCTGTACCTGAGATGCTGAGGAGGGCGGGTGGGTGCAGAGGAAACAAAGAATAAGCGCGTCTGCGTCTGCGTGTGTGTCGTGTGTGTGTGTGTGTGTGTGTGTGTGTGTGTGTGTGTGTGTGTGTGTGTGTGTGTGTGTGTGTGTGTGTGTGTGTGTGTGTCACAGTGTATGTCAGGGTTAAGGAGGTAGAGATAAACTCAGACTTGTTCCAAACGGAGCTAGGGAGGTAGAGCTGTACGAAGCTCTCGGTCCGTTATCGACGCCGTTGATCAATGATGACTTTGTTTGCTCAACCCAGTGGAGGATGGTTTGGCAAGATGACCGGTCGAATTGATTGATTGATGCAATGGAGAGGAAGCTGAATGAGATTGGGACGGTAATGGTTAAGCAAGCTGGGCTCCAACCTTCGCAGCAGTAGTCATGTCGATGTAATAATGGAGCCAGAGCCAGCCAGTCTGGGACTCTTAATGGAGCCGGGGATGGCCGGGGGCTCGGGGGCTCAGGGATGGAGCGCGTGGACGGTGGGCTTTCTTGGACTGGACCAGAGCAAAAAACCAGACCCTAACTAAACGCTAGGGAGACGGAACAGTCTTCCTCCAAATGGGCCTGAGCACGGGGCACAAGAACAAAGGTCGGGGTAGAGGCCACGGCAAGGAGCGAAGCTACCAGTGTACCCCGTATCTGTGAGCTCGGTCCTTCTATGAGTTGTCTACAAGTGGCTGTCGGATCGGAGACTCTGCTTCGTTGGGGATGGATAGAAATTCTTCTGTGTGGCCAAGCGCAACGGCCCGCTTTCTGCTCAATCAAATGCTTCGATTGTGACTAGCGGCTGGAGAATGGGGGGACAGACTAGGGCCGCATGGATGCCGTGGCATGCATGGGCACTGTCATGGCAACATCACAATGGAAAAAATCATGGGCTGGCTGACTGGCATGCGGGGCTGCGGGGACGCTTTCTCAGACATCATACGTCCCGTTTTTTCTCTTTATGGATTGCCACGAGGAGATTGAAGAATAAGGTATCATTTACAAAGCTTCTAATTCGGGGGCTGTACCCGTCAGAGAGAGCTGGATAATATTGAGGAGAATAGAGCATCCACTGCGCCCCAGCAGCCAAGAGGCTAATTTCTGAGTCAGCACTGTACGTGAAGCAGGAGAGCTGTCATGTAGCCATAAACATGGCGGTGTGGCAGGCAGTTCCGGCTGAAGATCATCCAAGATGAGACTCTAGCAGTGTTGATACGCCAGCAATAATTGTTTTGCAAGATTCCAAACATGCAGGTGTCACGATGATCTTGTTTCGGTGAGAAGACCAACCTAATCCTTTTTGTGGGCGAGGTCAGGCTTGGCCTCTATCTCAGGGGTAGCTTGGTGTTCCATGAAGTCTTGATAAAAATCACTAGATGATTCTGACCGTCTCTGAGCTTCAGAATTGCCGATGTCAAAAGTGGAAAAAAATGATTATTACACGCTGTCGTCACGTTGCTGAAGACAGTTTGCCGCCGACTTCCCTTTCCTCTTGCCTGCAGCTGCAGCTGTCGCAGATCCTCACGGAACTGAAAATGCTCGGCGCGCTCGGCTGCCTGCTCCGCATTTCGAGAAGAATTCTAGCGTTGGCCCGTGCATCCAACCAACTCTTGGCATGGCCAGGGTCTGCACCCCTACGGCTGACACGTGAACCAACCAATGCTTCAAAACCCTGGAAACAAGTGATGGGTAGGGTTAAGGTTGCCTGGGAGATCGGGACATCTTAGCTCCGACACCGAGCTCAAAACCTGTTCAGAACTGGAAGGTTCCGGAAAAAGCTCGGCCCAGATAAGAGGGCCCTGCTTCAAAGGCGCGGGTTTACTAAGCAGCGCCACTCGTGAGCAACGTCATTTTGCGGGCCTTTGTAACCTCCAACTTGCAACAGCATCAGCCAGAAGAGCCGAGCTCCGTTAAAACCGCTCTCTCTGCTGTCCTCGCTGCATCGCCGGCACACAACCCGACAACTTACATCGACATTGCGGTTTCGTCGTTGAAGAACACTTTGAGAACGAATCTGAAAGCGACGTACACAGCCATGTCGTTCACGCTCACCCTCCGCGCAGGCCTCTCCTGCAAGGCGCCCCAGCTCGGTATCCGGGCCTTCCACCAGACGGCGACCAAGAACACCTTCTTCACCGCGCGCACTGCTTCTCTCGCTTTCCGAGCCAGCTCCAAGTCTGGCAGCTCGATCCTCACCCGCCTGAATGCCACTCGCTCGCGCGGCTACCAGCAATATGCCTACGCCGACCCTACCGCGCGCAAGGCGGAGCTCACCCGTAAGCTTCTGATCGGCGGTGCTGTCTTCGGCGGTACCCTGGTCGCTGTCAACGCGGTGTTCAACCAGGAGGGCAGGACGGACGGCGGGATGCCATTGTTCGAGCGGTCGTATCTGAACAAGACGTTTATGCACACGGGTCTGGGCGTCGGCATCATCGGGTTGACGGCGTACCAGATGATCCAGAGCGGCTTTGTCTATCGGATTATGGTGACCAACCCATGGATTGTGGGGCTGGGCGGTCTGGCGCTGAGTATCGGGTCTATGGTTGCCACGAGGGCGATTGATCCGGACAAGTAAGTCCGCACACACCACTTACCTTGGTTATGACGCGAAGATGCTAACGGTAATAGCTACATCCCCAAATACCTCTGCTGGACAGCCTTCAATGCAACCCAAGCCGCCTTTGTCGCCCCGCTCATGGCCATTGCCCCTCCGGCCCTGCTTGCCCGCGCTGGCCTGTACACCCTCGCCATGATGGGCTCCCTCTCCATCATCGGCGCCACCGCCAAGCAAGACAAGTACCTGTACATCGGTGGTCCTCTGCTTGCCGGCGCCGCCATCGTCGCCGTCTCGGGCTTCGCTCCTCTCGTACTCCCCGCCACGGCGGTACGCACGCTGGCGTTCACTGAGAAGCTGTGGCTGTATGGCGGGCTGGCGCTGTTCGGCGGATTCACTCTGTATGATGTGCAGAAGGTGCTTTATCATGCTAGGTTGGCGAGGGCTGGTGTGATTAAGGAGGATCCAGTTAATGAGAGTATTGGGTTGGAGTTGGATTTCCTGAACATTTTCATTCGGATGGTCCAGATTCTGATGATGCAGGGTCAGCGGAGGAAGTAAGGGGTTGACAATTGAAAAAGGTGGTTGGTTCTCTGTGTATAATTGGCGTCTGATGGGGAAGGATATCCATGGCACGTCTCTCGGCTCGTCGTCTCTCTGCTCGGTGGCTTTCTCTTTGTTTTATTTTGTGTTGTAGTTAGGTAGCTATTCGCTCCTGAGCGGTAGAGGCCTCTGGCTTGTATCGTAGCATTTTATTCTGAAGAAGCAAAATAAAAAAACGAAAACATCTAAACTTGAAACCTGTCTTTTATCTCGACGCCATGAATTGTTCTAAAATTGCCCGTTTTAATCCTTCAAATCCGGAAAGTCCCTCACAAAATGACTAGGACATTCATAACCCCCGGGATTTTTGCTCAAATACAGCTGGTGATACTCTTCCGCATCCCACCACTGACCCGCCGGCAAGATCTCAGTGGTGATTTTACCGCCCCACCACTGCTCATTCGCCTTCCCTGTCACCTCCCTCGCGATCTTCTCTTGTTCTGGCGTGGTGTAAAAGATCCCGCTCCGATACTGCGTGCCAACGTCCGGTCCCTGCCTGTTCGGTGTAGTTGGGTCGTGCATACGATAAAAGAACTCAAGAAGCGTGCGGTAGGACAAACGAGAGGGGTCGTACAGGAGGAGGGTCGCTTCTGCGTCTGTGATGTACCACCCCAACTAAGTCAACATCAACTTGCTTCTTCGTTGAAAAAAAAAAAAAGGTAAAAACGCACGCCCTGTGTTCCCCGAACAAACAGCCCTATAACTCGGGTTCGCGAAGTCACCGCCCGTGTACCCCACGCGCGCGTCGTACAAGCCTTTGTCGGAAAAGTGCTTGCGGTAGAGGTGCTCTACGCCCCAGAAGCAGCCTGCGGCGAGGATGGCGCGTTCGGCGTTTTCGGGCACTTGAGGTCTAGAAGAAGTCGACATCGCTGCGGTAGAACGGCCAAAGAGAAGTCTGGAAAGGAGAGATGCCATGAATGGAATTAGAGATAGCTGTGATTAGGATCGAGATGAGATCAATCGAGTGTTGGAGTTTATGAGGGTTGGAGTCGGAGATGACTCCAAATCCAAGAAACGTTGCATGGAAACAAAAATGCAATGCAGAGCTGTCGCAGCTCGATGGAGGGATAGTTTGGAGCTCCAAGAAGCTCCCATAGGTGCCGATACATGCCGCTGTGGAGGCGTGGGGGAGGGGTAATGTGGCTCTTTGATCCCTGGCTGCCGTGATGACGTTAGCGGGAGCATAGGTTGCGAGAGTTACATTGCGTTCGGATGTAGGCATTTACGGGGATGGTTTTGTGAAGGTTGGAGATGGGATTGAAGAAAAATGGGGGTTGGTTGCGAATTTGGAGAGGCCACCTTTAAATGGAAGCAGGAATTTAGATGAAGATCATATTTATGAAATTTGAAAGAATCGAAGGGATGTACTGCTTTTATCTGCCGGAAGACACAGGGCTATTGTAAATCTTCTCTGGATGAACTCTGGTTTGTGTCTCTGGCCTGAAGATCATGTAAACAGTTCCCCCTGACAACCCAACTTCTCTCCGAAATTCTTGACACTTTTCTCCTAACAACTGTCAAAGAATTGAACAAAAATAACCATGCTTTCATTAGAACAATAAATCGAACTTCGATCACAAATCCTCATGCAGTCGGAACCAAATCCCTCGCATTCATCCTACCTGACAGCAACAATGGCCAACCCTTGACCAGCTCCCCCACTTCGAACCAAGAAGTTCTCGACCGATTCAATCTCTGACGACTACACATCCACACTTCTTTGCGTAGAGCACAATTCTCTAGGCCCTGCACAACCAACGCTACGGCCCAGATGTGGATCAGCAGCCGCCCACGGAGTAGTGGGGCCATAATACAGACCAATCGCAGGCAAGGAAATATTGTCGCTGCCACCAACAATCGCCCCCAAACCTTCTTGATAATCCTGAACTTGGTCGAATGAAAATCTGAATGGCGGGGCAAGCATCCAATGGTTCTCGAGTATATATATGTATGTAGAATCTCCCACATCCAGGACTACGATGAGGGCTTCCTCAGTCAGCAATAGAAAAAGTGGTCAACCAACAACTGGTAACCGCAGTCGACCACATACTCTACTTTGTGAGGACCATAGTCCCACAGGTTCTGCAACCTGGCCACTACCTTCGAACCCATCTCAGGAGGTTGTGGAATCGTCACAACCAACCTCTCAATTTCCTTCCCTTCCTGCCTGCCCGTACAAAGCTTGAGAAGCCGTCTAGGCTGCTCACATCTACCGACCTAACATCAGACTTTCACGCATTGATCCTGATGCCCTACCTCTTTGCACCGAAGAAACCGACCACGGAAGTGGCATCGAACCTCTACCCAAAGCTGCTCTGTTGCTCAGGCCATTAGCTCTGAGATTGTTGTCCTGAGAAATCGACACGCAATCGGCTTTCTTGGACTTGTCCCGCACTTCGGCGTCATGCCCCGTGGGAGTTTCTCGGAAGGGATCCCGAGCGTCGTTTTCCACTCTATAGATAACACTCTTCCTTCTCTTCGGTTTCGTTGTCCCTCTTGTGCTAGAAAGAGCTTGAGGATCTGTTGAGAGCGATTTGCCATCTTAGGCCCCGTCGTATCGCCTCTCGCTGCTCCGATTTGCCATCTGCAGGAGCGAGTTATCATCCAGTGAACTCTGGCTTGCACTGATTGGCCTTTTACTCGGTCACAGCTCAACCACCCGGAGAAGCCCGCAGCGATAGGATTGGAGTCTTGGGTTGAAACCTCTCATCATCTTCGTTTCTAACGAGGAGGAGGGGGTTTGGAGGACGAGTGCATCGGGGCAGGAGTTGATGCCCACGGAAGTCTAGATCATCCTCAATTGTCTACGTAGATGAGGATTAGCTAGGGCATATGTTAGACCGGCGTAGTTGTAGACTAATCACAAAGACCCCAGATTTCGGGCCACGATGGTGCCAAGAAACGGAAGGTAGTCGTAGTGTACGCTGCATGATTGTCAAGCAGATATGCTTTACGAAAGGTTTGTCTTTTCCCCTCATCGATGCAAGTGGCGACTAGAGTGGACTCGAAAGGTTGAACGAGAGAGTTTGCGTAGTTTTGCCGAGGGCCAAGCGAATGGGCACAAGCTAGAAAGGAGATACCTACTGCTTGGGTAGGAAGGGAGTTGACAGTTCAACGCGAACTGTTGAGCATCGGTACAAGATGATGACTGGTATACTCAGGGCCATCCTGTATACGAGGAGGTGGTCGACATTATTTGAACCCTGCTTGGCTACCAGAACAGTGGCGCGGGGTTCAAAGGTTGGACCTGACCCCCAGCTCAACCTTCTGGAGAATCCACAGCGGCATATTGGATAACTCATTAAGAAACTTGAAGTCAATGATGTAGCGCAGAGCCGTAAGGTGCATTGAATGTGCTGCTATCAGTGGGTTCATTGGAAGCATTGGAAGTCCTGACGAAAAGATTGTCTTTTGTCCGTGCCTGGTGGTCGGGAGAGAAGAATGTTCTTTTTTGTCCAAGCTTGGGAGTCATGCAGAAGCATGATCTTTTGTCCAGGAGTTAGCAAATACGTGTTGAGACGGAAGAGAGAAGTGGGGACAAAAAGATATTTGCAGTGGTGGTATCTTGCATAGAACGCTGACACTAAAAACATAAGAATAACCATCAACACTGAGTCGAGTCCCATTACCCTGAATCCCAACCTCGACGCCGCCCATGTAGCCCTGAGCCCGCGTTATCTGCCCTCTCTGATGAAAGAAGACCATAAAACAAACAAAAGTATAGAAAAGAAAATCATTAACTCAAAGAAACATATGCCTCGATTCGGCATTCTTCTTCGACGACCCCGGCGCTGTGTAATCAATCCCGTTAACGCTGGTCAAATCCTTCTCAAACATCTCCTGAATCTTAGTCACTTGCAACAACTGCTCCAAATCGACCTTGACGCCATCAAAAGCAGCCAGACCCTCGGCCGCCTTAATCGCGTTCTTGATCTGCCTACCGTTCAGATCAATCTCAGCCAGCCTCCTCAGCCCCTTCTCGTCGATATCTACACCGCCAGGCACATCGTTGCAGAAATTGCGCCAGATCTGCATGCGCGACTCGACGGTCAGCTCGGTGTAGCGGATGGGAATGTGGATTCGCGATTTGAAGGCGTCGTCGAAGGTGCTGACGCGGTTGGTGGTCAGGAAGAGGATGCCGCTGTAGTACTCGAGGACGCGAAGGAAGACGGAGACCATGGCGTTGCGGTGCAGGTCGTGCAGGGCGCGCTGTTCCAGGAATACATCTGCTTCGTCGATGAGAAGGACGGCGCGCCAGGTCGAGGCGAGGTCCATGATTTGGGTGAGCTTGCGGTCCAGGTCCGCGGAGCAGGTTCCCACTATTGAGGGTTAGCATCATCCTGGTTGGATAGAGAAGGGGAGGGAACATACAGTCACCTGAAGACACCATATAAAGCGGGCGCTTGACAAACTCCGCGACACACTCTGCCGTCAGGGTCTTGCCCACACCCGGCGGACCATGCAGCACGCATACCAACCCCTTCCCTTTGCCCTTGACAATATCATCAAACGCATCCCGCCGCTTATTATGCATCGACACGAGCGCCTGGACCGTCTTCTTGACAGTTGGATCCAGCACCAACCCATCGAAGCACTTGGTGTTCCACTCGATCTCCTTGAGTTCATCCACATAAAACTCCAGGAACACCTTCTGCGCAAACGAGTACCCCCTAATCGTCGCATTTGCCAACATAATATCTTCATCATTCAGCTTCTCATACTCGCGTTTATGCTCATTTCCATGCTTGCCTTCATTATCCTCATCCCCTGCAAAATATGGGATCGTCGGCGCGCAGCACCTCCTCCTCTTGCTCCTCCCGCGATCCTTCTTCCCCGGCTCCCCGATCGGCGCCACACGGAAGGAATCACTCGTATCCATGCGATGGAATGTCTTCGGATCAACCATCACTCGGCCGTTCACACTCAACTTGGCATACCCGTTATGCGTTCTCTTGAGCGCAACCGCGTCGTATGCCATGAACTTGGGCTGGGAGTGTGCGTATTCCTCAAACTTGCGGCCACGCGTCAGAAGCTCCTCGCGCACCTCGTCCGCGTCTTCGAGGAGATTGAAGGGCATGAAGGTCATATCCGCTACCTCCAGCGCGCCCTGATAGGCCGAGATGTCCAACTCCCAGTGGCGCAAGCCGATCCGCTCCCCGTCGAAATCGACGTACTCCATGCGCGCGACAAAGCTGGGTTCGCACCCATACCAGCATGAATTCAGTCTGAATGCGCGGTTCTGGTTCAAAATCTTGCAGTAGATGATTGTGTTAGGAGGGTAGAGCGTCCAGAGGTGCTCGTAGGCAATGGCATGGTGCTCATGCGACAAACACCGCTCGAGCGCGGCAAACTCGTCCTTGAAGTGCGTGTCGATCCATTCGAGGAGGAGGGTCAAGCCCTTTCGGGCTTGCTCGTTGTCCGCGAAGCGCTTCATACCTTCTTCTTCGATCTGTTTGCGGTAGTGGAAGAGCGGCCAGTAGGGAGCCGAGATCTGAACTTCGTCTTCGTCGATCGGATGGCCGGGGTAGTTCCCGATGACGTCGGCCAATAACTTGCGCAGTTGAGGCGCGTTGACGTACATAGAGGTCGTCTCGACCGACTCGTTGGAGTAGTCATAGTGGCGGACAATGCAGAAGGCGTAGAGCTGCCACCAGTCGGGCTGGGACTTTTCCGTCTGCTTCTCTTCTGTCTTGCGCTCGGTGAAGTAGGGCTCGTCTTTGTCGTCGTACTTGCGGTCGAGATACTTGATCTCGTACTTCATGGTGTTGTCTTTTTCTTTCTCGTTGCCCTTTTCCTTATCGGCATCCTTCTTAGTATCGTCCACCTTGGAGTCGGACTTGGCCTCATCCTTCTTCTTGTCTGGTTTGGTCTTCTTAACGATCACTTCGCCGTTGGGGTCGACTTCGAGGGTGAGCAGGAAGTTTTGTGATGGGGGCTTGGCCTTGGCCTCCTTGACGACGACGTTGCCGTTGGCAGGGTTTACCTCGAGAGTAACGAGGACCTGCTGCGGCTTGGCAGGCTCCTTCTTCTCCTCATCCTTCTTTTCTTCGGCCTTGTCATCATCGGTCTTGGTTTCTGCCGATTTCTCGTCCTTCTTTATGCTGGCGCTATCGGAGATATGAGAAGTCTCAGCACCGTTGGCCGCATCTTCTTTTGACTTCTCCGAGACGTCGGCGGTTTCTGCAGCCTTTTCAGTTGTGATGCCGTTGACCAGCTCCCCGTTTGGCTCTGAAGAAATACCAGCCTTGACGCCATTAACAACATCCTCGGCCTTCTTCGGCTCATCGGCAGCGACGCCGTTTGTGGCAGCGACCACGGCGGGAGCAGCCTCTTCAGAAACAATACCGGGGGCCATGATGATGTAAACGTTAACGGGGGACCAGCCACGCTGGTCTGGGAGATGGAAGAAGTAGTTACTGGGACAAATATGGAATGGGGCAGGTGTTGAAAAGATAAAGATTTTCTTTGGGATAAATGCTGATTTGTTTGATGTGCAAGACTGCACGTCAGCAGGAAGGAAATAAGTAAAAGGTTTAATATCTGCTTGATCCAGATGATGTGGCAGCGTGAGAGTCAGCAAAGAGGCAAACACCCCCCCTCCATCTCAACAGGGCAACACAGTTTTATACCCGTCCGTCGCTACGCATCCCGCGGGTCCAGTCCCCTTCGGTGCCTTTTCACCTACCTGCCTGCTTGCCTGGAGAAAGAACCTACTCTGAGATACGCACGGCGGCCTCTTTGAGCCTCATTCATGTCATCTTATGTCATGTAACTCTGGCCGACAGCATGCGGCCCAGGCAGGGTGGGCAGAATGCTGCACCTGGGACTGGGACTATGACCTAGACCTCAAGTTACAACACACCGCACGACGCGGCACCTCATGCAGCAGGCTGCACATGCATGCGCCACTCCAACACCGCTGGCTGCTGGGCACTGGCTGCCTGCTTGCTGGGTTGATAGCATTAAGATGTCTGGGATAATCAGGGATGAGGAACTGAGTGGTGATGGGCTGTCTAGGCAGCAAGGCGAGAATTGCAGGCTGGAGGAGCATTTCGTATCCTAGTGGGACTCGAGATGGGGATAGTGAAGGTGACTCGGCTCAACTCGCACGCCAGGATCTTAGGCAGGGCTTAGCTTTAGCTGCAGTCGAGTACAGACTATAGATTACCTAGAGCCAAGGCAAAAGCACAAGGAAATTAGCGGTAAGCTGTAAGCTCTGGTGACCTCGCTTAGGCAGACCAGGGCCAAAAGCAATGATCGCAGTGTTCATTCCTAACCCTAACCCCAACCCCAACCCCGAACCCCAGATCCCAGTCCTGCCTGCACTGCTGTAGTAGGTGCCTGGTTGGAGCGGAGCGAGGCTATAAAGTGTAAAAGCAGAGGTAAAAAACATGATGGTAAGTTGCATAATCTGTACGTACAGCGGGGTTCTAGGCTGGCTCGTGACGGACCGGAGCGGGCGGAGTCCGCACGACGGTTTGCTGCAGGCAGCACAGCCACCGGTGCTAGGCTTTGCCAGACCGGCCGCCCAGACCGGAAGCGATCCTGGTCCCTAAGTTCCATCTTGGGGGAATGGAGGGAACCGTGGGTAAATTGACCACCTGAGGACATACCAAGATGGAGTGATCGTTTCGCAGCGTTGACATGAGGGATCTGGAAAGATACGGCTCTGGATTTGTTTCATAATTTCGAACGGTTATTTTCCCTTTCCATACGGCTCAGTGGAAAAGGCAAAATGATCAAATCGATAAGGCGTCACAAGGCCATTGCATCGGCGCATCGCAGGCAGAGTTGGCAACTTGGCAATCTGCGAATCGTTATTACCCCTCGGTTACTAAGTTGTGCATAGGAGGAGACTTCAAGTAAGTGGACTGCCGCGACCCGCCACCAATCGTCCTCATGGATGCCGATCCATCTGCGTTCCAGAGCCATCGACATCGTCCTCGACACCGCCGTGACTCATGATCCGGACACTTTGACTTGGCTCACTTCTTCTGTTAGACTGGGAGCGGGCTCCTTTCTTGGCAACTCTTCCAGGTCGGCCAAAAAAAAAACTGTAATTCGACTCCCGGCCCCATTCCCCGACCTCAGAACCCATTCATACCTCGACCCAACAGGATAGGACATCTTCACAAATCACAACTTGGCCTCTTCCTTCTCCTTAACTTCCTTCTCCTCTCTAAGAACCTCGTTCCGTCCCCTAACTTCCACATCCCTAGGCCCCTCCTTCCTAAAATCCACCAACACAACCCTCTCCCAATCTCCTCCTCTCCCACTCCCCCTCAATTCCGGCCCCGGCTTATCCAGCCCCAGCACATACCTCTTATCACTCTGCCTGACAAACATTACTGTCGGACTAATCACCTTCTCCGACCAGGGGATGAGATGTGTTTTCAGAGGAGAGGGATCTTCTTTTGAAGTTGGGATCTTCTGCAGGAATTCCAATAGGGCAGTCCGTTGGGAGGCGTAGAAGTCTGGGGAGGGAGTCGATCTGGGAGATGGGGAGGTCAGGAAAGGGGAGATGAGGTTGAGGAGGAAGAATTGCGGCGGGAAGAGGATGATGTCGTTTTTGCGGGCGCGAGAGAGCCAGGTTGAAACGGGGGCGAAGGTTGCGGCGGTATGTTCCAAGCCGCCGTCGTGGGTAGGGGTTGGTATGATGGTTTCGGTGGTCTGGTCCGGTGATGAGGAAGAGATGGAGGAGGAGAGGGGGAGCATATAGAGGTACATTTGGGTGGTGAAGCGTTTCGGGGGGCCGGCGGGCGTTATCCAGCGCGTGAAAGGGATCAAGTTATCTGTTTACATCGTTAACAATCTTCAATCTTAACCGTTGAGGAGCGAAGACAACAGTGAAACATACCGACATCCGGCTCCCCCCCCACACTCGTTACCCACTCTCCAAACCTGACCTTATTTCCATGCACCTCCTTCCTCCCGGCATCCCTAACCTCATCCTCCAGCTGCAACAAAGCCCCATCCTTGCCCCTAGCCAACAAAATGCCACTCTCCTCGAACGTCTCCCTGATCGCCGCAAGCCGATACGCGAGCCCATCTCGATGCAACTCATCAAGGCTATCCGCCTTCGGCAGAGGCGCGTCATGGAACTCGGAGAGGTTACCTCCCGGGAAGACGTGCGCTGAGGCGAAGGATGAGGAGTTTTGCACGCGGTGCAGGAGGAGGATTTGGTTTGTCGGGGAGAGGAGGATAATGCTATGAATCATTAGCTACCGGGTAAGTAAGTCGGGAGGATCGGACGAAGCTACCTCGCGCTGGGCCTCACCGGCGCAGGTGGCTTCTTGGATTTACCTGCGTCGAGCATGTGAGCGGTAAAAGAAGTCGAGAATGTCTTTACAGGTTTCGCTGTGACAAACTGAACCAGCGCCGGACAAGAGGAGCCAGTGAGAGCAATACCAGAGGCGACCCTGACAGACGAAGTTACAAACCAAAACCCAGCCGGACCGGGTCTTGTAAGAGGGGGAGCCATTGAGTCCAGCCAGGAGTCGCCGGGTTGGGCCCTTTTGACTGTGGATGGCACGGATGAGGCTTAGTTACCGGTTGGTCAGGAGGTAGGGGTGAGCCGAGGCACGCGGCTGAGAACTTGCTGGGGCCGCTTTTGCCGCAGCGTCCCCCGCTTGTCGGCCCCACTATCCTGTAGACGCAGATCCGGGGAAATGGGGCCGGCGGCACCATTCTTGACCACCGATCCGTTGCTGGCGATGACAGAAAAGACAACGTTCGAGAAAAAGGGAACATATGCTGATGAGAATGTTTTTTTGTCGTAACTGTACATCATGCTATACAGACAAGCCAACTTCATAAAGTCAATGTCGTGATGCAAACCCAAGGCATGTGTCTCCTGTTTCCTAACTCCTGTCTTCTCCAACTGCTCCAACTCCCCCAATCCCAACTCCAACCTCACTCATGCCGAGGCTTTTGTCCCCTCAAAACCTCTTCCTCTCCTTTCCCCTCAAATTCACCCTCCACAAACAGCACACACTCTTACTCTCACACCACTTCTTCACATCCTCTGGCGCCACCTCACCAACATACCCGACCCGCGCCAGCTGCCCTGAATTCAACCACGCCGTCAGCTCCTCAATAATAATCGGGTCAAACATTAGCATTTTCTCATGCCATGACGGGTTCTCCACGTCTGTTGACGGTGGCGCTGATGTGACGGCCTCAGTGATGTACTTGAACATATCGAGCTGGCGCGTCGTGGGGCTGGTGACCAGGGATGTATCGTCCGTTTCTTCAGTGACGCTGAGGTCCATGCCTTCGGGGGGCAGAGAGGAGAAGATTTCGGACTTGGGGGAGGAGAGACTGCCTTCGGATTCAGAATCGGCGATTTCGATTACTGACATGGGAGATTTGCGCCGGCGGGGGGTTGTCGCAGTGGTGGTGTGGGTGGGTGATTTTGAGCGTGCCCCGGATGATGTGGTTTTGGTTTTAGTTGTTTCCGCTGCAGTCGCTGTTGCCGTTCTGGTAGGTGACTTCCTACGAAGCAGTGACGTCGTAGATTTCGCAATAGATTTCGTAGTAGTGGTTTTACTCTTGCTAGATGTTGTGGCTGCAGCCGTGGGAACAGCCGTTATAGATGCGGCTGTGCCAGTCAGAAGTGGCCAGTCTTTTGATGAGACGGTAGCTGAAAGAACTGGAGGGAGTAAATCATCCGGCGCAACCAATTTCTCTGCCTCTCTTCTTACGGCAGGCTTGTAAGCTGTGGAAAGTATTACTGTTGGACTCCGTAGAAGTGCATTCCCGAGCTCCGAATCAACGATTTCCACGATTGGTTCGACCTCTGGGGGTGCTTCGGGTTGTGGTTCAGTTGATGCTGCTGTCGATTTTTCTGGGGCAGGTTTGGATGCTTGAGCCTTGGATGACTTTTTGGTAGTTTTTGTTGCGGTAGTAGCGGCTTTTGTCTTCGTGGCAGCAGATTTTTTCGTCGCCTTGGTAGTTGATGCTTTGGCTGCTTTAGATTCCGCGGGCTCGGCTGTCTCGGTCTTTTTAGGCCGTCCACGACCTTTCTTCTCTGGCTCTGGCTCCTCCTCTCCTTCCGCTTCCTTTCTCGTCTTGGATTCTGTCTTGGTTGTCTTCTTTTTGGTCGTTTTTGTTTCTTTTGCGGCTTCGGAAGTGGTTGATGTTGAACTCTTCCTGGGCCGGCCCCTCTTTTTCGGGGGCTCAGGCGGCGTCTCGTCGTCTGATGATGCCGCCGATGATTGCTTCTTTCTTGCTAGATTGGCGGATGTGATTGACATGGAAACCTGTGACAACCTGCTTCCCAGGCCGACCTTGTGCTTGCTTTCCCAGCACTGGTTGAGAAGCGCAATCATTGCTTCTCTCTTCTTGATGGCTTTGAAGCCATACGATGACACTTCTTTTGCTAACCTAGCATCCGTGTATAGCTCGAAGTTTGGTCGTGGCGGCATCTGCGACTGTGATGGTGCAGAATTGCGCGACTGCGACAACAACATGAGTTGCTCTTGGTTACTTGGCGGCGGCTCGAACTCAGGGCTTACATGCTCCCCGTCTTCAGAATCGTCAATTTGGATTAGGGGCGCGACAGCAGCTGGTTTTTGAGAGGAGGGCGGAGTAGAAGTCGCAGCTCCTCCCACAAGTTCCGACACGTCTGGGAAGTTATCAGAGTCGATCACAATCTTAGACACTCCGTTGGGGGAAGCAGGTTGGCTAAGATCCTTCACAGGAGCAGCAGCAGATATGGAGCCAATAACAGACGACACATCCGGAAACTCTGAGCTGTCATCGGACAGTAGTTCGATACGATCATTGACGGCAAATGATCTCGCTGCATTGTTCTCCTGGGATTTGCTACACAGCAGACGATCCAATGACGGAGAAGATGCCGTGAGATCGATCTCTTCCAGATCGACCAGGTCGCCGTTCTCATCCCTGGCACCGGCCGCCCAGAGCCCCGTCCCCGGTCGCTTCCTGATGGCCAGGTTGCTTTTCGTTACCGGGGAGCTGCCAGTGAACGGGTCGGAGTCTGTTTGGTTCGAGATCTTCATGGCCTCATGGACAGCCCTGAGCAGCTCAGGGTCATCCTCGAGAGCCAACTGACTCGCGGTCCCAAAGACGAAATCCTGTCGAGAAACCTCCTTCAAGGCGCTCTGCGGTGAGAGCAGGACCGGCTTAGGCGGCTCTTGCTTCTTTCGAGAAGCATTGCCCCTTGGTTTGATTGCCCGCTTTGTTGGCTTTTTTGGTACCGTCTTTGCTTCCTCCGTGCTTGCCCCCTTGTCGGCGTTAAGGTAACTCAACATGGAGCCCTGCTTGGGACCGTTCTCCCCCATGGCGACATCGCTATCCTCGGACACCCGATATGCGGCAGTAGCCAGCTCGGTCAATGTCCGCTGCTTCTTCTTAATCCTTGGTTTTGTCGGTGACGCTTCTGGTGATGGCTGCATCGACGACACAGATCCCATTTCGATCAGCTTTCGTTTTCCAAGCACCTCGGTTCGTGCTGGCGCTGCATCAAGGTCCGTGCGAGGCAGATCATCCTCTTTCAGGCCAAAGGTGTCCTGTAGATTCCTGAACACTTCCTTCGGTGAAGGTCGACCATCCTCCTCAGGAGAAAAGACCTCCTTAGTCGTCGAGGAATCGAGAGGCGGTAGCACCGAATTAAGATCACGAGGGGGTGTCCAATCCAGGCGTCGTGCCAGAGCCAGTTCTTGAGGAGCTGGCGCAAAGTGTCGACTGACAGTTTCGGTTTGCTTCCTTGACTGTGAGTCCTTTGCCGACGGCTTCGTCACCATCCCATTGGACAGCTTCTCCTGCGCCATGGCTCTAGATGCGTCGCTCATAGAGTTCACGTCAACCTTGCGGCTTGCGGGCTGGCTGTCGGCCTTGAGGCTGTCCAAGGAGAAGGCAGTCTGGGGTTGGTCGTCTTCCGAGTCGAGAATTATCGCATTTTGTGCGGTTTGTGTGATTGGCGCTTTCCCTCGGCCGATGGGCATGCTTTCATCTGATATGCCACTGCCTGACGACTGCCATGTTTTAGCAGCGCTAGTGAGAGTCTGTGGCGCATCATCGGGAATGGACGCGGCATGACCGCCATCGCGCAAGAACGGTCTTGGGTTCGATTTCAGGGGGAGGTCAGGGAGTAGTGGGAAGTCAGGCGAGGACGATATTACAATAGGGGACTGGTCTGCGATCATCTTGGCGGGCAGGAATGGAGATACTAAACCGATATAAGCCGGAGTGGACGCCCTAGTTCTTAAAGCAAGCAGCAGCGCGATGCGGCCAGCGCAAACGGGCCGACAGCGCACCAGAGCCGTGGACAACAATTTTGTGGGTTGAATCGCAGAGCTAACACGTCTGACTGTTGAAGTGCATTGGGACGTGGCCCAATTGATGTGCCAGGTCCTCGAGTGGCGTGCCGTCATCAAGCACGACGGACGCCGAACACAACAAAAAGGAAACATTGCATTGATGTCTCACAAGAAACGCGGCCCCACATTTCCACAGCGCGCCTTCTGCTGTGGCTGCGCGAAACATTCGCGCCATCAGCTGACTCTTTGCAGAATTCACTTTTAGACTGCGCACCTAGTGGGCTCCCATGGTCCGTGCTCGCCCCAACCCAACGCCCCACTAGCCACAGGCACCCACCAAATCCGCCAAAAGTGGTCGAAATTCGAAGCCGAGATCTGAAATTTGCAGTCCTGCTCCCCGACACCGCAACGCATCCCCCGAGTCTCGTCCTTCCGCAGAACTCGACACCAATCGCAAAAATGGAGAACGATCGCGGCGAGATTGTCGACCTGTAAGAGGCTTTTCCAGACGATGAATCTCGGGCATTAGAGAGCCCATGACGCATGCAGTCTTGACTGACACCACTCCCCCCAGCTACGTCCCCCGCAAGTGCTCTGCCACCGGGCGGATCATCAAGGCCAAGGACCACGGCTCCTGCCAAATCACTATCGCAAAGGTCGACGAGAACGGCCGTGCCATCCAGGGCGAGAACATCATCTACGCCTTCTCGGGTTTCGTGCGTGCCATGGGTGAGAGCGACGATGCTCTGAACCGCCTGGCCCAGCGCGACGGCCTGCTCAAGAACGTCTGGAGCGCCCAGCGGTAAATTGCGATCGCTAGCGATATTTGAAAGGGAGATGGTACGCCGACGCGTCATCAGGTGACAGAATTGGGCAACCACTGACACGTCACAGATGTGCGTTTTATGACCCGACGCTTCTCAGGATTTAGACGGCGGACGGAGGGACGACGGCTGGGACATGGTTTTTTGCGCTTGTCTTTGCGGAGCTGCATCTTTACCGGTAGCTCGATGGCGTCAACGGACATTGTCTCTCGGATCAAAATACACTGGCATCGTGATGACCTCGATTCGTCTCGCTTCTTTGTTCCTTTCACGTTTCCTTGGCCGCTTTCCTCGCCCTCTGAATTGTGACACCAACCGGCTAGCGAAGCCTCCTCGGATATGCTCGATATTAGAGGTGGCTGGAGCTACTTTGATAGCTTCCGTGCCGTAAATTAATCTCCAGGCCACGAAAAAGCCGTAACGAAGAGATCGCTCGTTATGGTACAGATACGGGTCTGACAATTTGTCACATGTTTCTTGGTGTGTGCTGGCGAGACCAGTAAACGTCTTAGCTGTCTTCTCAGAGCCCTCTCAGGATACTCCCCGCCCCCCCTTCTCCTTGCAAGACTGAAAACGAGGATTCCCGAAATCCCCTAAACCTAGTCCACTTCTCTACAGTACACCTTCCCGTTAACTTTCTCGAAGTCTCGAGATTACTTGCTACCAATTTGTCAGCAGTTGTATTGGTCCACTTGCTACCCCCTGAGCAGGCTCGTCCAACTTTTGAATCCAACCCAGCGATCTGCGAGGGATTTCTTGGCTCCTTAACACGATTGGCATTTGACCATTGGCCCTTAATCCAACCATATGGGCTCTTAGCCTCTTTATGATGGTTACCTGGGACAGTGTTCCGGCATCTCTTCTGTACCATTGACCCCATTATCTGTTAGAGGCAAGATGTATTGTTGGACGGATCATTTCAACTATAGCATTGGACTCTGCCATTTGAAAGTAGTGTCTTTTCTTGAATCTACACTAACTTTCTCAAGCATTTGTCAAACTATCTTTAAACCCTGTGTGATGGCATGCTCAAGCGCTGAAGATCTTCCTCAGCATATCTGCTCTCCGTGCGGATGTGTCTCGATGCGCTTCGTCCCTTGCCTGCCTTCTCTCTTCAGTCGGTTCTGTGAGCTTTCATCCATTTTCCGGGTCCTTTTATCCCAGCTTAACCAAACTTTCACCCATCCTAGTCCGAAGCGGCATTGTTGGACCGAGGACAGCTTCTCCCATAACAACACAGTCTCATCTCATTTTCTGAAGCTGCCTGTCTATGAGTTCATTAAAACTGTCGACTTCTGTTTCTTGGGGGATTTGTCTTATCGAATCGCCCTGACATTGCCTTTCCAGTGTTACCTAACTCCATGACTTTGGAATTGAAACCTGATCCAACGTAATCACTCTTGGTTGAATTCGAACTGCTTTTTAACCGTGAACGGACCCTGACTACTCTCAAGCTCTCGAAGATGGGGCCTTGGGTGGAAAACTTACCCCCCTGGCTAAGTAACTTCCTTCCGCCCTTTGTTGAAACTGGCTCGCCTCTACAAAGCCTCCCATCAGAATCACGATCTTGCATATTACATTCACCCTTTCCGATTTTTAAAGTCATCCTCAAGATACTTCATCTGGACGCGTTAAGACCCTACCTCAACTGAACTCCAAGAGCTCGTCCTCCTCCCGAAAAACCTTGCCAAGGCCCCTCTTGGAGAGATCGATTGGAGAAGTCAGGTACCAAAACGCCCACGAGCTTTTCATACAGCCAGTTTGGCTTTTAAACCCGAGTGACCTGAGGTCGGGGCCTGTACTAATGGCTTTGGCAAGGCACAGAGAGTGAATGTAGATCAATGAGTGAACGCGGTGCGACGCATGAAGTCCAGGCTACCGAGTACCTTCCCTCATGTCATTGGCGATATTGTTGAAGTTGAAGGCGGTGAAATAAAAACCCTTTAACTCCCAGTAGGAGTCGAGGGTATTCCGCCAAGGCTAATGTTAGCAACCAGCTGCATGCCAGGTGAGATGCGGCCGCCTCTCCCAGAGCCAACTTCCCATTTGACCAAAGATCTATCAATTTTTTTGTCGCAGTTCATGCTTTGCAGGGTTCTGATAACAAAGTCGAAGCCAACTGAAGAGCATTATTTTAATCTGAATTATCGAGAAACAGGACTATCAAGAAGTTAGTTTTGGACATGGATAGCCTTTTACAACCTCGTAAGGTGCCGTGAACAAGGCGGAACCCGATTATACGAACAGCGCGAGCTGAATCAGTTACGCTCCTTCTAGCGCTAGGTCAAATGCCCTCAGACAGCCTTTTGTCCATGCTCTTCAGGTTAAGTTCCTTATTTCATGACGTGCTCATGGATCACTGGGAGACAGACACAATGCCTGTTAGCTGTCTGCTTGTCACCATCTATTGCTTGTGAAGATCACATGCCATCAACTAGAGAACCATGGACGAGGAATATAGTCCTAAGTGCCAACGACGACGCTCTTCCTGCCCATGGCATCCATACGCGCCATTGTTTTTCCTCTCCTGTGGGTGTTCAGACGAAGAAGAAGACGAATGTTGACAAAAAGTCTAAGAAGACTATACCAAGCCCAAGACAATAACGTGGTGCTGATTATCACCCAGTCAACCTTTCATTACTCTTCTTAATTCTGACAGCACAGGTACAAAACATGGAATGTGCCAGCCAATACCAGCACCAGTGTAGACCTAACGGAGGAGTAACGGTCGCTATATCCAGCAACTAGCCCCTCGAGACCCATATTTCTAGCTACGTCCGACAGCAGCCCTAGGTCTATTCACTCGCTCGGATTGGTGTTGACACCAACAAGAGACTTCAGAAGCCTGCTTCTCTCAAGACCATAAATGACCAACACAAGCAGCTCCTGAACCCATCAGTCCTCCACTGCGGACAAAGTCACAAACGATCTTTGGGTTTCTCCCCAGCGGTTGACTCTCACTCCCGGACGGAGCAAACCTTCTCTGCACATGGCTCCAACCTCTGGTGAGAGGCTACGTTCGACTTTGCAGTTAATGCTTTCATGATCAGCAAGTGGTTTGAGCAACGGGCTCTATTATCGCGCCTTACATTGGGCTCAAAATGAGGGCGGATAACCAAGTCTGCCCCAACAGCGGGTTAGGCCATCAACCTCCTGGTCTCAGCTCTAACACTTGGAGCAACCACCAAGATAATCCCCCTCTCTTCATGCCACCCAACGAACGCACGAACTGCCAGTTCCAATTGAAATCTTCCTACCGCCGGCTGCGGCCCATCGTAAACTAATTGCGGGCTCCGATGGCGGGCACCAGATTGATCCACTTCGTACCTGCCTATATCGGGCTCAAAGGACAAGCATGGGTTCGCCTTATCGGCTCTAACAGCGGACGCGCAAACTATCAATTCTACTTCGACAGCCCGCCACCACCGGAGGATATCGGAGCCATGACTTCGCCCGCTGTTGCTTCACCGGCGACAACCTGGACCAGGCACCTCTATCAGCATCGACAGCGGGTGCCGGCACCGGGTTGACCTCCTGCTCTCAATGCCAGCGACGCCAGCAGCATTCGACCTTCCAACTCGGGTTCACATCCCTCCGCCTGCAACCGCCGGCCGTGACTTCAGCTGGCATTATAAAGCAACAGCCAGCTCCGATAGCGGGCTGGGTACAACCCTCTCGCCTTCCGCCCGACACCGGGCGCTCGGGCGATACGTTACCTATTGTCTCCCATGCTAGGCACTACTATATCACTCTCCCAATCGATTCGGAACCGCAACTGTTGTAACCCCTCTTGTGCCTAGTATACTGCAGCCAGTGTCCTATCAGCCGCAAGCCGCAATCTACTTCTCACGTTGATCATCTGGGTCAACCGCCGGCTGCTGCTGCTGCTACTGTATGTTGCGAGATTGAACCTTTTTGGACTTCTCTCGGTGTAGACTCATTCACTGGTAAGTATAGTGATATCTCTGCTTACTTACCGAGTAGTCCTTCAGGGACTATGAGCGCTGACAACTAAAAAATGGGTTTTCATGAACTTTGACGTTAAATGCCACAATAATATGCCACGTAAGTCGGAAGGCATCCGGCAACAATGCTTTCCAGACTTAGCACTGAAAAGATGATGGCAACTCTCCATGTCCATGAAGCCGGCCAGGGGTTTCATATGGGACGTTCAGGTTGCCAAAAAGGGCTAGGTTGACGTCATTGATTGTCCCAAGATGAAGCCCAGAGCAAAAGGTCAGTAAATTGCGTCACCACCTGCAATGAACTGCTGGTATAAGTCAGGGCTCGGGTATAAGAGACAGGATATCTGACCCCTTGGCTGAATACATCAGGTTGATGAGCGTTCATAAACTCTAAGCTTTTTGAAGCCTTCTTCAACCAACGAATTATATACTGTGAGCAGTCAAGAGCAATAACCATGTCCGAATCCAAGTTTGAAGAGGGCACGATGAAGCCTGTGCCCCAGAAGTCCCAGGCTCAAGACCTACCTGGGTGGGTTATCGCTCTGTGTCCAGGTTCTAAAAGCCAAAAATTGCTGACTTTCTCCCAGTCTTGAGAAAAAGATGGAACCCTCCAGCGAATCAACAAAGCTAGAAGGCAAAGGCCAAGCATACGAATACCTCGCAGCAGGCAAGCTCAAAGGCTGCAAAGCTCTCATCACAGGCGGAGAGTAAGCCCCTATCTACCCATCATGTCGAGACATAACCCCATCAGTCCCTTATTAACACCGTGCTCCGTCTCAGCTCTGGCATAGGCCGCGCAGTAGCCGTTCTCTTTGCACGCGAAGGCGCCGACATAACAATCGCCTATCTCCCCGACGAGCAACCCGACGCCGAAGACACCGGCAGAATGGTCGAAGCTGAAGGCCACCAATGCCTTCTAATTCCAGGGGACTTAACAGACTACAAACATTGTGAAGATGTCGTCAAGAAGCACGTCGACAAGTACGGGGTTATCCATGTCCTGGTCAACAACGCCGCTAGACAGGTCATGTGCGACGATTTTGCGAAGATAGATATGGGGACGGTAGAAGGGACGTTCAAGACAAATATTTTGAGCATGTTTGCTTTGACGAAGTATGCGCTGCCGCATATGGAGAGGGGAGGGTCGTAAGTTTTCCCTGACTTCAGGCTTCAGGAGGGTTGAGCTGACTGGTCAGTATCATAAACACAACCTCGACCGTTGCTTTCAGGGGCACAGGCGCCATGGTCGACTACGCGGCCACTAAAGGCGCCATCGTTGCGTTCACAAGGGCGCTGGCGGTGCAGCTCATGCCAAAGGGTATCCGAGTCAACGCGGTCGCGCCAGGGCCGGTACACACGCCGCTGCAGCCAGCATCACGGCCGGCAGAGCAGATGGAGGGTTTTGGCGGCAAGTCGCGTATTGGGAGGATTGGACAGCCAAGTGAAATTGCGCCAAGTTTTGTATTTTTGGCGAGTAAGGACTCGGAGTTGTACTTTGGGCAGATATTACATGCTTATCCGTTGGGTGATTAAAGGGTCGTTTTAGCCCGGGATAAGCGTCAGGGGACTTGAGGCTAGGATTCAATATGATTCCTAGAGAAAAGAAGTTGCACCGTCTCAAAATTTTTGACAGAGGTTGATGCAGCAAGCCTTTGCTTAAACTAGATGACACTACAAGGTTGAGGTTATGTCTGTTGGCGCTTGGAAAGTACAAAGGGGTTTTGATGGAGAAACCCTAGAGGTTAACTCCGGAATTGATGGAAATAAAAAGACCGAATTAGGGAATGATATCTAAGGGTTCACAAGATCTAGAAAAAGGCTTGTACTCAGCAGAGAACAACATGTAATTTGAAGTTAACCAGGAACAAGATGGCGATGAGGTGGTCGGTGGAAGAAACAGGAAGCTAAAATCGAGCCTGCCTTTAACTTCGCCCTGTAGGGCCCCTGTTCGAGGCCCATTTCCAGTTTCTGATTGGTCGCCTAGCCCTCGCTAGAGCGCCCCGTTTCCCAGCTATCAGCGGGGAATATACCCGTCACAGCGGGCAGGGCTCCTGAACAACATAAGCTGCAGCTTGAAGCACAAGATTCCCTGTGAGAGATGCCGGTCAAGCTGAAAGGTACCTATCGATCAGCCTGCAGTTCGCCGTCCATCCGCTGTAACACATTTCCCATGAGCCAATCTTAGTGCCTGCATGGTCGCGATGTTCGTCCCAAATCTGCTAAGATATCCGAAACCCCTCCTTTTAGATCTCGGTCACTCATCGAGCCCTCCTTGACGAACTTCTTGTGATAGCACTAATATCTTCCGTTATAGCCTTACCGGAGATCAAGACCCCTCTTCCTTTTGACTCCCAACAAAAAGACCATCATCAGAGTTGAGGACCCAAACATTCCAACTCTACCCCAAAACCAACTCACAACCCCGCTTAGACCTCAAACATGAGCCCCTCCTCCGACCAACCACAAGAAACAACCCTCCCTCCCATAGAACCCATCAACCCCTCCCTCGTAACTTTCACCATCGCCACCCCGCATCAACGTATCCTCTCCTGGAGACTCAACGGCGCTTCCTGGGCCTCCCCTCTCACCCTAGACCAGTATGTCGGCCGCGAACAGACCCTCTCCGAAACCGAGCTTTCCGCCAACGGCGGCACCCTCTACTACATCTTACACCACCGTGATGATCCGGAGCTGATTATCTCCGCGTGCGAGGTGACAAGTAAAAGGCTTGTTATCGCGGGTCCGGGGACGAATGGATCGAAGGTGGGAAATGGGTATGCCATTGCGAGTGTGTTTACGAATCCGAGGTTCCGGAACCAGGGGATGGCGAGTTATTTGTTGAAAAGGGTGCAGGAGGAGGTGGATAAACGGGGGGATGAGTGTGGGGTGTTGTATAGTGATATTGGGAGGGTTTTCTATACGCGGTTGGGGTGGAAAGATTTCCGCACACCACAGTTATTGGCTGGTATTGAGGGCGACGCTACGGCGTTTCCTGTCCCTGAAGGGGTTGAACTGCTCAACGAAGATCAGGTTCGCAAACTGTGCGAAGACGACGTCAAAGCCGTGGAGGAAGAGTTCTCCAGACTGGCGGCTGCCCCCGATGGCAAGACACACATCGTTTTCTTGCCAACCCCAGCTCAATTCTCATGGCACTTTGCTCGTGACGGATACGTTTGTCCCATTCTGCGTAACCGTGAGGTGCAGTGGCGCGGTGCGCGCACAGAGGATGGGCTGGCTTGGATCGCGTGGGACCATGATTTGCGCGAGAAAAAGCTCAAGATTTTGCGGATCGTGTCACGTCATTCAGCTGAGGAGAAAAAGAAAGCGGTGAAAAGACTTTTGCTTGCTGCCATGGCTGAGGCAAGGGATTGGGATGTGCCCAAGGTGCTGGTTTGGGAGCCGAGCGAGGAGGTGAGCGTTGCTGCGACGGAGATTTGGAGGGAGCTTGGCCCGAAGGTATCGCTTGTTTTCGAGGAGAGGGAGGACGGATCGATTCCGAGTCTGAGGTGGCAGAACGGAGAGAACAGGGAGGTTGTTTGGCATCACAATGAGTACTATGGTTGGTGCTAAAGGGTAGGTCTTGCATGGTGATGGAATCATGAAGATCTTGTTAGGCAAACAATTACGACAGGAACTACCATTACTCGGGTATCTCGCTTTAAAACACAGCAACACTATATAATACACACTACCTTTTATCATCTGGTGCAATCTGACCCTCACTTTCCCTCCTCGGTTCAGTCAGAGCCTTAACTGTCAGCTCGAATCCAATCATGATAGCCGTCTCAATACCCTCAATCACCGACTCCCCCTCCTGTGTCATTGTTTTGCGCCAATTGCTCATCAAACCAAACTTGGCTTCCAGGATCTTATGCACGACCCTACCCGCTTGAAGTTGGCTTTGTGCAGGGCTTAAGCAGTAAGCCTCTAACGCCTGCTCAACGAGTTCCTGGATCGCCCCCCAAAACATCACCTCCAAAGCCGGGGACATGGCTTCTCTCATGGTATCCCAAACATGATGGCGTTGTGGATCGGTCATGTTATGCGACGCGACCATCTTCCTTTCCTGACTGTCGACTTTCAGCGCCAACCGCTTGACATGTCGGCTCAAGTTCTCCTTCACCTTCTCAGGCAAGTTTAGATCCACGATGTTTAGATGCCGCTGCACCTGCTCGCGTAAACCGTCCGCCGCACCAGGGTTCTCAAGCCACGACCTGACACCAGCCATCCAAAAGCTCATGGTGTCCTCATCGCCCTTAAACTCTTCCCTACCAAGCTGCTCCGCAACGGCGGTGATGTGATCAACCACCTTTCCCAAACAGACCCCAATAGAAGCATACCTCGTCTCTCTCCAAACCGCATCCCACAGAAGCTGCTCAATGGTCTCCGAAACCTGGTGAATCCCAAGCTCAACCATGAGAACATGATGCAGGGCATCTGTGGTCGTCAGTGACGGGTGAACATCATACAGCCCATCGAGATCCGTCGCCTCCTTCAGCCCCACAAAACGCTCATGATACGGATGAATTATAGTAACATAAATCGGGGGCGCATCCTTCCAGTTCTTGACAGCGTTGTAGAAGCACTCCACGATGGAAAACTCATCCTCTCCAACGGAGCCAATTAGCAGGTACAGAAGACACCCGCCGAGAGAAGCCATTAAGAATTTGAGCATATCCCAGAGGACAGTGACTGACTGTCTGCCGCGGAGGAATGCTTGGGGAGTCATGTTAAACTGGAATAGAGCGGTTGGCCTTTGCTGCAAGATCTGAAAGATCAGACTTGACAGTGCGGTGTGGACTGTCATGCCTGGTGCCCAAACCAAATATGCTGAGGGGATATCTGGTGCTAATCGACGCTGCTGGGCTGACCATTGCAAAGCATGTTGGTAGTCTGGCGCGTCGCAAAGGCCCTGGCTTAGACGTGCCCCGCCAGTCACTTTATATGACAAAGTTGAGGGAGACGAGGAAGGTTGAGGGATGGTAGATGGCAGGTGGCGCTGCTCGACCAGAAACCACGGTTCCCAAGCTTGAGAAGTGACTCTGTATGTGGCGGCAAGGTTCTCATAATAGTATGCTTGGTCTTCGAAGCCTTTGAAAAGGATGTTTTTGATATCGAGGAAAAGACGGTGCGGCGAGCCTTCAGGCATATCTTGCCTTTGTTTTAACAGGTGTCGTCCTCAAATGCAGGGAATGGAGCTTACTGTTCAGTTGTAATTCCAGCTGGTTACGGTTGAGTCCACATTCCACACGATTCTGCGCAATGAGGGCCTTGAAGAAATTGTGTTGCACGCTGTATTGGGATTGTTGGAAGTGGTGATCGCGTATATCTCTCTCAACTCCGGCTTCTTTTTCAATCTTGTCCACCAGTGTCTTGACCTGCTCCATGGTTGCGCCAAACCATGTTGGATACGGCCTTACCCATGCCTCGATTCTTCGACCTAATTGACGTCAGCTGCAATCTTTGCAAAAGTGGCAAGGGAGCGCAACTCCTTACGGATGGGGCTTCGCTGGAATTTTTCGTTCACGTCCTTCAAAAGATTGACAACGACTGTGTAAAGCGAGGAGGTCAGTTGGAGCATCTTCGGGGTCGGATGGAGTTTGACTAGGCGTTCCACCCGAGAAAGAGCCAGTCCGATCTCAATCAACATATCAGTGACTTTGTCTAGCAAATCCTTTTGGTTTTTCACCATCTGTCAACGTCAGCAATGCGATTTTACAATGAACCCCGGTGACCTACCATCATCATCAGCTTGATTCCTCCCCAAATCACGGCCAAATGCGAGCAGTCGGCCTGAGAAAGGACGTCAAATACGCCATAAAATATTGCAACGTTTCGAGAAACTTAATCGCTTTACTGCTTTTGGATTCATGAACAGAGTTGTGCAACAGCTCCAAAGCTAATTCAGCCAAGTCGTGAGGTGTGGTATCCTTAAGGATAGCGGCAACATCCAGTTTCAGGTCTTTGCTCGACTTCCGAATGGACATCGCTGCCGAAGCCCAAGCGCGCTTGACCTCATCATAATGCGTATCGCAACGTTCAATATCACCAATTTTCTTATGATCAAACGGTACTACCTGGGCATTATACGGTGGCGGTGAAGGAAATAATTCTGCTGAGCCGTGCGGACTTGATGACAAGCCGAGTCCCAGGCTTGAAATCGACGAGGATGATGAAGATGATGATGATGACGGACGGTTCCATGGTGACGTTGGAGTAAAGAAAACCGAACCACCCGACGACGTAGAGGAAATTGAGGTCGATGGTGCAGAAGATAGCGGACTCCACGGCGGAGGAGGTGACGATGGGGCTAGCAACGCGGTTGATACTGGCTTGCCCTCAGGACTCCAGGGGTTACGGAAGGTGATGGCATTCTGACTCGGTGTCGTGGGTAGTTCACCCGTTTGTGTACCCTCAACGGCTTTCTTGAAGTTGACTCCCAGACCATCCATAGTGCAAGATCTCGGAATTCAGCAGAGTAAACTTAATCCAAGATGGTACTCAACGGACCAAATCCCCTGATAACATGAGTGGGTGTGTCTGGTACAACGTTGTGCTTACAAGCTTGCGAGGGGAGCACGGGAGGAGAAGAGGCTGCGAAAACAGGATGATCAGCATTTAACAGGAGTTGGACATATAGGACGAGCTGCAACTATGTTGGTGCTCAGTGTTGTAAACTTGACATGTCTAGAGAACTTGAGAAGTAGGTAACTTCACATTAAAGTCAACCTTGGCGAATTGATCTTCTTGATGGCCTCCAGTCTCAGGACCTACACTCCCGGAATCTTCTTCACCTGGTCGTTTGATGCAGTTCGAGCCGAGTTGATTGAAATTGGAAGGACTGACTTGCAGTCATCGTCCCCAGCTCACCACACGTGCGGGCCATCCAGTCGGATCCCCAAACAATTGCCCGAAAGCGACAGGGGCCTGTTGCAGGGCGGGGGGCGGGGGTCAGTGAACAACAAAGAACTCAATGACCGCGCCTCCTTTCCGGGGGGTCATTGGACCACGCCACGCACTCGCTAGCATGCAAGTCTCTGCGCTGAAGAATTGTACGGTCCAATCACCATCAGACCTGTTGCTAAGCTCGAGGCGAGAGACCGGCAACGCAGGGGCTCTCTGCCGCTTTTGGTCAAAGAGCATGCTCTGTGGACGGCCCTTATCAACACAATTTTGGTCAAATCTTGAGGCTTTGCGTGATTGAACTTGCGTCTTTCAAGGCTGTAACCGCGCTATCGAGCACCTCCAGAGGCTTTGCTGGCTTCGGTGTGCATGATGGCGGAGGCTTGACCTTGATTCAAGACGGCGATCTTATCAGCTATCTCATCAATCTCTTATCAACGAACATCCCTAAAATTAGGGTAACCAGTGCGAAGCCCAGCCATGGGAGTTTTCATGGTCGAGATGGCCAAAGTATAGAATACAGGGACGATTTCTCCGATGTTTTACACAAGCTGAAAAAAAAGGTTTGGGGCTTTTTGGTGAGAAGGAAACGCTCGGCGCTAGGCTTCAAATGTTCGAGGCAGGATGCGTCACTCTTAACCCTCGCCCCTCTCCTTGACAACTTCATAGTTTTCAAACAAGTTCCCCCAGGGCAAAGTGAATATATTCTGGAGTTAATTATTCGAAAAGTCGATTAAAAAAATAAGGAGATGCTACCAAACAATCAACGCTCACATAGCCACAAGGTTCTTTTTCAAGCGATGCTGGAGAAATTGTTGTGATCAGTGAACTTGGCCTCTTGATCAGATCCACAGCCCCCTACGACTTTCAATTTTCCGCTGGCAAAGGTCCTTCATGCCAAGAAGGCCCACTTTTGGTTCCTTCTGACGACAAGGCAGCAGCCCCACAAGGCAAAGCAGCCTCACCTCACCAAAGAGCTTCTTGGTCTTAAGCTATGGAGACCTGACTTCATTGAAAGGAAGTCGCGATTCAGCCCAAAATTCTGACGTTTCCCAGTTGTGAGAGTTTAAATCGTCAGGCTGGACTCTGTGGTCCCCCTATCAACACAGACCCCCAAGTTTTACCAAGGAATCCCCCAGTTCTAGACGCCAAGCTTCCGCAACATAGGGTCACACAGCAGGCCTTGACAGCAACATCGCTGCTCAGCAGTTTTTCTGCTCGATTTAGAGACATCAAGCCGGTTATCTCAGCTCTTGCTGTAATGCTGCTCTCATTGGCAGCCTCGAATTCGAAGATAATCCTTGATATTGGTCAGCTGAAAGCGATCCCCGAAATCATTGTCGACAGCGAAGGACATACCCTTGACCTTCTTCCCTTCCATCAGTTAGAGCTTTAACCGCCATGATTGCTCAGCCCCTCTGGAGGCAGCTACCCGCCACCGCCCCCGGCATTCCAGCCCTCCTTGTGTCAACGACCTTTGGGCATGATTCTTACAGCATCCATGTCACCGACCTCGCCAATGTGTGGGTTGAGAGCCTAGAACGTAGGCATATCATAGGGCGAGCTTACACCACAGGATCAAGCATCGATCCTTGCGATGGCCCTGACCAGTTCCGCAAGCTGCTCGAACTTATCGGCGCAGCCTTCGATGCGAACGACAAGGACCACCCCAATATCTCCATGACCTTGACCAGGGGAGCTGATGACTCACTTGAGATTGAGATTATTTGTGTTCTCCCCAGGCCTTTGGAGCCCTTCAAGTGGCCAATGGTCCTGAAAAAATGCCCACAGTCAACGCTAGCGTCGGAGTTGGTGTTGCCCCTGATTCAGGCCCAAGAATCTCATGCCAGGGAGATTGACCAACTATGCTCGCTCATTCACGAGAAAGATGTTGTAATCAATCGTCTAGTCGACAAGCTTGAAGCCGCAGGCATTGGGCTGGAACATGTATTCTATGCTTTGTCAGGGAAACGCAGAGTTTCTCGTTCTGTTGCTGAAAGCAAGGTTGGAGGACTTGTTCGGTTCAATGAGGCTGAGTTCAGGGAAAAGGCTTCACAATCTCAGTCTGAGTCCGGGCCTGGAGACGTCTCCTCTCTGCTACGCTCCGTGTTCGGAACCAAAGGGCTACAATACAAGTCTAATATGGACTTGGAAGCGTCCTTGGTTCTCAACGACTGGTGGACGAAGTTCAGCAGAGGTAGACGCATAACCCTTTCCAAGCTTGAACAGCAACAACAGACAACGGCTCCTCCACTTCAACGAGAGCCAACTCCTCCGAAGGACAAGGACGATGACTTTCAGGTGCACACAACGCCATCACGGCGGGATCAAACGCAAGAACCCCCGTCCCGAAAACGAGTCAGTTTAGCTCGGCCGACGACCGCTGACGATGACGAGACTGCCTCCAGCGGAGATGATGAGACAAGTGAGCCGCCACGTTCCGCAAAGGCCCTTACACCGTCAAGGGACCGTCTTGGGCCAATTGGCGGGAAGAAACCTCCATCCCCCTCACCTCCACCACCAGCCGAGTCTCAGAAGAGTACATCATCCAAGACCATGGCCATAGGTGGTGACTCAGAAACCGACTCTGGCACAGCGTCTGAACCAGATAATGATGCCATGGACACTTCTCCCCCGAAGTCACCACCAAGGCCTCAACCTAGGCGCGGGATGCTAGGCCAAATAGGCGGGAAACCCAAGCCAACCCCAGCTCCCGAGCCGAGACGCTCTCCTACTCTAACAGCCTCTGCTCCGCAAGCCAGCCCTGCTCCCAAGCGTCATAAGTTGGGCGTCATCGGAAAGAAAGCTGCCAGTCCTACGTCAGAGGATAGGGGTGCAAGCACTAGTGATGATGACAGAGGCAGGAGTAAAGACCCTGTAGCAGAGAACAGGGGAGAAGAGCGGCCGAGGGAGACGTCTCAGGAGCGGGCTGATAGGAAGCGGGCTGAGCTCGAGAAGAACCTGAAGAAGAAGGCTACTGCTGGGCCGGTGAAGAAGAAGCGTAAGTTCTGAGTTACAGCAACCCATTTGCTGAAGGTATTTGCACAGTTCCAAAAGCTGGCGTCCTTTGAGAACATCGTTGACATCCTGTTCGGTTCTCTTACGCCTTGGACTGTAAGCAAAGTGATGTCATGGCCTAATATCGGGGAGGACTCCTTCACGTCGGCTTTGCATCACTGACTCTGGGGTGATGAGACAATTCGAAACTGTCTGTTGCCAGTCCATCTGCAGCCCGAGGCTGGCTGGCGATTGACTTTACCTGCAACCAGGCTGGTTGCATTACTTCACGGCCGTCAGATTATGTTATCTGCCATACAAATCATAATATCAAGATAATCACAGCTACGTAACTCTGCACCAACGTTTAGTTAGCGTTTACTCCGCGGCCAGGTCTTTGTGACACTTGTGTCCATCTCCCTTAACCATCTTAACGCTAGAAAGCTGCCTAGTATGCACACATCCGCTTCCAGAAAGAGCCATTTCTAAGACAATCGTCTCTCTCGTACAAAATAAAGCCTTATTTCCCTTTCATAGGAGCCAAGACGGATCTCTAGGCGGCATCATTCCCACTTTCAGGCAGGTTCCCGATCCTGTACCAGGCTGTCCCTGCCTTTGTATCCCCATGTTAGTCAAGTACCTTGCGTCTTTTTGACTTGGAGAAACATGAGAACATCTAAAAAAAAGAGAGGGCCTAGACTTTGTTGAGGAGAGGGGTTTAAAAAGCCGGTGACATCCGAGTCGGATGGAACATCAACTTCCCTAATCTGGGTTGTAGCGCAATTACTGAAGGGGAACAGTTATCAGGCAGGAGCTATTCGGTTAGCTGTAACCAGGCACAGATAGCGTTACTGTCTACTACTCAATAGCCGTACCGTTTGAGGAAGTGCTATTCTCACCCTCTTCTCCTTTTGGCTAGAATTTGGCACAGTCCATACGCAGGACCCCAGCATATCAGGCCGCTCTGGAACCAGGACACTGACCAATCGTCCAGAGAGGTGTTGCAAGTGTTCGTTACGAGCCTACACCGAGGTGAAAACTGCCAGTTCCAGGACGGTGAGATTAACACAGAGGTTGTCATGTCGGCTAGCATGGCCTGGTGGGTTGAGTTGGAATAGGGAAGAACCTAAGTTCCCTTCTTGGGACAGGAAATGAGCGTTTGATGCGTACACGAGTGAACACGATGGAGTACAGGAGGTCATACGATGTCTGGGAATTTGAACCTAAGCAAAGAGTGCCTCTTGTTGAAGTGTACGGAGACAGCACAGCCACGTTCATCCCTCAGGGTAGATGACATGGCTGTGTAGAAAAGCTCTGTTTTTTGGTCTTCCTTCCAGCTGTTCAAGTCCAGGGCCTTCCAGGCCAAACTCTGGGGGTAAACCTGGGACGCTTTCACAAGGCACCCTATCCCGTTACCGCGCCTTCCTCGCTCCCCTCTCGCAAGACCGCCCCAAGCCCAAGGTGCTGATCATCTAGACTCCGAGCCTAATGACCCGGAGCAGGTCCCAACGAGGTACATACTTGGGGCCGGCCGGTTTCAAGAACCTTCCCCCTGTACTAGTACACTGCATTTTTTCTAACACACGCTGGTTTTACCCTATGCAGCTTTTTCCCGGAGTTACCTGTATTTAGTCCAACTCAGGTAGCTTTTGCCCGCCGGCGTCGTGAGCACGACCCAGCACCCTCGGGGGTGAACCCGGTCAAAAAAATAGAATAAATAAATAAATAAATAAATCTCTGTCTGGAACCACTGTTGCTAGCCTGTTTTTTCTTTTTTCATACAGTCCCCAAAAACCCGATGTGATCATGATGAAATCATCGACTTAAGTCCAGGATAGCATCGACAAAGCCACCAGGTTCTGAGCAGGCTTGCAATTACAATGCTGAAACATAGCGCAAGTGATTTGATGAGATGGAATTAAGATGCGACTAGAGGTACATTGCACTGCCATCACCACTATGGTTAGCTAGAGTACAATTAATTCTGTCTCCTAGTTTATAGCGTTCTTGGTGTTTGGATGCTGGTATCTATAAACACTGTTCGTGTAATAACTAGCATTATGCATTCCAAGCTCAACAGTCTTCAGTTATTCTTCAACTTCTTTTGCTTATGGCTTTGAAGAAGTAAACTGGGAGAGTCTCGTGCCTCAGTGACTAGGCGGGTGAATATTCAACAGCCAGCCACAAATAGTTGTCATCTAGAGCCTCGCATGAAGAGTTCAGCTGGCTGCATTATGCAAGACATATTGGTATGCTTCGAGAACTTTGAAGATCCTGGTTATCATCACCATGCCCCAAATCAACGCTGGCTTCCAATCTGTTAACTAGGGTTAGTTACGAATATATTTACTCATGTTAGGGATATCAGGGTTGGTGAGCTATGTAAATACAGGTACCCATTCTGCTTGAACATATTATTCTGGCTAATTAATGAAACGTTCTAGACTATTACGCTGTCCTTACTCCAAATACGTAGACCCCTTCAATGTCATGGACCTCGAAAATTTGTCTTCGATTCTGACAACTATTGAGTCTTAGAGCGGTGAAAGTCCCAATCCGCCCACCAGGTGTTGTGCAACATCACCAGCATCTTGGCGCATATTGCTGACAACCTTTTAGTCCGCCAACACACCGCAACCTTACTCTATTCCATATGCTCTATCTGACAGCTCAACAAGAAGCTATCTGGATGCATCCCTTTACTATCATTTCATTAGACACGATGGAATTTCCCCCGAGTGGGTCTCATGACTTAGAATTCACTCTCGCCTATCCTTGAATCCCACCCATAAAGCGATACCGAACTCCTTCTGCACGAGTCGGAACCAACTTATGCACCGGCATCAGCCTTGCATTCCCGTTCCTTCATCATCCCATCTCCATCATCTGGTTCGGCGACTCATCTTGCTTTTCCGACAGGTCCGATCCCTTCCGTTTCCCACAAGCCTGCAACAGCCCATCCGTCACGCCAAAAAAGAATCTCCTCAGCCGCCCGGAGAACCTACAACGGAAGCCCTGCTACCCGCCGACAAGTTGGCTGACAGCCGTTGGTTGAATCGGTAGTGCGAATTGTAAAGGGGCACCCAGCTCCCCCATCTCGCTCGGGGACCTCGCTGACAGAGATTGGAATTTTGGTGTGCAGATCATCCGCTTGGGACCTAACAAGGTAACTCACCCCAACTCTACCCGGGATTATCGGATACCTTGAGGGTGTTCAAGCCTCAACAGCGATGGCTTTGCTTTAGCATAGCTGAAGGGCCAGAAAGGATGAGGGCGGAAGGGCTAAGAAGTACGTCATTGGGAGGATTAATTTCTGCGCGGGGGCTAGAAGTCCATGAAGTTTCGGGGTTTGGAGAGACAGTGGCTCTTTAAGCCTCAACTGCGGGTTGTATGGGGCTGTATGTATGTATGAGGGGACATATCCGACATGCATATCGCCAGGCTACTTGGTAACAAAGAGAGCTGTCATGTGTCAGACATTTGTTGATAAAATACAAGTAAATACTAGTAGAGAAGCTGTCAAGACCGTGTTATCTAGACAACCAAGTTGTAGTCCCGAACCCCCATCCCATCAACACGGAAATCTCAACTTTCCTGTCCGGTCCCGGTACCCCGGATCCTGTGAAGTGCCATTGGCGATCAAATCTTGATCCGAGCGCCATTACGCCGGGGGATCGCCGACAAGACCATCCGGGTGGTGCCCGGGGGACCGAGTTGGTTGGTTGGTCGGAACATGAGCAGGGTGTGTAATGGGTTTGACAGAGACAAAAGATGCCGACACCCGACCGGGAAGGGCTGCCTAACTCAGCTATAACCCCAGGGCAGTGATCCAGTGAGTCAGCCACAGCATCCTTACCTCCCCTGTCACTGGCATGTCGTCCTGTTAAAGAAAGTGGGGCAGCCACTGGCAGTCAGTAGCGTTCACTTCTGGTCGACGGAGGGGGTGCTTGCTAAGAGATGGTGCTGTGCGAGAGGGAATGGGGATATTTTCTCGGTTTTCTTGTTGACGTGAACTGTCCGAGGTTGTGGATAAAATAAACTAGGATCGACAGGTTCAACTGCACTACACACATGAGCGTCATTATCACAACCGCCGGATGGGAGAGACAGCGTGTGTTGTCTCGGTCTCTCGGGCTCAGGAATGTCATCAACATTGATTGGACAGACCACATCACCCTCTTCACGTGCTTGAATGCAACGTGATAGGTACATGTGCATGACAAGGTTAAGAGACTGGGCCAAAAGAGGGAAGTGATGGTATATAGTATGGCATGTCTCAAGAGGCTTTCGGTCCTGCAACGGTACTCGAAATGAGACACGGGCCGAGAATTCCAGTGTGCGGCGCAGCATCATGGATGGGTGCTCACCTGGGCGGCTAGGAACCTGGATGGTGGCTAACGTAAAATCAGCCGCCATAGGTGGTGCAGCTTCTTCGACGGAAAATTCATGTTCCTAATGAGAAAGAACAATATGAAGTGTTAATGACGAGTTAGAGATTACTGTGGCCATTTCCAAGACTTGGAACTGTCGGCGAGCCTGGTAGACAGTGTGAGGGCTGCGCAATAATAGGTCATTTACTGAGATGTCTCACTCTGTTGCACGGGTTGGATCGGGGTTGAGTGCTTGGCAAAAGGATCGCAATGGCTTTGTCTAGACCACCTGCTGAGAATACGATGATAGTTGATGAGTTCGTATTGTGATGGGTTAGATTTTCCCCTTTTGCCGCTCCGACTTATTATCTCAATTGCTAGTCATTGGCATTTCTTTACAATCTGATCCGATCTCAACACCATCTCAGATGTGAGGGCGGGGACTCGACCGTTCAGCATTGGCATTAGCAGGTGGGAGATCGCTGCTTAGCTCGCCAAGTCCCGGAAAGATGATATATCAGATTCTCCCCCACCTCACGGAAAGATGGTACTCTGTACCACAGTTCCACATGACCGTTCGTTATTGCAACGCCGACTTTAACCCCGCTCTGTCCTATCACAGTCCCCTACAAGATAAGGGGGCGG